GGGGGGGGGGGGGAGTTCAAATACAAGGTTCCCCAAAAAAGGATGAAAGTACAAAGTCGACCAGAAACTCCAAGGTTAACTTAAGTCTTCTGCCCCGAACATATTCTTTCAATCACTTATTTATTGAGTTGGCAAATCAAGAAACAAGTTTCCAGTTGCAAAGAATCCTGAATTGAAGAAAAAGCAGCTTTATTGCAATACAATAATTTAAGTCACAATAATAGATACGAAAGGAATATATTGGTTGATATTTTCCCTGCACTAATTGTCGTAAATTATATATATTACTGTTGATTTCATAAGACTGAATAGAGTTGTTAAAAAGAAGTCTTTGAAATCTCATCCTTTGTGGATAACCCTGGTCTAGAACCCTGTCTAGGCACCTGGGATGAATCTACATCATCTGTATAATATGAATCCTCATTTCTTTCCAGAAAATTCGGCTCCAGTACAAACGGAGGAACCTCCTGCAACAATAGATATATGAGATAAAACTGTACACGTCTGTACACAGTTACTGTACAGTTCTGTACAGAGTGTACTGTACAGTTCTGTACAGAGTGTATTGTACAGTTCTGTACAGAGTGTACTGTACAGTTCTGTACTGAGTGTACTGTACAGTTCTGTACAGAGTGTACTGTACAGTTCTGTACAGAGTGTACTGTACAGTTCTGTACAGAGTGTACTGTAAAGAAGAGTAATTGTACGGCACAACACCGCATTCTGCACCCAAATATGTACAATAGAAGTCAAACTCCCCTTGTCAAATAAACAAAACATTAGGTAGAAGGGACAAATCACTAAAATCAAAAAAGAAAATTCAAACAAAATGGTTGTCGACACTCGCCATTACCAAACAGGAGAAACCTTCACTCTTAACATTAACGAGGGAAGGATGGCAACCCACACCCAGTTTGCTTCCTATGAATGATGTCAATAAATGGATTTGCAAACCATCCGTTCAGCAGGAGGCAAAAATGTATTTACTCAGGTCATTTGGTTTCAAAAACGTTCGCGAAAAAATACGAAATTTCGCACAATTTATTGCATTTCGCAAACTTTTTAAACAAAATTTCGCATTTTTTCGCGAAAATGAATTTAGCGAAAGGAAGCGAAAAAATTGTGAAATTCGTGAGAAAAAAATATGCGACAATTATGCGAATAATTGCAACATTTCCTGCAAATTTTTAGATTTTTTTCTGCGAATTTTTGCAATGCAAATAACTGCGCTGGAAATCCTATTTGTGGGTTGGAGGTAAAGTTGAAGTAGGTTTCCTTCCTCCCCTTCATTAAACACCACTAGGAGGATTCACCACGATATCATCAGCGGACGTGGACAATATTTACTTACAGGCAGCAAGCGCATCTGTCTGTTCAGAAAAGGAAGAGTGTGTCTGCGCTTGTACAGCGCATCCAATTTCTTTTGTCATGAAATAATGTTTCAGGACCCATTTATGGACAACCAAATCTGGCATCCCGGACCAGGTCGCGAATTTGAGTTTTGACAAAACCAATATTGATTACCACTTTACCCATTTTAGTTGACGAACCACCAGTTTTCGTTGAAGGACCTCTAATTTTAGTTGACGGATCACCAATTTTAGTTGACGGACCACCAATTTTGGTTTATGAACCTCAAATTTTAGTTGACGGACCACTAATTTTGGATAATGAACCGTCAATTTTAGTCGACGTACCACTAATTTTTTTAGTTGTGGACCTCCAATTTTACTTGACATACCACAAATTTTAGTTGACATACCACAAATTTTATTTGACAAACCTCAAATTTTAGTTGACGAAACTCCAATTTTAGTGGATGTACCACCAATTTTAGCTGACAGACCTCCAATTTTAGTTGATAGACCTCCAATTTTAGTTGACTGACCACCAATTTTGGTTATGTACCTCCAATTTTGGTTGACGGACCACTATTTTAGTTGACGGACCACTAATTTTAGTTGATAGACCTCCAACTATAGTTGCCGTATCACCAATTTTAGTTGAAAGACCTCAAATTTTAGTTGACGTACCACCAATTTAAGTAGACAGACCTCCAATTCTAGTTGAAAGACCTCCAATTTCAGTCGACGTACCACCATTTTTGTGTTACTGGTCAACAATTTCGGTTTCCAGACCACAATTGGTTGAGGGACCACAATTTTTCTAATAAGAACTATTGATATTAGCTACTGGACCAAAAAATTTGAGTTACTGACCATCATTTAAAGATTATAGATCAAAAATATTCGTTTAAAGACAACAAATCTAAGTTTTAAAACTACCAGTTTTGGTTTTAAACAACCTGTAGTAGGTAGTTGACAAAGACAAAAAAACAGGTTGCTTCAAAACTCAATCTGGACAATCTAATTTTTCCTTTAAACATTTTGATTTCGAAGAGATTATTTTCCTGTTTTAGGGTTATTTTTGAAATTCTCATCAAACTTTTTGGAAGAAAATCCCCAGCATCGTGGATCTTTTTCTTCCAGTCTTTAGGACAAACATCATCGTCTATTTGTTCCTCCTGGATACAATGGAATGCATGTCAACATTAAAGGACCTTCCATTATGAAAGTGACGTGTCCGATTCACGACAGTACCTTTTAAACCTCTAGTTCCTTTACAAGATCAAGAATAAATGAGAAATCATTATTATTTTCTTCAAAATTGAATATTTTCAATTGCAGGGTCTCCATATCTTTCTTTTTGTTATACATATATAGGTTTACAGGGAACGGTTGTAAATTGGACTTATCACTCTTAACTTATTTTTTTCTGAAACACATCCACAAAGGTTAATGACTTCATTATCATAAGGGGATTTTTTCACGAAAAGCTATGATTCCTAAACGAACTGCTAATGCACGAAAAAAACGATACATATCAACGTGTTACAATAGAGTTAAGCTTAAATTTCGCAATATGCTGAATTTCTTTACTGGTGTGAACTTAAATAAATATTCCCTGCAATTTTTGCGTTTCAAAACTAAATAGAGTTTTTGATTATAAAAATTTGACAAATTATGTAATTATTTTCCATTGCCCGGTTAACCTTATATATAAAGTAGTAATCTGTTTGGATATCCGACCGTAATTCATGTGGCCCATGACCGAGTTGCCTCAAATTTTAATTGATGAACCACGAAAATGTTCTTCGCTTAGTTTTAAATTTCTAAGGGAAAGTCGGGTTTCAAGCTAGTATTCAACACCTGTATATTGTTTACTAGGCATGACTGAGCACCGCGTGCATTTCAAAAGGTTTCCTTATTTGGAATCTTGGTAAATAGTGAACACTAAACAAACATCCTTCAATTACAAACGATTGTTGTTCTACGTTGTTGCGCTGAGAGGGGTCTGCATACGCTTCGTGCATAAATATATTTTATTCTAATAACACAAGCATTGTAAACTGCGGGTTGAACTACCAGACCGACTCTAGACAATGAGCGCGATTTTACAGTATAAATATACATTTTTCATACGATACATGATCATTGCTCAGGTCCAGGGGTTAATATTTTGAAGAATACCCCCAGGGGAAATGATTTTCGAAAATTGGAGGAAAATATAAAAACAAGACAGCAAAAGGAATGGTTTTTTTTCCTCCTATAAAATACGTTTAACCAAAAAATTCATACTTTCCCCCATAAATCATTTATTTGCCCCAATTCAGCAATAGCAATTAACCGTTTTTCAAACATTAATTTTGATCCAAAAACTAAGAAATTAAGAAAAAGTTTTAAAAGACAGATAGTTTCAAAAGTTTTACCTGGACGTTCATCTGAATCCAATCTTTGTACACAGTAATAACCTAGAAGAAAATAACAAGGATTTTATCAAAATTTTAAAAATCCAAAATAGTTAAGTGTTCTCTACCTGTAGACAGGGGTCCATATAATTCCATCTGATCAATCCCAAATGTTGATTGATTGATATTAGGGGCAGAAATAAACCATGTTGTTATTTTAAACAATTGGAAGTATAATGTCAAGTTGTAGAAAAAATTCCATAGTGCAGAATGTTTACTGCAAGGGAGTGTTTATTTTTTTTGTATATCATAATTTATTTCTTATATTAAATACTAATATTTACATCTTTTAACACCCCAAATGTATATATATATATAAATTGGTCTGTATACGGAGTGTACAGTACAACAGAAACTGGACTCCCTTTGTTTACAATCACAGACTTAGAATTTGTATTTAACTTAAATATAAGTTAACGTAAATTAAGATTTCAGAAGTGAATTTTAGCCATTTTACTGCACAATAAATGATTTCAGACAACACAATAATGCCTGCAAGCATAATCTGTAAAACAAGGAATGCACAATTTGTGATACCGAAAAATGAAGATCTTCGAAATATATCTCTTGGTCTCCACTTTTGTATTTTGACAGATTTAAGAGTGGTTGAGAACTAGACATAGTTTTAAAGATATTAAGGGCTTACATTTCTTTTTCTTTTTGGGAGGGGGGAGGCCGACCCCCCCCCCACTGATCCAGGAGGGGGATGAGCCACCATAGCCCCCCCTGAATACGCCTCTGGATGATAACATAGATCTGTTTTAAGAAATTTACAAACATATTTTAAAATGGAGGGAGATTTGAAACAAAACTAATCAGTTTTAAAGATAAATTCCTTTAGAATTAGAAGTGCCAGGCAAAATCAATGAATTGATTAAGCGACTAAATAGTATTTACATATAAACTACATAGAAACGTACAAAAAATTTTGATTTTAAATCGTGAAAATTTCGAAGTTCTATCTGAAGACGACATTTACATGGGTCTTTAGTCTATTTTTTCTAGTCTTTACTTTCCAAACGAAATCTTTTCATGAAATTATTTCCAAACCAAATTAAACCTTATGGCCCAACCTGTCGTCGTTCCCTTAGTCTGTTCCACTTTAGTATTTATTCACTTTGGTAGAATGCACACTTCAAAGTAGGAAATATATTTCTATGTTTTTTTTTACATGATTATTGTTTATTAGTCCTACTACAGATTCGAAAAATTAAATTTATAAATATTGAATGAAAAATTAATTAAACTAATTTGGAGAATGAAAATTCAATATATTATTGATCAACCTTGGTCAAAAATGTATTTTCATTTTACCTTTTTCATCGCAGGAGAATGGGAGAATGAAAGAAGAAATGCTTGTCTGTAAATCTCATGAACAAAGTTCACGTTAGTCCTAAAAAGATTTCACTAAGATCTATAAATTTCTAGATTTTTTGCTCAAATTTCATTAAATTCGGTCCCTAGATGAGCTAATTTGAACTAGATAAACTAGGTTGAAGTGGGAAGTGGGTAGTCATCTGGTTTGAACTAGATGAATAACATTAAACTACGTGTATCTAGTTGAACCAAATATACCTGTTAAAACTGGATAAATAGTTTAAACTGGATAAACAGGTTTGAATTGGATGAATAGTTTAAACTGGATAAACAGGTTTGAATTGGATGAATAGTTTAAACTGGATAAACTAGTAACAGGTTTGGACTTGATAAGTAGTTTAAACTAGAAAAAGCTGTTTTAGCTGGATATATCATCGGTTTGAGCTCAATTTACTATTTTGAACTGGCTAAATCAGCATGAAAAGGGGGTATGAGCTAATTTAACCGGTTTCAGTAGGATAAACTAGTTTGAACTGAATTTACTAGTTTAAACTGGATAAACCGGTTTGCTGGTGTGTACCTGGAGCTGTATAAGACCTCTCTAACGAGGATACCCTCTGCATTATACTTCCCTCCATCGTCCAACCCTAGACCTCCAAACCTCTCATTTAAAGCCTAAAATACTTCCAACAAATCTTCTGTTTTATTTTATTATATAATATCATTGATTAAACATATTTTATTTCATTGGACGGGAACAAGTGAGAAAGTAGGTTTAAAAAGACTAAATAATTAGAACCAAGATTTAAAAGTTTTGGGGAAATAAGTCTCAAGTCTAAGCTGTTACTGAGATAATTTAAGACTCGAGCTTTCGGATTTAAATTGCAATTATTTTCCAAAGCATTGGGTTTATTTAACCGGTTTAATATTGTATTTAGCGGATTTTCATGGTTTAATTTGAGGGATTTGATTGGAATAAAACTCACACCGTGACTGAATTCTCCACTAAAACCAACCAAGGTCGGTTTTATTTCATAAGGCCTAAATACTTAAGTTGAGCCTATGAGTTGGCAGCTATCGATCACGTGACACAAGCTGTAGCAGCTGATTCATAAGTTGTGTCTAAGATTGAGCTTTAAACCAGGGTCTAAGGAATTGAGACTCGAGCCAAAGCTTTTAAATCGCGGGCTCAGTGGGTAAAAATTCAAAATATTCAAGAAAATAAATATACCCCGGTAAACCCCCTCTTACCTGTGATGAACCAGAAATATTCAAGATCGCTGAATTATTGTGACTTTCTTCGAATGTAGAATTGAGTCCACCCCGCGTCAAATGTGTGTACTGCGCTATCCATTTAATCACAACCACGCGGCACGCTAAATATTCAAACTTATTTTTAAAGGGACTGTTCAGTGTACAGTGTAGACGTAATTTCAAGGTGACCCTAATCTTTTAAATTTTGAAGAGTGGGTTATCTTTTCTATCATGGAAAGTGTTCGCAATTTTCGTTATTTGAATTTCCTCTGCACTACAGAGAACCCGCAATTAGAAATAATTCATTTTTAAAGAGAAAAAAGGATTTCTCGTTGAAATAAAACCCCAAATCTAAAATAATTATATTTTTTAGTCACAAACTACGGATTTTTTCCAAAAATTTTCATGAAAAGTTTTAAGGGTACAGACGTTAGTTTATAAATGAAGGAACAATTGAAAATACGTCCAGGCAGTCTCTTTAACTTTCATTTGACTATTTTGTAATTTTATAAATCTTTTTTGCCCTAAAAATATAAAAAAATTAAATATTAACATTTTTTATCTGTTACCTAACATTGGATCCATCTTTTTTGTTCCATCTCCTGTATCGATAAATGTTGGACGAAATTTTCTCACCTTGAACAAAAAATTAACAAATTTTCTTTGAAATACTTTATTAAAACTAAGTTTTCATTTTATTTGACTGCCTCGTAAAGCTATGGTATGACTGATTAAGGAAACTTTCAGGTTAAATTCTAAGCCAATTTTAGGAATCCAAAAATTTGTTTTGGTCGAATCTCTTATCACCCATCATAAAAACAATCTTCAATTAAACTGACAATCTAATAAATTTTCTTATACAGTGAAATAAATTTCTGACAATGAAATAAGTTTTCTTATACAACAAAAAACGACAAAAAAATAGCAAGAAGTTAAAAAAAACTATTGAAAAAAAACTCTCGTACTAAATTGATAAAAATTCCAATCGGGTTAAACCAATATTTTAAATACCTTGACATCCAATTGGCCGAAAACAATTTAAATGTAAAAAAAACTCTTGAAAAGTAAAACAAAACACTAAAGAAGTTAAGAAGTCCTCCAGAAAAAAAAAACTTTATTCTAAAAAAAATCTGTTTTACCTCAGGGAGTTCGAGTGAGGGTTTGTACAGGGACATGTCCCATTTAAAACTAGGAAATATGGCCGGAATATAATACGTCTACAACATGTCAATAATTATATTCAAAACTAGGAAATATGGCCGGGATATAATACGTCTACACCATGTCAATAATTATATTTAAAACTAGGAAATATGGCCGGGATATAATACGTCTACAACATGTCAATAATTATATTCATTACTAGCTCAAGTGGCTAGGGGAATTTTAAATACATCGGGGGAAAAATTTCGGATAAAAAAAAATTGAGTTTTGAAGAAAAAAATATTTTTGAAAAAAATTCAGCCAATTTGGTCCAGCCGTTTAGCCAGCTATAGCTAACATTTATATATATATTTATATATGTTTATATATATTTATATATATTTATATGAGCGAAGAGCTTTATTATAAAGATTTTCCAATTTTTAATTATTTGTATGTTAAATGTTTAGTTGTGAAGATTAGGCCTAGTGAAGATATTAGAAGGATCAGATAAGAAACTAGTAAAACTTGTAAAGTTACTTGTAAGATTTCGTCATTTATTAGACAACTTCATAACTTGTAAATATATTGGCACTATTAGTATTCTTTTCTAATAAGATATTTTGCCCTTCCAAAAAACGCCCTCCCCGGACCCTGGAAATTCCGATTGTGGCTAGTTGACCAGTGTCCCTTTTCTTCTGTTTTGTTTTCAGAAGTCGGTAAAAATGTTCAATTTTTTTCTTAAAATATTACGCAATTTTGGAATACCAATTGTTGACATTCCTTATATTTTTGCAGAAGAAAACTGAACGCTTTTCTGTGTTTTGCCGCCTTATCCTCTCTCCATTCAACAAGCAGCACCTATTATAAAAAAACGTTAAGTTATTTTTTAGATTTTATTATTTTTTCATTTTTATTTTAAAATTCTATTATTATTTTTTCATTTTTATTTTAAAATTCTATTAACACTTTTTATTTTTCCTTCATTATCTTCATTTGAATTAAAAATTTTCTTTTTTCGATTTTCATTAATTTTTCTATTATTCTATTTGCGGAGATCAATTTTATTTCCACGATTAAAAAAGATTTTGTTGGTTTTACAACTAATTTATCTTTTGTTGAACTTGACATCCATCGCGGGAAACTTTAAAGGTGAATGAATCAAGTACTCCAGTTTTGATTGGCAGCTGGCCCGCATTTTCGCGATTTCTCGTTGGCCAAAAGTAAATTTCAATTTGTCGGCCCTTTTTTTTCATCATAATAGGAATTAACTTAATCTGTCTAGCTACAATAATTACGGATTAAATATGTCTGAAAGGATCAACAAAAAAAATCAAGTTCTACCTCAGAGCAAATTTTATTTGTGATGTATGTCGTACAATCACATGTTGTACATGTTGTACCTGTGACACCATGAGTTCAAGAAGTACGTCGTTAAACGCACGCGTTATATCGTTTCCATTACTCTTCCACCTAAAAATACATGGTTAATACTCTTTTTATTTTTTTTATTATGAGGGGGGGGTGTCGTACATTAATTTTATTGCAATGTTGTTGTTGCAAATATATATATATATAGTAGGCTAATGTATTATCAGTAATAATGTAGACTTCATATTTCGCCAACAGTAGATAAATATTAAATAATTGGTTAACGTTTACCTTTCGCCATTAATGGTTGAATAAATGGGAGGAGTGTCGAGATTTACTTTAATACGTAGACGTGTAGCTTTTAACCGATAGTGGATGTAACTAAAAAGTCGGTAAACATTCACCCTGGGGTATATATTTATTTGAAAAATCAGCTTAGGATTTTATTTGATGAATTTGCGAAAAGATTTTAATTTTTGGGAAAAAATGAAAAAAAAAAATGAAAAAAAAATCTTTTGAGGATACATTTTTTTTATTTTTCCCCCGGAGCTGAGAAAACCCTCCCCCCCTTCCCCGCCAGGAAGGGTGAGGGGTGTACTTCTTAAAGATATATATTCCAGTATTTACCTTTCTGCCGATGCCGGTGGAATAATCGGTAGAATCGGAGCTGCGGTAACAGGTCCATCTCCTGGTTCATGAGACTGTGTGGCTAGAGCTGTAATCCCTAGGTTAGGGTAGGGGGAACTGAAGCCAGGGACGAGGGTAGCAAAGATTGCATGGATCTAGAAATATTAAACTTTAGAAATATTTTCAACGATTTCTTCACTCCACTCTGTTGGCAGAAATCTTTTAAAATTAATGTTTCTTTTTTTGCCGCTTTCCCAGCCCTGCAGTATTTTCACAAAAATTATCAACATTCTTTTAAATAAATTTTCGTTAAAATCAGGCCCAAAGATATGTTAGTGGGGAGGAGTATGGACTTAAAATTAAGGGAGAATAACTGAGATTATTAATTTGTAAGAAAAGAAAAAGAATAATTTTAGAATATCTTTAAACTCCTCTAGGGTTGAATTGAATCAAGAAATCAGCGAGTCAGTCAGTAAATCAATCAATCAAACAATGACGTCATCAATAAAACATACAATCAATCAATCCATCAATTTCTCTATCATTACCTCATCCTGAGACTGGTCCCCCAAAGAGCTGTACCAAAGGATAAAAAGTCGCATAGCTTCTCTTTTCAGTAGTTTCCAGCTGTTCCCAGGATGAAGCAGCTTCGAGAGCAGTCGCAAAATACTAGGAAAATGATATACCAGTGAATATAAAATAAATTTATTGACCATTTTTCAAAAATACGAAATGTTATTTACTTCCTAGGATGTAAAAAATAATCTTGATTTTTTATTTTAATTGTGGCGAGTCCTTTAAGATCTTTACACCTAATGTATTTATTATTATTATCATGATTATTCAACTCTTTATTTGGGGATCTAATGCGTTACAGAAAAATACAACAATCATAATCATAATATCATACGCAATACGCATTTCGATTTAAAAAGCATTGTCATCTATAAGACAGAACAGGGGGTTCAGGGATTCAATGATATTGAAGTTTTAGGATCAGGGTTTCCAGTAAAGAGATTATAATAGTTTCATTAGTCTCTAAATCTGTTATATTGCCATTTTTGGGACAAGGCTTCCGTTAAGTAAATTAAAATTTTCTAAACCTGTGATATTGCCATTTTTGGGACAAGGCTTCCGGTAAGTAAATTAAAATTTTCTCCACAAGATACAAGACACCTTCAAATTCTTCACGTTGTGCCTAAATATTCGATGTTAAAAAATTTTCAGTTTCCTTATTTTAATACTGTGTTTCCAACAGTATATTGAAAAAAAATTCCTTACATAAGTTAGATTTTATTTTTAAGATTTTCTTTGTTCAATTTGGAGAAATTACAGAAATTTTAATGGGGGGGGGGGGGGGCGAATAATCAAAAAAATTTACAATTTTTCATTTTTCCTTCTATTTCATCAAAAAAAATTTTTTAGGGTATTCTTTGCTGAATTGGGAAAATAAATAATTTTTAGTAGAAAGTAAATATTTTTTTTCAGAAATATTATGACAAGAGTCAAAAAACTTGATATGTGATATCCAATTGTTCCCTTTAACTCATCAAAAATAATTTGTTTGTAGTTTTTAAAATGATACTCCCTGTGATATGGGACGCTCTGTACGGAAAAGGACGAGGAACACCCGGAATTAATTGACAGTTAATCAGGCGACATCACAAATATATCTCTGGCAATTTTAAGCGCTTAAAAAGGCAGACCACAATTCGGAAATGGCAGGACTAGGGCTTTTATACGATCATCGTTTCATCAGTTATATTTGTGAAATTATATTGTAAAGTAGTTTGCTTAATTGTGAGTTAATTCCGGGTCTTTCTAATTTTTTACTGTATGAAATAATCAAAAAATTTTAAAAAATGTCACCTTATGAGCTCCTTTTTGTCTGAGGCTTTGTTCTGTATTTATAAAATGTTCGTAAACGATGAAGTATATATGTGAGTAGTAAGCATCGAAGAACTGCTGGATTTCACCAACCTCGGAGTTGTCCAGGTACAGTCGCAGATGCTGAAATTATATTTTCATATTTATTATTTTCATCCTTATTCTCCGGGGTAAATGTCCATTAACTTCGATGTTCATTAATTCCAGGCATTATCCCAAAAAGAGACTTTTCGTGGTTTATATCACTTTATTTGGTGTTTAAAGGAAAATACTTATTCTTTAACAACATTAAAACTATTAAAGGAACATTATCGACATTTAGAAACCTTAATTTACTTCAATAACATTAGAATATTTAACTGCATAATAACACAGACCAGTTCTGCCCCACAAAAGGGTAAATACATGGGGTCACCGATAAAATTATATTAAAATTGTTTCACAATAAAAGTAGACAATCCATTTGACGTATCAATATAATGAATGCACCTTAGCTCTGGTCGCTACATCCTTTTTTGTGTCGAGAACTTTCCCCGCAGATTTTTTAACATCCTCACTCCGTTTTGTCGAATTTTTCCCAGATCGGAACATAGTTTTCAACCCCTCCTTTCTTCAACCCTACATAATTTCACATTTTTGAGCAATTTCTGCAAAACGTCACTTTTTCTTATTTTTGTTGGTTTGCATTCACTTGGATGCTGTGCACATAATTAACAAAATACAAATACGCAATGTGTGCGTAAACCTTGAGACAGACGCTCAGTTTAGAACTAAGTGAAGATGTGCGCTAAGGAAACGGGTGAAAGGTGCGTATGTCTGTTCGGTGACCTTAGCTAGCGCGCAGCAGTGCGCACAAATAGAAAGATAGGCAAACTTTGCGCTAAGTTATGTTTAGAAAATTCTGTACGCGGCCTTAGTTTTTCTCTCTCTCGCTCTCTCTCTCTCCTCTCTCTAAAACCACAAAGCTTACCTTTTTATTCTCATAGGGTTTTGGGGGAATATATTTTTTTTCAACTTTTAGAATTATTGATAAAACGTTTTAACATAAATGATTTATAAAATTTTTGAAATTTCTTTGTTTTGCAAATTTTAATCTACCTACCTTGCTTATAGCTAAGAACAGTATAATTGGAATAGCAATATGCATTTTTAAATAATGTTTGTAATTAATTGACATTTTCTAGCCCTTTTCTTTTCTATATTTCTTTTTAGTTCGTAAAATTTAAAATGAATATAAAATATTTTGAGTTTTGACACATATATCGAGTACCGATCGCTGCAATTGATAAATTTAATTAAATTTCAATTAAATTATGAAATATAACAAATAAATTACACATATTACTCCCACACTATAAATCGAATAGAGAACATGATAATCAAAACTTTCTGAGCTTGATGGGCATGTATGTATACATATTGTATCATCATCAAAGCCCTCTCCCCTACGTATACGCAATTCTTTTCACTCTATACCCCCCCTTCCTGTTCTCTAAATCCATAATTCGCGTAACCTATGCCCTATATTATAAGTATAGCAGATCCTCACATTTTATAATATTTTTGATTTCGTTTTTTAAAGATATTTCTCTGGCGCTGGTTTTTCGAACATTCCTGGAAAATCCTCGAAACAGGAATACAAGTAACTATCAGATCATAAAAAATAGAAAATATTATTAAATATCAACTAAATACGAATGCGTCGAAAAATTATCGATGATTATCGGTTGTAATAACTGAATCATATGTTTGAATTAAATTTATTTTTTTTACGATCCGAGTTATATGTTGCAACTTTTTGCATTTGTATTGCGTGGCGTTACGTTCTTCGGTATAAGTCGGTTTTAACAATTTTCTCCTCATAGACGCAACAGACAGAAGTAAGATTAGCAGCGATCAAAAACAATTACTTTTCGCATTAAGCCTATACCCCCTTTCATTTTTCGCGAACACTCCCTTTAATAAATCATCTAGGTCAGACTTAATTTGTTGATTAACTAAACTGTATACGTAATCCTGGGTCAAACTTATAGGCACTTTTAATAGAAATGCAAATAGCCCAAATTCTATCATTTTCTTTGATACAATTATTTTTTTAAGTTTTAGAACATTTTTTTTCTAATTCAGAATTTCGATTTTTTGTGTAGATCAAATCAATAGCGTAAGCGAGAACAAAATATATTAAAAAAATCAAGATTAATATCAAACTTTTCGTCTAGAAACAGATAGTATCAAAAAAATAGCCTTAAATCAAACAATTTGTGAAAAATCGTAAAACTCACAAATGTACGGTTTTCAGCGATTTGAGACGCATCTTTTAATACTTATTTCAACATGTTTAAAAAAATTGAAAAATCGACCTCCCTTATGAGCTATAATTTTCAATTCTTTATTTTCTACTTTTTCTTCGGCTTCTAATTTGCTATTGTATAATGTTTTGGTGGTGCAAAAAAGAATTGATATCTTCGATGAAATAGTTTCACCCTTTATTTGATCAGCTTCCATAGTCCTAGTTGCGCCTCTGCAATGCTGCATGTCAAAAAAAGCTTAATTAAAATGTTAAAAGTTAAACTGCAGCAAAACATTATTATATATTTTGAAAATGAAGATAACATGGAGCTAGTTAAAAAAAAAAACCAAGAACATCTAAATATTCGGTAGCAGATAAAAATCCCCGAAACGGGATTATAAAATCCGCAAGTCAGTAGTGTCGGATTTTGGAACCAGAGAAAACCTACTTAACTTCCTCTCCGTTTATGAACTTGTTATTCATTATTAAGCTTCTAATAGAAATACGAGGATATATACAGAGATGAGGAAGATAAGTAGTATATTCTCTGGTTCTAGAATCCAACTGCTGCTCACTTGTGGATTTTATAATTCCCTACAATCCGCTACACTCATATTCTTTAAGGAGGCTGCTACCTCCATGCAGTTGCCCTTGAAAACAAGATAATCCTTTTATTTAAACTTTCTTTAATCCTGGATGATTGAAGATTAAGTTTAAATTAAAGTTTAGCATGAGATGTTGAATTATTAATATCTTTGCTCTGGGGTCATGAAACCATTAAACAGTTTCAGTACGAGAACCACGGTAATGCAAGCTATGTCAAAATCCTGTAATAAATTATGTTTCGAAGGCTATAATTTCTGTCTTCAAACTGTAATTTTCGCATTCTTATATCTTTGCAAACCTTCGTTTTTCAAACTTTAAATTCTTCTAGATCAAATAGTTTAAGTTTGAAATAACAAAAACTTACAAAATTGTGATAAATTTTTAGAAAATTTATCACTAAACAATTCTTTTCATGACAAAGCCAGCTATATTTCACTATTCACATAGTGGGACGATAAAATCAAAACTAAAATTAAAAATGTGAATCAGCAGATCCCTAAATGTGAATCAGCAGATCCCTAAATGTGAATCAGCAGAGCCACAACTTTTTTCTTGTCAATCGTCAACTTAATTTCCCAAAAAAGTTTGACATTCAATGTTAAGTTTTTTTTCGCATGATACATTGAGAACCAGAAATATCTGGAATAGAATTTCAACTTTTAGACTCAAGTTATGACTTTAAATAGTCAAATGAATATGAGACACAGCAAACAAACCCATTTACCTTTATAAGTGATTTAATAAGATATTTGTAAAACATGCTTTGTAACAACATCAATTGCACTCAATTATTACTTTAATGTCGTCTTCTTTTTCAGGTTCTCATAAATAACAAAAAGAAATGATATGTATTTTCAATATCTTTAATAGTTGTAAATTTTTCCAAAAGATCAAACTTTTGCAGCTAAATTTTCCTAAATTTAGCAATATCGTTTTTAGCAGTAAAAATAGACAAACAAATTTATGATATATCCAATGATTAGTTTCAAACATAAATAATCTATAGATGTTTTAAACTTAAAAAAATTGTGGACCCCATATTTATGCAAAGGAACTTTAAAAACTTAAAATCACTTTTAACATAAAATTTCTCGATTTATAAAAATAAAAATTGTAAATACATTTATTGTACAAATCTATATAATTATATACCTATAACATAGATTGTACTGCACTGTCCATTGAATGTGCATTTAAAAATCACTCAGTAATGTACATGCAGTGATTGTATAATATACAATACTATGTATTGTTGTATACATAGATAATTCAAGATGCCGGTGCTAAGACAAGAAATATTGAAAACAAACCTCACTGTTCTAGACCCATCAGAGTACATAGCAGCAAACAAGTGTGTAATATAAAATAGTATTAAATGGAGTGTTCGCGAAAAATAGGCTTAATGCGATAAAAAAGCGCTTTGATCGCTACTAATCATACTTCTATCTGTTGCGTCTATAAGGAGAAAATTGTTAAAGACGTCTCATACCAAATAACTTAGCGTCCATACAAATTGAGAAAATTGCAACATACGACTTAGACCGTAAAAAATCAAATTAATTTCAAACAAATAATTCAGATATTACAACCTATAGTCATCGATTATCTTTCGCCACATTTTTATATAGTTTATGTTTTATAATATTTTTGATTTCGTTTTTTAAAGATATTTCTCTGGCGCTGGTTTTTCGAACATTCCTGGAAAATCCTCGAAACAGGAATACAAGTAANTTTGATCAGCTTACAATAGTTTCACCCTTTATTTGATCAGCTTACAATAGTTTCACCCTTTATTTGATCAGCTTACAATAGTTTCACCCTTTATTTGATCAGCTTACAATAGTTTCACCCTTTATTTGATCAGCTTACAATAGTTTCACCCTTTATTTGATCAGCTTACAATAGTTTCACCCTTTATTTGATCAGCTTACAATAGTTTCACCCTTTATTTGATCAGCTTACAATAGTTTCACCCTTTATTTGATCAGCTTACAATAGTTTCACCCTTTATTTGATCAGCTTACAATAGTTTCACCCTTTATTTGATCAGCTTACAAGGCGCTTCAACTTTAACAATTTTTGCTGTTAATGTTGTTTTTTCAGCTGCTATGTTTTGGTGAATTGTAAAACTAAAAATTTCGCAAAATTTTTAAGATATTTTTTGGCAAATTTTGAAAGTTTTCTCAGCAGGTTCAACCCCATTTTGGTTAGATCGGTTCAGCGGTCAGCTAGCTTTTTGGACGTTTCTTTAATACAAAAAAAATCGTCTCGATTAGAACTTGTATTCCAGAAATGTCCTTGAAAAAACACCTGGCTGATTATAAAGTGGCGCCACAAAAAATCTTCAAGCTGCTGCTATGCTTTATTGTATTCATTGTATTTTCAGTCAGGATTATTTTACAGAAGATTGCTGCAAAGCATGAAACATCATGTATACATATATACTACATAGTGAGATCCTGAAATATATTGAAACGTATTAATTGGATTTGGAAGCTAATTCTCGAAATATATATATATATATATATATATATATATATATATATATATATTAGGCTTTTGGAGCGCTTCGTGTCCATATTCTATTTCAACCTTTAATTGTAGCTCTATCTGTGAGCATCTTCTGCAGTACAATAAATAACAATAACAAAAAATAAGTTTGCGGATTTCATAATAATTTTTCACGCATTTTCAAAATTTTGCAAAAATCAAAAACTTTTGGACACAAATTTTATAGTTTTAAGCATCCATTAACCTTCCATGGGGGTCATGTGAGGTCCCACCCACACAAAATTTGGTCGGTTGGATCGATTGGATCGATTGAAAACAAAAAGGCAGACAAGCAAAGTTTATATGTAGATACCTCACTTTTGATAAATATTTTAAATGTTTAGAACAGTTCCAACGTTTGTTGACCGAAGTGATGATGTTGCCTGGATGTTGGCTTGTTCCCTTATCCTGTTTACTATGCAGGTTTACATACAGCCGACGTCGCCGTATATATCACTACAATGAGGACGGCTTTCTTTTTTAAATTAATTTCTACGTGAAACAATATTAAACAGCAGAGACAAATAAACATGTAACAAAGAGAAGCTGTCAATCAATCAAATAATTATCAATATTAAGTCGTCTTCATTGTATTGAGGTAACCGCCAACCACTGTGCATTAAATTCAGAAACAACGAAGGATATTGTCAGAATTACACACTTTTCAAGCTATAGATAGTTTTTCTACATTATTATTGACCGGAAAAAGTGTACAAGGATATTGTTGTGAATCGGACATATTTCAATGGAGGGTCACTTAAATTATAAAGACAGTCCTGTATGTATATTTATAAATAGCGCCGAGAATACTAAATACAAAGCCAATACATCTAATTTCTTGAATTTAAAACTTTTAAAAATAGTTGTTATTGTTGTTTCTAGACAGGGTTGGCCTTGATGGAGTCTGGGATGTGTTCTCTAAAGAATGAAGTTCACTTACTCATGAAAAATACGGCAGCTTGCTGCTTTGGAGGTAAGCAGTGTTGAGAGAGGCTTTAAATGATTATTTTTAATCAAAAATCAAAAATAGATTGAAAGAAGGGGGGGGGGAAGAAGGTTATTAATTAATGGTTTATTTAGAACACTCCGGTTTTAATTTTTTTTTCGCAATTTAGTGCAGTGTAGATTTAAGTGCAATTAAATTCATATGGACATACATAGTACACTCTAAATTTCAAAATCTAAATGGATTTAATGAACAATTTAAGTTGTTCTTAATGGATTTAATGAACAATTTAAGTTGTTCTTAATGGATTTATTGAACAATTTAAGTTGTACTTAATGGATTTAATGAACAACTTGTACTTAATGGATCTAATGAACAACTTGTACTTAATGGATTTTATGAACTCCTTGTACATAATGATTTTGATAAACAACTTGTACTTAATGGATTTAATGATTAACTTGTACTTAATGGATTTAATGAACTCCTTGTACATAATGGATTTTATGAACTCCTTGTACATAATGGAAATGAACTCCATGTAAATAATGGATTTTATGAACTCCTTGCACATAATAGATTTTATGAACTCCTTGTACATAATGGAATATTTGAACTGCATTTGTTTAGGTTTAACCTACTGGGCAATAGGCTGGTCTTTATCCAATGGCCAGGGTGAATATTCAACTCCGTATTATGGTAATTTTGTAAATAGATTTTCTTTCTTCAATATCTTTAATATTCTNCGGCCCTCCAATTTTTTAATCCTTATTGTCGTTGGCAAGAAAGGTTTTGCAGACAGCGCTATGTACAGTATAAATATGCATTGTTAGGTTGGGGAGAAGCGTTCTATAAGCCTGATTGGTTGGACAGCGCTATGTACAGTATAAATATGCATTATTAGGTTGGGGAGGAGCGTTCTATGAACCTGATTGGTTGGACAGCGCTATGTACAGTATAAATATGCATTATTAGGTTGGGGAGAAGCGTTCTATGAGCCTGATTGGTTGGACAGTGCCAGCAGTGAACGAGCACTATTTTTCTTTTACCAGGTATTTCAGGGTTTCCATTGTTTATAATCAACATCCTAAAAGGTTATACATTGTAACTATAAACCATCCTTAACAATCAACTATTCTTAACAATCAACTATAGTTAACAATAAACTATTCATAACAATCAACTATAGTTAACAATCAACTATTCTTAACAATCAACTATAGTTAAAAACCAACTATAGTTAACAACCAACTTTAGTTAACAATCAACTATTTATTATCGTTAACAATTAACTATCGTTAGCAATCAACTATCGTTAACAATCAACAATCACTAACAATCAACTATCATTAACTATTAGCTATCGTTAGCAATCAACTATTGCTAATAATCAACTATCATTAACAATCAAATATCCTTAACAATCAACTATTGTTAGCAATCAACTATTGTAATTAACAACCAACTATTGTCAACTATCATAAATAATCAACTATCATTTACAATTAACAATTGTAAATTAAAAAACAGAACGAAAATTTCTGAACTGCACGATTTTGAAAAGGATGAATGTAGAAAAAAATGATTCTGCTGAAAGCTGTAGTTATCAAAAGTAGTAAGAACAATTTAAAAATCAAGTATGTGTCTTTTAAAATTTATATTTATAAATCATTGACATCACTAAAAATTTGAAATATTTAAAATTTGATGTTTTTAGTAAAAGTTAATAATGTTATACAAATGTTGATTGCAACTCCAACTCTGCTGAAGTTTGAACGTGTTCATCTTTAAAAATATTCTAATTTTCAGGAGGGGTTAAGTGCTCTATCCACTTCTATTGTTTCTGGAGCTATGGCTGAAAGGTGTGACCTACTATTTTTTTGAAATGTCAATATTTGAACAGAAATTATTTAGAGTTAATTTTCGATCGTTTCTGGTGTTCTCAATCTTCAACACTCTTGTCTATGCCTTACCAGCATACTGGATGTGGGCACCTAAGGTATCGAAATCATCTTGATAATATAGCAGCTACATTTATTTTACCTTTCTTTATTCATGCTGACTTCATTGGCGAAATTAAATTTGATGAATAGGGATTTCTGAAAGAACTTGGGGCAAAGGATGACGCAGGATGTGCGGTTGTTCATCTCTGTGGGGGATTTTCGAGGTTAACCATTACTTTGACTTTTGAGCAATCTTTTAACTAAGATGATTAAGTAACCTGTTTACTAATCTCCAAGGTTGTACAAGAAGGTTGGTTACTATCGATGCACTCCAATGTAGAAATATAGAAATATGTCGTCTCCTATCTATCTATCTATCTATCTTAGGAGACGACATTTTCCGTACATTTGAGCGCATCGAGAGTAACCAACCTTGTTAAAGAACCTTGGTAATTTCAGTCTGGTTGCCACCCTTTACCTGGGACCAAGAACTGGACTAGCGTTCAGCAATGAAACGGTCGTAATGGGGAACCCTACTTTCTGCTGTGCTGGACTGTTTATAACCTGGTGGGGATATCTCGCAATGAACTCTGCAAGCACAATGGGGGTAGAGGGAACGAGGTTGTATAAAATTATTAAATGATCCAGTAAAATCAACTCAAAATATGCTTGAAATGTTAAATATTTATGTTATAGATAACATGACATTAATTTATAAAGAGCTATTGTACAGTGCAGTGCTCCATTTGTTGTATTATCCAAACCAGTACAACTTATACTGGATATGCAGTCACTCGTACCGTCCAGTCTGGACTACACAGGGTTTTATGCAACTAATGTAGCCTGGCAAGATATATGTAAGAGCTATACTATATATCTCCAGGTGGCTGCAGTCTGCGAAAGCAACAGTGCTCACCATGCTTTCTTCATTCGGTGGTGGATCAGTTGCTTTGGTAATTAAAATTGATTACTAATTTAAGACAACACTGAGAGTAATATTGCAATAGCAGTATCGTTTGAATTGATTGCCATGCCTTTCAAATATGAGTAAACAAAAAAGTTCTGGATACAAAAGCATACCCGTGCAATACTTTTTAAACTTTAATAATTTATTTTAATTAAATTTTACAATATCCGTGCACTACTTTAGATTGGAATATTTGTTCTCAATTTTATGTTTAGTTCATGTGCTATATTTTCTATGGTCATGTAATACCTGTTGGAAGAATAGTAAATCCTATTATGGGATCTTTGGTTGCTTATACGGGAATCACTTTCCTCTGCACATCCTTTGAAGTAAGTAGAGATGGGCACATTCAGTTTTTTTTTCATTTTGTTCCTTCATCATTCAGGAACGACCCATTTAGTTTCAATCGTTCAAAAGTTTTCAAAATTATCGTTCCTTTTTTCACATATTTTGTTCATTTTCTCACTGAACGATCGTTCGGTAAAATAATTCGTTCAGTAAAATCGTGTGTTCAATAAAATCGTTCGTTCAGTAAAAAAAAACTATACTTAAATAGATTGTTTAATAAATCGGTTATTCAGGAAATAAAAACTTTTAAAAAAATTTAGTTTGAAAAAATCGTTCATTCAAAATGTTTTGGAAAATTTGTCCATTCATTGTTTTTTTTCAGTTGTGAGTTTTGGTTTTTTGTTGTTCTTTTCTGTCTCTTTGAACTATCCAGTTTTTCTTTTTTTTCTTGAACGACACCTTTTTTAACGAAAATTTTAGGATTAAGTCCATATATTTTAAACAGACCAATAAGATTTTCTCCACCCAATATTCAAATATTAATGAATTATGGAAATGCTAATCAAACTTTCTTGTTGGCAATCACAATTGGGAGTGTGGCAGCTGCATTGGTCTTCTTGGCAATGCTGTTCCTGGATGATCATCATTCTATTGATGATCCTTGCTGCACTTTCATAGGTAACTTATTATAAAATTACTTTCTGTTTCATCATTCTTTTAAATTTCAAACCATAGTTTGCGGCTGTTATTTTTTCTTCAAAATTTTACTTAGATTACACGGTTCATAAATCTTTATAATAAAGCTCTTCGCTCATATATCTATATTTGTATGTACATAGATAAGGATAAAACTAGTAGTATGATACATTTTAATTTTACAAAGCGTATGTATTTCAAAACTATATTGTATTTTGACGTCTTTCAAAATTGGGAATTCATAATTTACAAAAATAAAAAAACTTCCATTCGTTTTCTTAAAGCGTTTTAACTCTAAGTATAATGTATATGAAGAATAAAAATGAGATTATCATCTTATCTATAGTGCACGGGATTAGTATATATATATATATGAAGAATCTGTCTAGTGCACGGGCTATGTGGAGTATGGGGCATGCTTGCTGTTGGATTATTTGCAGCAGAAGATACCATTAGTGAGGTTATAACACAATTAAAAAAATGACCAAACTAATAATACAAATCTTTTATTAATATCTAGTGGCAGAGTTAGAGCTGAATGTTCAACTTGAAGCCAAATATGGACATTTTGACTGAAGCATAATTAAAAACTTACATTTGTTACAAGTGTTTTTGAATTGTTGTTACAGGGCTTTTTAAGAGTGTTTAGACCATAGATTATTAACAATACAGATAGAACACTAGATTTAGGGTTTTTTCGTTCACAACAACATTAAGGCAGAAGCCCAAAGAAGTTACGCACATGCTCTCTTTCTGTCTTGTAATTCAACACGGCATGCGCGTAACCCCTTTAGGCGTCAGCCTCAAAGTTATTATGAACGAAAAACGACATCTAATGTTCTATCAGTAATGTTATTAAGCTATGGTTTAGACTAAATTAGCCGCACTTTCCTTGTTCACTGTATTTAAAATTTATATTCTAGAAAGTTATGTTTTACCAAATTAAAGCTATAAACGCCCTAAAAGGTCGTTCTCTTTGTATGTTCCACTTAATTTTGTTTTCATTTTGCAATGAGATAGGATTCTGGACTATGCAGAAATGTTTACTATATTTCAGGGTTTTTCCTTTAATAAATACAATGGTGTTTTTCATGGAGGTTTCTATCTTATTGGAGTACAGGTCATTTTTGTTATCAATACAAAAAGAATTTATATAAGAATAAAAAAAAAACGGTTTTTATCAAATGGTTAACAAAAAAAATATAACGGCAAATTTACAACACTTTATATAAAAGTATTCATAATTATACAACAATAAAATTTTAAGTGACAAAAAGCCTAATTTAATGAAAGTTGTTGTTTTCCTAAAGAATATATATAAAAATAATACAGAAGATTATGATATTTTACTACAGTGGTAGGCGATTATATCAATACAATGAAGACGACTCTCGATTTCAATTTTGATTTATATCAAGCTGTTAGCCCTATCTCTGCTGGGGTACTGGAAACCCAGGATATGCTGGGGGGGGGGTCAATTTGACCCCCCCTCTAAATCCCATGTTTGATGTCCAAATATGACAAAACATACATCATTGGAAAGCTCTTGTGCTCTACTTTTACAATCTGCAAAAAAATTTGCAAATTTGCAAAAATTGAATTTTTTATGGCAAAATCCAGTTATATAGTAAAAATGTTTGCAAAAAAAATTTGTCCAAAAAATGATAAATTATACATTTTTGAAAAGCCCTTGACCATGCCATTTCAAATATGCAAAAATTTTTGCAAAATTTTAAATAACCTGATTTTTAATCAAGAAAAACTAAAATGTGCATATTTCCTTTGACAGTTGTTTGCAAAAAATTTGCTATTTTTTTCCGCAAAACTTGTGCAATTCGTTCCCTTATGTCAAAAGCTTTCCAAAAAGCTAAATTTTATCAAAATCTGACAAGTGGAAGTGGGTCAAAACAAAGATTTAGTTTGTTACATGAAAAAGCAGTCATTCAGGCAGTGTGCCTGAGGACTCAGGCAGTTAGCATTAAAGCCCGGTTTTAGGCCTAAAGGAAGGGCTTTGGGTATGTAGGAAAAGACCAATACTTTTCGATAAGGTTTGAATTAAAAAACTAAATTTTCAAATGTTATGGCTCTGTGTCAATATATAGCGATTTCTTTATTTATCCAATATGGCTTGTTTTTAAAAATTTTACTTTCAAGTTTAAGCAGCTGTAAAATAAAGGATATGCTGAATGTGTGCGCGAAGCGCAAACAAATTATGCTCTTCTAGTGTCTTTCATGCATTTTTTTAGTGTTTGTTAGTCCCTGGCTTAGTATATTCATTATGTGTATCAAGCCCCTTATTGCAGTCTACAATAGTTTTTTTTTGTAATTCATCCCCCTATAGTCCTTTTTGACCACTATAGAGACCCAACTGTAGATCTGTGTAGTCTAAAGTAATAATTAGTTCCTGGAAGTGCTTTGTGACTATCTTTCGTCTTCCCATAATCTTTCTGTAGATATGATTAATGACATAATTATTATTTCTTGATATTGTTCTAATTAAAATGCACTTTCTTTTTGTAACCTTAAATATATGTGAAAGAAGTAACATATATACAGGGTTTTTTTTGTGAGAGGATGAATTAAGAATGCCGACTTTCTTTAAATTGCTAAAGAATAAATAGTTAGAAATTCTTTTAGAAATGATGGGCGAAGCGCTAAAGAACAAGAAAAAGACGATTTAAAAATAGACGGTTTTTACTATTCCGTTTATTTTCCAAAACTTTGCCCAGTCCTAGGTATACTAAGCAACATTTTAATGGAGGACTACGGAAAGGTATTGTAATGATGTCTGCTTTTAAGTAATTTAAAATGTTTAAACTTTAAAAGGCTTCAAAAGAATCTGCTATTTTCCTTGTTGCTATTGCCCAAGAGGCAACTTCTGAGGCGCCGCAGGCTGAAATAGCAGCTGGACGCTTCGACAAAGATATGCTTAGGGGCGGAGAGCAGCGGCTAAAACAGACTTGGGAAGTTTCCACTTGGGACATGCCTTTGAGAAAGTTCCTTACATTGTCTAAAGTGCTGTAACAAGAAATCCCATTGTTTTTTCTGATTTATCTAAAAGAGAAAAACAATTTGATACTTTTTTAAAGTACAAATATGAAGATCATCCAATAGGTCCTATTTTTGTCTTCACAGATCCAGTAAATATTGGGGAGGGGTGTACAGTGTACACTGCACAACCAATGGGAATGTGGAGTGCACTACTACTACTACTACCGCCGTTTACCCGCGCTTGATCGTAAATTAGGATTTTAGGAATCGTTCCCTATAAAATATGACCCACTTAACTTAGAAACTCAAAACCAGGCTAAGAACATTTCTCTTGTTCTCCCAAGTTCTCCAATCAAAATATTTGAGTCAAATCGGATCAGGGGTTCATGAGTTATGATCAGACATCGAAACAAGCAAACAGAGATTACAACTGTATTTTTATTATAGATATAGTGTCTGAGCTTCTTGGTGGAGATCTAATGGAGCATAATATCCTTCACGAGGGTATAGGGGTCACTGATACATTAGAGATTCTTCAGAGATTTCATTCAGAGCTCAAACAGCCAGAATAGTATACACACTTTTATCTCATAAAAACCATAATTAAATTTTTTTTTGGCAAAATGTGGAATGCTTTGTTTACAGTAGTCTTTTATCAAAGTCAATGTTTAAATGCTTCAAAAATGAAAAGGATTTCGGTAAAATTCGTGTCTTTGATGTCTCATGCACTGTGGGTAGCCCTGTATATATACAAGGTCAAGTATAAAACGGGACCAACGATGTTTTAAACAAAATATTCAACAAATTTTCAAAAACATTTGGTTTCATGGATTTTTTTCAACGTTTTTAAATATTTTAGATTTTTTTTGTCAAATGTTTTTATACATTGAAATCTGAAGCAAACAAAAATTTAGATTTTTTTTCACAAAAACATCTCTAATCTCAGTTTTTTTTACTCACCCTGTGTATGACAAAGAAAAGAAGTATTCATCACACAAATTGAATTTTTATTGTTTCAAGTGTTTTCAAAGCTATGTTTCAAAATATAATATTTACAACTTTATTCTGGAAGAGTAATTAAATAACAATTTAGAATTTGTTTGATCATTTTACTTGATTTGTTTACAGTGTGGAGCCCAGTAGACTCTACTTTGGACGATTCATGAAACTCTCAGGACTAGGTAAACTTTATATTGAAACCATAGTTTTAGACAAAAATCGTAGTTTGAGGTCAACTGCCTAGGCATTCTACCACCAGCTAAAACTTAATTTTGGGACACTTTTAGCCTTTGGATTTTAGAATGTGATAGCTTTTAGAAAATCTACAGGCAAGCACAATAAATATTAAGCTAAATTGCAAAACTTATTTTGAATACATTTTAAAATTTGCTATAAAATTGCAATAAATTTGCAAAATATGAAGAAATTTTTTTTTTTATTTTGATATTTCTGATATTTCTGATTGTTCAGATACTCTGATTGGAACGCATAAGATAGGAACACAAAGCTATCGCCGTACATTTTTTCCAGCGTAATTTAAGTATGTCGCGTGATTTAGCTAATCATGTTTTTATTCAATTGAAACGCAGTTTCAATGAATAACGTCATTATCTCTAAGTTTACAACATTAAATCATTTATAATGTACAATTTGTTTACAGAATATCATGTTAACACGATTTTTGCTACAGAAACACATAAGATTGGACCAGACAATAGATATAAACTCTATATATCTCTATTGTTCAGATACTCTGATTGGAACACATCAGATTCTATATTTAAACTCTATATATCTCTATTGCTCAGATACTCTGATTGGAACACATAAGATTGGACCAGACAATTTAAACTCTATATATCTCTATTGCTCAGATACTCTGATTGGAACACATAAGATTGGACCAGACAATAGATATAAACGAGATATAACTGATGATGATTTAGAGAGAATCTCAGATATACTTGGAGTCAACAGCTTATCAAGGTTAAATCCATTTGTTAATAAAGTTGTCTAATATTTATCTATCTTACATAAAATGTATAGATTGTTAAACGAAATTTGTTTTAAAAAGAAAAGAAAAAATAGTAGGCATACAATCAACAGCAACTCATTTTAAATATTTTTAATTATCTTTAACTTTAACAAAAATATTTTGTATGTTCCAGGTCTGAGCTTCAGGAGTTTAGGAGCCGGCTGTCCAACCTAGATCCTATAATTTCTGAAGGATTTGGATTTGGAAAAGTTAACAGTTATCTTCCAAACAAATACGACTAACAAGGTCATAAAATTAGTGTCAAAACAAAAATGGCCGATAGCATTTTAAATAATTAAGTTAACCTTTTATTTTAAATCTTCAGTATGTATTAGTTAAATACAGGGCTAACCAAAAAAGTATAAAAAACTATTTGACATAAAAAGAAACATGTACATAAAATGAACGTGAGAAAAATATGTAATCCGTACAGTCGTCGCTGAAGTTTCATCCCTTGTGCAGGGTAACCCAGTATGTACAATATATAATACTAGGCTTTTAGGGCGCTTCGCGCCCATCTTCTATTTCAACTTTTAATTGTGGCTTTATCTCTGAACATCTTCTCTTTGTACAGTATAAAACAAAAACAAAAAAAGTTTGCGGATTTCATAATATTTTTTGCGCATTTTCAAAATTTTTCAAAAATAAAAACTTTTAAACACAAATTTTTAAAATTTTGATCATTCATAAACCTTCCCTGGGGTCACGTGAGGTCCCACAAAAAATTTGGGCCCGATCGGTTCAGCCGTTTTGACGTTTATTGGATACAAACAAACAGGCAAACAGACAAACAGACATAAAAGGCAAATTTATATATAGATTTAAAAATTAACCATAGTTACTTTTTGTTTTAGATTTGCAAGCATTGAAAGAAAAAACTCAGTCTCAAAATGGACTAATCTAAAATTTATAATGTTAAAGTTTTAGATAAATAAAACAGATATTCTTTATGAAGTTTAATATTACATTTCTATTTTGTAATAATCTTTCATATTTCTAACTTAGACTATATAATATAACTTACTGCTTAAACATTAACATTGATGTAATGTACTTGCGGAATTCCTATCTGTTGTAAACTTGCACAATGCTCAAGCAGTTTTTTGGCTGTAAATCTAATTCACACACTTCCATCTATATCTATCTAAAGGATGTACAAACAAATTGTGCCGTAAAGAGAGTGACAGGTTAGACCAAGGTAATGCGAGGAAAGTTAGTTGCGGTCGCGTATACTCAGCGAACATATTAAAACCAGTTCTCTCTGGGCGGAATTTGTAAACAAGAACAGATGCATTAGTGTTCGCATAGTATCCGAGGTGGTTAAACGCATTTAATTTTGATAATTTTGAAAATTCACATAATAGTTTCCTCTGACCAGAATATTTCATAGATTATTTTTGTGAAAATGGATTCCATGTCAGGCTGTGACATCCGTCTTGTGTTTACTTTTCCGCCCAAAAAATGCAGTACAAAAAATGCGTACACCTATGAATTAACTTTCCTTGCATTAGTACCTTGGGCTAGACATGATAGTTGAGCTGAGAGTGCAGTATCTTACAGAAAAATTTTAGGATTCATTTGATATTTATTTTTCTGAGTTCAGAAGTCCGGCCTTCTTACTCTGCCCATGATTATTACTGCCTTTGTTTACAAATGTTGTTATTGTTTGTTTTCTAGTACGTTAATATAAAATAAGTAAATAACGGCGTAGGTTTACAACGCAATGTCGTGGACCTTAGACATTTCAAACTATGAATTCTGTTAGATCAAAGATTGAAATATCAAAGGTTTTCACAATCAGTTTGGATAGATATAGAATAAGAAAATTTGACTTTTGTATAGCAAAGTCTTAATTTCTTTTTATCTTGCAATTCCTTAAGAGCTGTTTAATGGTGGATAACTCTAGCTTCAAATATTAGTTAAAAATTTCTCAAACAAAATAAAAAGTTTATTGAATTTAATAATACCCAGCTTTGTTTGAAGTATTTTCTATATAAGTCTACCCTAGTTCTAGGGTTAGAACAGTTCCATGGTTCGAATTCTCATATCAAAACTTGAAGCTAATCTGTCCAGAGGGGGTGGAGGGGGGGGGGGGCATGGGTTCTGATAGGACATCCAAACACCAAATCAACGATTACTACTTTATTTACAGTCGTCGTTGTATATATCAACAAAATGAAGACGACTTGCTACTTCAATAAGCTTGCAATTTGAAAAACGTTTATCAAAGATTAAAACAATAATAATAAAAAATCGTCTTCAAATATTGTAATTTTTTAATAACCAACCACTGTATATAAAATATGTCAAGATATTGAGTTATGTCCTGTTGTTTGAAAAGGCGTGTAATTATTGATTTTCGTTGATTAATGACAAACTTTGTTGTTATATGTGTGCAGCAAACACTAGTATGTGGTTAACACCCTCCTACAGCAACTAATAATTATAAAATGCGCACCAAAATTTTAACAGAAAGAAACAATTAAATAAATGAAATAACAAAGAAATTTCGAAAAATTATCATAAAAAATAAGGAAAAAATGTACTACCAGTTTTCCCAACTCAATTTCAGCTGTTTTTAGCGTAACATGCATTAAAGAAAGAGTAAAAGACTATTATTTTTTTTTTAAACTAGACTTTGAATTTAGAGGATTTTCCTGTTTTAGTTCCTGGACTTTAAAACATACTTCTGGCAAAGAAATTCAGCTTTTACAACAAACTCTTATTTTCTAATCCCTATATTTTTGCAACCTGATGTCGTAGACTTTAGAATCTTAAATATTTCAAAATAAAAATTTTAAATATTAAACAATGTTTGCACTAACTAGGTTATAGTGTATAGAGTGATGATGTACGCTAATCTTTTACTAATTGCATAGGCCGAGGACTATTCTGAGAGCATACTGCATATTTGATTATTATAAGGAGATTCTAAAGTATATCATTATTAGTAAACAGTTGTAAGTGCACTATCTAGCAAACTAAGCATGTGGCAAATGCCCTACTCCAAAGGGTTTCTCAACCCCCTATCAATCCAGGTACAACTCATGTAACCAGACATGATTAATCTTTATCTTGAACTTTCAATGTCTCAACTAGGACACAATCTCTGAACCATAAACTAGCAATGCCTCAACTATGACCCAATCTATGAACCATGAAGTATCAACGTCTCAACTCATACACAATCTTATAAACTATCAATGCCTCAACTCGAACACGATCTCATAAACTATCAATGTCTCAACTCGGACAAGATCTCATAACTAATCCCGCGACACGGAAACTATCTCATAAATTATGAATGTCTAAACTTGGACACGCTCTCATAAACTATCAATGTCTCAACTATTCTCTGAATAATGCCCAATCCAGTTCAACACCATCCTTTTGATGAGGGCTGCAATGGAGGGTGGTAGACTAAACATCAGGATTTTTACAACACAAGATATTATCAGGGCAAGATCCTCAAGTGCCATGCTTATCAGAATAAATTCCTTGATCAGGTTGAACTCCCTTGAGACAAATCCCAAGGGGTTGATATCATTTACCAATTCGGTTCCTCTAGTTTGTACATCACCAAGAATGCCTTCCATGTTGAAAACCCTGCCCAACATATTAATCATACAACTAGAATATTCCTCCATGATGCACAATGAATTCAATATTTTCTGATGGGAGGATTTAATATAGCTTGGAAAATTATTATAATCCTCCCACAATTGGAGTTCATTTGTTGTATACAGGGTGATGATCTGTTCTTCCACTACCTTTGAGACTTTCTCATAAATTGGGATTGGTTTGGCTATCTGTGTAACTCTCCTATTAATGGTGACCAAAACATGCTTCCTGGTCTCTACAATCATTGGAAATTGATCGCAGCAAGGAATGACTTCAGGATGGGATATTGTAATAAGGCTATCAAGGTCAACATAGCAATGGCTCCTCGGATAATTGGTGTGGCACAGATGCAAAAGGATATCTCTGCCAATGGAACTTCAGCTGCCACATATAAATAGTTGTATATACAACAACCCGTAGGTGTCATAAACAGTCCAGGTTTCTTCTTTTTTGGATGTAAGTAGTCTCAGTCATTCTTGATATCAAACCACTGCTCACAGCTGCTAATATCTTGTTCTCTTTGTACATCCTGAAGCATTTTCTTATTATGATGGGCCATGTAGGAGAGGGCTGGGAGGAGGTCTAGTCTTTCCCTGATGTTGATACAATTCCATAGGAGAAAGCATACATGCCTGGAGTTTGAGGCTGATCATAACCCCTTTCAATGTGGTGGAATAAACGGTCATGAAACGGGCAGGAAGGAACATTGATCCTGTGAGGATTTGTTAGGTTAAACAGGAGTCAGAGATTACAGTCAACAAGAACATTAACTTCAATGTGCTCCACCTGGATCCAGCGAAAGAGATGGTAAGGACAGCTTGGTGATCCATGTTTGAAAAAATATGCAGATCTTTCTACCAAACATGTCCCTAATGTAGGCAACATTCCTCCGGCAGCAATATCCTAGAACTCTCAGCAGAAATGGAACCTGATCTGTTTGAAATAAACTTTTATACAAGTGATTTTCTGACTCATCAACTGATTTTCCAAGAATGCTGGCCCAACTGATTGAGTGTTCAAGTTCATATTTATTGTTCTTTCAATATTCTTATACAGTTGTAGAGAAAAAAATTTCCTCTGCACTGAGGGGGTTTTGAAAATTCTGAGGATTTTAATTGTCAGAATTCCGCATTGAAACTGACGAATGGGATTAGAAAGGTTAGGAAAGGAGTAGATATTTTCAACAAAAGAATTTTGATTCTTGTAAGTTATCTCAGACAGTGCTTTAAAATACAGCCTTGTCTACATCAATCCTTTCCTTGCAGCTGAAAAGTGTTTAAACTGGTACCTTAGTGCATGGTATGGTGAACACCCATCAGGATTCTAATCCAAGGTTTACAGAGTTCTTGGTTTAATATACCATTTTCATCTATTTTGAAGCTTTCAAGAATAAATTCCTTCTTAATCTCCTACTTCATGATACTGCATGATAAATTATGAGTATTTTCTTGAAGCACTAGTTCTTGGCCTGGATCTTGCTCTTCTGGTAGAATGGATTTTCCAAAGCTCTTGTCTTCTAGCTTTCAGTCTCCAACTTTTGGTACACATTCATGAATCTGCCTTCTGTCATCTTCACTTTTCAGTGGTTCTACCTTACCTGTAATAAGTTTATAACTTAAGCACAACTACCTCATAACCCCCCCCCCCTGTCTCTCTGATCTGTCTTCTCCCACCATGCTTTTACCAGCTACCCCTCATCCCTCTCCCCCACTTCTAATCCTAACATTTACCATGCTCTAAAAACTGATCCTACCTCTATCCACAGAACTGCACCTTGATCCGTGGTGTAATTGTTAATCCTCATCTCATATTTCTGAAATGGGCAGACCAACCACGTTAATGCATATAGTCTGTATTTAATCTGTACTTATGAAAGGAAAGTTTAGTCTAGTGTTTTTTTTTAAAGGTACGGTTAAGTTTTATATTGAACATTTATATCTTTGATGTTTACTATTAAGTAATGTCAAAAATTAAATCATTATTAAATCACATCACCATTACCATAAAGTGTTAGATGTTAGTACCCTAATATTCGTTTTTCTTCCCACCTCTCCCCTCCATTACTTCAGTATTAGTGTACCCATATTGCATGCTCAAACCTTTTCCTATATGGCTAGTTTTAATTTTGTTCTGTGACAATCCCCACCTTCATGCTCTCACTACCTGAAGACCCAATTAAATAGTTTGCCGCCTTTGGTTGGGGCAGGCATATTCAAGAATAACACTTTTTAAATTTATAGGTCACTTTGATTGGCTAAACATTGATATAAAAAAATAAATCAAATCATTGTATCCACAAATCAGCTCAGCAAACATAATTAATCTGGGGCATAATTTTAATTAAATGGCTGAAATTAATGATATAAAGTAGGAATATTCTAATGTTCTAATTAATTAGCTCAGCAAAGCATATTTACAATGGAATTTAAAGATAGCCTGTTCATTATTCTTGGTAGCTGAATAGAAGAGATCCAGAGATGCAGTACAGCCCACACAGCAGTAGCAGCTCAGCCTTAGACGCCTCTTATACCTGTCCTTCACCTCTTGTAACAAACAGATGAGTTACCAAATTTTAGCACCTATCGAACATTATTTCTAGATCTCCATTATGCTTGGAAGCTCAATGAAATCCTGTATTCTTTCTTTATTAACATTCAACATTCAACATCACACATCCTATCGTACGTATCCTTCCCAATTTCAACTACCCCCGTTTGATGTTCCATGTTGGTGTAATTCATCCGTCTTCTGATTCTGCTCCAACATTGCTTTCACTCTATGAATCTTTTTCAATGTTTCCAACTCTTCATTTCTTCTCTGACCTTACATTTCAATTGTTCCACTCTCTGCTTCAGGGCTTTCCATTCCTTGTGTTGAAGATTTCCACCCTCTCTTTTGGTTTCCTTTATGTCTGGTCTTTTGATATCCGATTCTTTACTAAAACGTTCACTGTTACACTCTGGTACACTATACATATTGGTACTCTGTACGCTCTAGTAGCAATCCTAACTTGATGCTGCACTGTTTCTGTTTCTTCTGACACAGTTTCTCCTATTCCCAGTTAAACCAGGTAATCACTATATTTTTCATCCTTGGAGTCTGTGGCATTTAACTAGGGTTCCTTGATAATCGCCACTGCTGCCAATTTGTAGTAAATACCCTACTCCAGAAGGGTTTCTCAAAACCGTATCAATCCAGGTTTAAGCTCAATCTCACTTTGCTATCAATGTTAAACCGAGCACAGTTTATCTTTATCTTGCTCTATCAATGTCTCAACTAGGGCACAATCTCTGAATCATAAAATATCAACGCCTCAACTTGGACATGATCTCAGAAACTAACAATGTCTCAACTTGAACATGATCTCATGAACTATCAATTCTCAACTCAGACACAATCTCTGAAAAATGCCCAATTAGTGTCTATCTATCAAGATGAGAGTTCAGGGCGTTTCTTGTTTGCTAAATGAGGAGCAATTACTGCTACTTGGTAATCCTTCAAGAGTCCATTCCAAATAAATATAATTGAAGTTTTATGTTAAAAGTTAAAGTTAATTGACATAATTGCAAGTTCTACGTTTTATTTACAACGTAATTAAGTTAGTCATGTTACAAAGTTATTTACAGCACAGTTGAGATGAATGATGACATAGTTTTGGGTAGCTATCTAACACATAGTTAATTAATAATGTATAACATAATTCAAGTTTACAGAAAAAGTGTTACATGATATTTATTACAATCACACAGGAAGAGACCTATCATCCCCCCTGGCTTACACCAATAGGTGGCAAGGATATAGAGATTAGAATATTTGCATTTGTGTCAAAAACTTTTTTGTTTATTATATAATTTTTTATCTTAATCTCCCAAAAAATTTCAGGCGCCCGTTTTTGCATTTATCGGTCACAAACAAACACCCAGACAAGCAAAGTATGTATATAGAATTAAGAAATAAACTGGATAATTAAAAATTTTTATGTGTCACGTATATTAGAAAATAAGAAAATGTGGGTCGAAGGCTTAAATAAAATGGTTGGCTTTCCTCTCCTTGGTAAAAGGTGTTTCTATGTTATATTAATAATTGATCTAATATTTTAAACTTAGTTTCTGTAACACTGTAGCCTAGACTAAACCATATAAATATGATGATTGAAACTATTAAAGTAATATCTATTTTGGTAAGTAGTTTTGGGCACCCTAAGGATTTCAAAGATCATTTCTAAAATGTATTAAATTAATAAACAAGTTATATTGTTTATATGTTTTGTTTTCTTCATCATAAAATGAAGTTTTGTTGTCAGGTGTAAAAGAAAAAAAATTTTACGATTAAAAAAAACAATTTAAACAATTTGCTAATGCTAGCTCTTGTGTTTTTTATGTGGCTAAATAGAAAATGTAGTATATAAATAAAATGTTATTTTTTTTAAAACAAAAATGATAATTACCATTTGATTAAGTCTGCACCATTTATCATGGAGAAGAGAGGTGCTGATTCATTGAAAGGAATTGATCGGTGAGAAGCCAAACTAATAAATTATGTGTCCATCAATTGTAAATAAATAAAACCATAGATTAGTTAACAATAACAAATAGGACACTAGATGTCGTCTTTTTAAGTTTAGGAAATTTTGTTTACAGTAACCCTGAGCCAGAAGCCCAAAGGAGTTCTGCGCAGGCAGCGCATGCTCTTTTAATATCTTGTAATTCTGCACTGCCTGCGAGGACCTTTATGAAAATAAATGGAAATAATAAAAGAACATACGGATGTATTTAAGGGGAGTGTTTGCGAAAAATGAAAGGGGGTATAGGCTTATGGCAAATAATAATCACTTTTGATCGCTACTAATCTTACTTTGTTTAAAATGACTTATACTGAAAAATGATTCAAACAAATTCAGAATATATATATGTCTCTTATCATTAAAAAAAGCAATTTAATTACAAATAATTATCATTTGCAGATTTTACAACCTAAAGTCATCAATTATTTTTCGACGAATTCTTATAAAGTTAATATTTCATAATATTTGTTATTTGTTTTATATGCAATTCACCTTAATCGACTTTTTTAAACATTTTTTTTCCATATTGACGCAACAGATAGTCATAGAAGTAAGATTAGTAGCAATCAAAAGAGATTATCATTTGACATATACCTATACCCCCTTTCATTTTTTGCAAACCCTCCCTTTAAATATCAATGACTTTCCAAAATTTTTCTGCTTGAAATTGCATGAAAAAATTGGCTTTTAGATTTTTTTTGACACGTTTTGATGATTTTGAATGTTGTTTTCTAAGTTTTATTAGCTATTTGTTCAGCAAATAATTGTCAGAAACCATCTTCTGTTTACACCCTTAAATAACATTGAGAATCGGTTCAAGAAAATAGGACAATTTCTCCAGGTGCTAAGCCTAGGACAGATTTGTGGGCCAAGCAATGGTCACTGATCTAAATTAGCTTCATACATTTATAATTTGCCTATTTGTCACACTTTTTGACCCTAAGACCCTAATTGTCTTACCCTTTGTTGTATTTTTGCCCATTTTACTGTTGACTTTATGTCATTTGACCCTTTGATATTTTTACTGTAGATATGAGGGATTTAATGTAGACTTAGCCAATGCTTTGATGGAGGCAACTAACAACACTTTGAAATTTAACTTGGAGATTTGGCACAGCTACAGCTCAGCTATAGGTAAATTCATAGTTCCTGTTCTTTTATAGGTAAATTCACAGTTCCTGTTCTTTTATCATAATCTCACACAAAACAAAGACAAGAGCTTATCTGTTTTATGGGCCCGAACCAAATTTTCCTGATTTCTTGATTGACTTTTTTGTTTTAAATCATTAAAATCCCATTTTTATAATCCTGTGGTTTTGTAAGAGATTACATGAGATATTATTTATTTTTGTATGTTTCACTAGTTGGAAAAAAGAGCTCACCATTTATGTTTTTAGATCTAATTCTGAATGGTTCTGCAGACTTACTCTTAGCAGATTTTTCCATCTTAGCCGAAAGATCAAAGAAAGGGATAGAGTTTTCAATGCCGTTCATGACTGTTGGTCATACCTTGATGGGAAGAAAAGCTGAGACATTAAAGGTTAATATATTTATTCTCTAAAAGTTGTTCTTTTCATAGCATTTCTGGGCTTAACCCTGTTTCATGTTTCAGCCATGTCTCTATTCCACATTGGTTAAGAGAAGCAGGAATGAACTACTTATAAAAATCAAGACCTCTTATCTCAAGTCTGCTACTTTGCTATGTTTCTTATTTTCAGAAATTCTTCAAAATTTTTTGTGCCATGTAGAGTCGCACTGTTGAACAATATTGAAAAAAATGATACTATATGATTCAAATCTGCTACTTTTCAAGATTTCTCATATTTAGAAGTTCTTGAAAATTTTTATAAGTATTTGGTTCGTACTCTTGAAAATTACAAATGTTGCAGAGAGACAGGGTTGCAAGGGTGTCACGGAAATAAATATTGGATTGGGGGCTAAATATATGCAAATTTTTTTGCCCCCCCCCCCCTATGAGCTCCTAGGGAGGGGCAACATTTGAACTGTAAATTCAAAACATTTGGCTTCTTGCTATGCTTTAAAGGTACACATACAGTCCAATTACCTTGCAATTACTACTTTATCTCTCCTTCAAACAAAACTAGCAGAAAAAACAGCAAAATAATTTATTTCTGCTCTTCACACTTCAGTTTTAGATTTAAAAAGTCTTATAGCTCTGAGTTCTTTGGGGGGGGGGGGGGGATGCCCCCTTTACGGGTTTAGGGGGAATACTTCCCCCCTTGCAGGGTTGAAACATGACATAATCCCCATTTTTGGGGCAGTTTACATCTATAGAGAAGAGCTGCATTCCTCTCTCTTTTTCAAAGTCACTCAAAATGAAACTATGTGATACCTCCAAATACATAACATTAGAAGCCGAGGTCTGTAGATTAAACAGGTTTTCAAAATATATAATACAGATATAATTAAGCTTTTGCTTAAGTGCATGGGCACAAACTAAAGCTTGTTTAATGGTTTGCCACCTCTGGTCTACATATATGTAGTGCTAAGTTTGTATGTGTTCATTTAGACGAAAATCTTAACTTGAACCATCATCTTAAGTCGGTTAAAAACAAAGCATCCAGTGCAGTTTTTTCTTTGTCAAATGTAAAAAATATTTCTTCCAGTAATATTATACTAACCATCTCCCACTCTTTATTTTGATCATTTATAGAATATGAAATTTCAGCCTGGGGAAGAAACAAATGTTCAGAAATGAAACAAATTCACATTTTACAGAAACGAGCAATAAGATTAATTGATAACTCAAATTCACATTTTACAGAAACGAGCAATAAGATTAATTGAAAACTCAAAAGCCACATCTCATAGTGATCCTCTTTTCCTTAAGCATAAGATTCTAACGATTAGTAATCTGTTAGACTTTAACCAAGCTATATTTGTGTATTAATATACATGTTTCGCAACTACCCTATGGCTGCTTAAAAAAGAATGAAACTGTACCTGGTGGTATTCCTACCAATCTTTGAATTGGAACCCTCTCCTCTAAAAGATGATCTCTCCATAATAACTCAGGATAAGTCTTCTAAGTTTAATGAAGGATTCAATCCCATAAACATAGAAACAGATTAGAAAACGGAATACATCACAGAAAAAGCTTAAGTAAATTAATATTCAATAAATCTCATATTTGAATAAATTATAATCTACTCAGTGTTAAAAAACTGTGAAGAAGACTTTTAAAAGAATAAAATAATATCTACATCATTTAATAATGATAAATAAGAGAACTCACCACGGTGGTCCTCAGAATATATTCACTTTTATCGTACAAAATATCAGTATATACTGTCTCTATTAAAGTTTGAACCATGCTGAACATTCTAGAAAATGACGCTGTACAGCATCAAACCGGTTACATGACAAATGCTAGAAATTAAGAGTTTTACCAACGCTTCTTTGTTTCTATAGCAGTCACTAATTACAAGGATGAATACTGTCTTATGCAGGGATATGATAGTTCATTTCCATTTCGTTACAAAGTTGCGAAACAATACACATAAACTTCTTTCTGCATCTTTTGAAAACATTTAAAACATTTTAAAAGCTTGGAAATTAAAATTTCAATGCACTAAATATAATACTAAAAACTCATTTTGGATTTTCAAATCTCACTATCTTCAATACCACAGTTTAAAGATAAAAGTTGCGATTTCATATTCTCATTTGGATTTACAAATTCCACAATGGAAATTTTTTTAATAAAGAAACAAAGGTAAAATTGCATTCAAAGCATATCAATATTATTATCTTATTTTTGTCATGAATCTCACTACCTAAGAACTTGACAATATTGACTTACTTTAATAAAATTGGGGCATTTAATTTTAGACCTACAGCCCCCTAGCCTTCCCCCGCTTGTATCATGTCTCATTCCCTCAGCCCATGTTATTCATATAGTACTTATACCCCTCTGTATATCAATATCTATCAAAATGTACCTCCTTGCTGCAGTTTATATTTAGGAGAATGGATTTTACTTCCTGAATCCTGTGAGTCCTGAAGTTTGGTTGAGTGTTGGAATATCTTATCTAGCTGTCTCTATTCTACTCTACATCATTGCAAGGTATTCAAATAGGGGCTTTGCTTCAAAACTATTCTCTTTAACATATTTTTTTAGACTTTCTCCATCAGAGCAAATATATCCTGAGGTAAATTCTTTATTAGAAAACAAGGAAAGCATAATACATAAAATTTTCATTATTTTCAAGAATGAAACAAAACTGACATTCTTGAACTCTTTCTGGTTTTCATTGGCTGCTCTGGTAGGACAAGGGTCTGAAGTTATACCACGGTAACAACTCTTTAAAGAGTAAAAATTGAGTTTTTATGTAATTTTAATATTTTTAACCCGGAACACAAAATTAAGGAATTTTCCCAAGTTCTTTAGTTTTGGTGACTTGCTTTTGTTTAAATAAAATAGTTGAATTAAGAGTCAAGGGAAAAGATCTAAATACCTGTTTTTTGTGAGCAAATAATATTTTTAAAAACAAACAAATTTTATTAACTATATCATTTAAAAAAAAATTAACAATGAAGGAAAAACACAATCTTTTTTTAAAACAAATATATGCCAAAAAATATAAAAACAATCAATTAAAAATCATTAACGATTGTTTACATTTTATGGATCAGTCAGGCTGTTGAACGATTACTAAATCCTTTGTTTGAAAAAAGCTTTAAAAAAGAGCAGCTTTTTACTAAAAATCAATTTTTTAATGAACTTTGAAAAAAGAGAAAGTTTTTTACCAATTGAAGGATTTTATTGAACTAATGATTTGAATAAACAAACATCTTTATTCAATGATTGTTCAGTTAGAAAGAAACTGATAAAGGAATTGATTATTTGAAGACAAAATATGGAACAAATAACATGCTGCAATGCAAAAATGTCATGATGAAGAACGATGTACTTTAGATGTATCTAAAAAAAAAAACAATAGTCAGTTATACTAACATTTGTGCCTAGGTCATTTTCAAGCCGAATACTTGTTGCCTGTTGGTGGGGCTTTATACTGATTATTGTCAACTCCTACACTGCAAACTTGGCGGCTTTTCAAACTGTAGCAAGACTTGACATTCCAATAGGTTTGTTAGTTCTAGTGATGGGCATAAAATTTTTAAGAACGCATGAAACATTTCCTGGAAATGGTGTTGTTTAGAAAACGGATAAACAAAATTTATTGTTTAGAGAAAAGGAAGAATTATCGTTTTTTTTTTAAATAATCAAAAAAAAAAAACAATAATGAACAATTTAAAATTGTTTGAACCAACTTGAAAAAAAACGGAAAATTTTAACTGAACAAACAATTGAAAAAAAACTTACAATTCACTAACGATGGGCTTTTAAAACAGCTCAGTTTATTGGAACATGCTTTACAAAAGCAAATCTTAAATAATAATTTTGCTTAATAAGGATCTCTGAAAGATTTGGTAAACCAAAATGCAGTTGACTTTGACTGTAAAAAAAATGGGGGCGTAGAAGCCTATTTAAAGGTGAGATCTTTAAATTTTAATAATAAATCATAATCATAAATAATCATAAAAAATTTTTATTGACATTCAAACTTATATAATGCTAATATTTTAGTCTTCAAAAAACCCATTGCAGAGACAAGTGTATAATCAGATACAACAGAGGAACAATTATTATTATATAAAAATATATAAAAACGAAACCAATTGTTGTAATTCAGATTTTCTCAAAATCAAATTCTTATTGCATGTTGTGAAATTTTCCAAACGCAAAATGATGTAAAGGTAAAAATAAAATTCCAGAGTGATTTTACAGCTTTTCTTTAAAAAAATAGATTATGCATTCATATTAACTTTGTTAATGATAGACAAAACAGGATGTCCAGAAATTCAGAATTAATAGAAAAAGTTCGGAGAGGGGGATTTATATTTATTTCTGGAAGTGCATTAGTAAAATATACAATTCAAGACGATTGTAGCTTGGAACAGATTGGAGAAGTGTTTAATACAAACAACTATGGGCTGGTATTCAGACCAGGTGCTCACTTTTAAATTATTCAAATTTCAAAAGTAGACATATTTTGTTTACCATTTTATCTTATATGAAAGGTGAGATTTTGTAAGTATAATCCAAAGTAAGCCCAAGGTGTAAGCTGATGGTCAAAGTTTTTGTGAAATAACAAAATGTATCAAACAATTCAAACATTTTATAAATGATGGAGTTGTACCTCACTTTTTTAAACGAACAAAAAAAAACAAAAATATGAAAAATTTAAAATTTTTCATTATTGTTTGCATCTTATTGATCAGTCACAACTTGACCTAACCATTTCTAAAGTGTTCATTCAATCAAACTTGAAATAGACTTAAGTTTTTAACTAAACAAACAAACTTTTGAATAAACTTTAAAAAAACAATAGTTTTATTTTACTAAATGAACAACTTTTTTAAACAAACTTGAAAAGGGGTCCTTTTTATACAAAACAAAAATAAGCAGCCCACATATTCCTAATGTTTACAATTTTTTAGATTTCAAATACAAGCAAGTTATGAATACAGCCATTCTAGGAAGAAAATTAATAACAATATTTAAAGATCATAACAAAACCAATTGCAATTGTGTAAATACATTTTAAAGTTTTTTTCCTTCTTAAATATTAGATAGATAAAATGTTGAGACACAAAAAAAGGACAAGATGTCAGAGAACACACAAATATTTTAATAAGTCCATTGAAGTCCTTCAGAATAAAAGAATTTGTAAAATCCTTAAAAGTTACAAAACAGTTTTCATATTATTTTCTTTTGAAATGAAGAGCTTTCTGTAAGTATTTCATTTAAAAATAAACATTTTTCTCCTTTATTGCGGAATATTTATTTTTGTAAATAATACTGAGGTAGAAATTGCTGAGTAAATTTTTTTTTTTGTAAACCAAACTTTATATTGGTCATGAAAAAAACTTTTCTTATAAAATTAGTGAATTTTAAGAGAAATAAGTTGAAAAAAATATCATAGTTTTTTTCTGAGAAATGATTACAACTTTTTGTTTGCCAAAAAAATTGATTCCATTACGCACAGTTTGATTCATCTTATTCAGGGAGTAAGGAATAGAAGGTAGAAATAACTGACGCAGTTTGCCCTACCATATGATTATGCATGCTTTGCAGAAAGTACTTTATTTGAATAAGAAATATTTGTCTGATGTACAATTAGAGTGTGCGTAATAACCTATTCTGGATATTTCTTATGCAAATGGAGCAAAGCATGCATAATCATATGGTAGGGCAAACTGCGTCAGTTATCTTGCCTTCTATTCCTTACTCCCTGATCCTAATCCATCTTCTCTAAAAGAAACTCGGTGAAAAGTTGTTCAAGGCTTGTTGATTTCCCATGGACCATTTATAGTGAATACTAGTGTAAGAGAAGTGCAACTGTTCTTATCGAATGCTGACAGACAACTGAGCTGAAAACTTTAGAATGAGATACTCTTAATCTGGACCGCTTATTAAATCTGGTGATTCATAGAAAGAGGAGAACAATTGTAATTTAATCTCGAAATTAAGAAAAAGATTCAATTAAGCATTAATCCTGATATCTAACATTCAAAAGTTCCCTGCTCTGACGACTTTCAAATTTGAATTATTGATTTTTGTGAGAACAAAAATCATGCATTTCTATGTTTGTTAAATGCAGTGTTAAATTAATAATCACACCAGGTTTAATGATTTTTTATTTATGCTGGCCCATGTTAAAACCAGCTCTTTACAAAGGAATTTCATTTGCTCTCAGTACGCCTCGGGTTCTTAATTTTTTTTTTTCTGCAGGAAAACTATGAGTTACAAAGGTTTAAAGAAAAATGGTGGAAACCACAACAATGTCAGGTCAATAAGAAATATAATTTCCTCAAGGTTAGTCAGGAGAACCGGGACAGTAAAATCAATTTTATTCTGAATCAGCTATGGACAAGACATGGGGTTTGATTAAATTTGAATTGACCAAAATAAGGGTTCCCTTAATAATTTCAGACAATTTAGTCCAGCCCTTTGGCCCTCATCTATTGCTAACATAAATTTAGGTTTATGCTATTTAGAGAAAATATAAAATATTTTTTAGTGGGTAAATAAATCTGAGCCAAAGAACGAGCCTCTAAGTTTCAGTAGAATTCAAGGTAGAACTTTTTTTGTGAATTTTGATAAATTTTTATTGAAAGAAATAAGTTCTTTCCACAAAATCTGATTTTCTAATTAATATACTTTTGGAAGTGGATGTCTTAGATCTAAGAAATCTTTAAAATCACATAGTCATAAGAAAAAATATTATAGGTTTACAAATCTTGAATTACGGATGCAAAGTTCAAATAAAGGTCGATGTATAGTTGAACCGTCTCTAGTTTAATAATTTAACAGTTTCTTGCAATCCATTAAATCCAATCCCAGAAAAAGAGATTAAACGTTTGAGTTTGTTGCAAGAGTTTAGTTCCTTTATTCAGCTATTCTCGGATTTTATATAACCTCTTACTGTAAAAAGAGCAAGTTGAATATATCCTATTCAAAACAATCTTTATTTACCATGTTTTCAGGAATATTCATGTTCCTTGGTGTTGGGGGACTTATGGCTCTTATTACTGCACTTTTTGAGTTTACTTTCAGCTATCTTGCTCAGGTTAATACAATTTTAATCCTAAATTATTCATACTGAAAAACAACTTTGTATGCCTTATCAATTGCAATTAGGCACACTCAATTTGAGGGCGAAAATCAAGCAATCATTTTGCACAATTTGAGTGGGAAAATGTGTAAAAAAAAATCAGCTTTTTGAACAAAATTACAAACCTATGTCTCGCTCAGAAGTCAGAATATATATACTATAGAACAGCAGTTGGCAATGGCAGTATATGGCTTGGTAAGTTTTGAAAAATACCCTGGTTTGGTATGACATTTTGAACATGTATTGGTATGTTCAAGGGTATATACGGGGGGGAGGAGCAAAGAGGCAGTCCCCCCCCCCCCTAGAACTCAGTTCAATTTATGTTCTAGTTGAGTTGGGGTTGTCCAGGCCCCTTCTTCCCCTTAAGAAAAAAGCCGGATTTCTTCTTAAAAGACTTAAATTTTTGTTGTTGTTGATAGATAAAACACGTGACGTGTGGGAAGCAAATTTTGAAATTTGAAACCTTTAAGTAAGAAATTAATAAATATAGGTACTCGGTAATTTGGGTTAAATTAAGTCAATTTCTGGACTGAATGCAGCAAGGACAGGCTTGTTGGCCAAGTCCTGTGACTATCTTGATGTGTAAAAATATAATTTTGTATTTCATGGTAAGTAATCATTTGAGGTTATGGCTCTGCTAAGGCCCAGCCCTGGGGTATAAGGGGCAGGGGACGGAGAAATTATCACAATTATTTTCATGATGTTTTGGTTTTCTGTTTGGCATTTGTAAGGAACAAAACTATTTGAAACAGTTTTGAGAATACATTTTTTAATAATTAAAGGAAAGATAACACAATAATAAGCAATTACTTATGTGTATTTATAAAAACCACCTCTGGAGAAAGTTTCTAAAGTGTATCTTCAAACCCCCCCCCCCCCAGAATAAGTATGTAATGCACTGCATAACCTCCACAGTCCAACACTTCCCAAACCAAATGCTGCCACCTGCTGTTCTAGAGGTTTCCTGCCATAATAGTAAAATAACCACACTTAAAGTTGATTTTGATCAGAAAGGAATTGAGTTTTTTCCCCATACTAAAATTTAATCGAACAGTATTTATTGTTTGAAACATCAAAGGTCTACAACGTTGCGTTGCACAGATGTAGGACTCCATTAGAGTTTGTGGCAAAAACCCAATTCCCTTCTCACAGTTTTAGCTAAGAAATCTGATGATATCTTCATATTTTTTATTTTCATAATATTTAACTTGTTTTATTAAAAAAAGCAACAAGAACAGTATTTTTTTTTTAGTTTGTAAATTTGTAAATAATTACTAATCAAAAACTTTAGAATTATACTAGGATTAGATGAAAATTAATTATTTTTTATTTTTTCCTAGAAAAGTGTGACTAAACGAAGTATTGAAAATGTGAAAAATGAAAGAGAAAGAATGCCTGATGTAGAATAATGGGTACTGAGGATTAAAATCTTTGGAAATTATGAATTATTAATATTATAATCTAAATCTGTTCAGTGTTTTCAATGTATCAAAATAAATATCAAATTTTAAAGAATCTTCACTGCAAAGCTAAGTAGAGAGAAGAAAATGGTCATAAGTGGTACAACTTTGTGACCTTGCAGCTTTTATAATTTTGATTTTGGTCTGATTTCAATTTCAATCTTAATGAAAGTATACCGCCACTGATTACATAATAGAAATTCAAAGCATATTTTCTTCTCAATATATTGTGCTGTGATTTCAATCTTGCTGAAAATGTACACATGTTTAATGTGCCTTGAATTATTAAATGACCCCGTTTGAATAAAAAAATTGCAAGGAAAATATCTAGAAAAAGTAAATCCAACAAAAAATAGAAATGTGACTAAAGAATAAAGGGTTTTAGGGAATGAAAACTTGAAAGCTAAAATTATTATTGGAACAATCTTTCTTTATTGTTTATTTTTATTTATAACATTGGAATATGTGTGCAAAATTAAATAAATGGGTATTTTTTATAATGCTTAAAATTTGCTTGCATGAACTTTCTTCAAAATGTTTAAGAGAAATTTGAATTGAGATTTTGAAAACTTTCTGTTCATCTGTTTTTCATTTTGTTTGTGAACGTTTAAAAAAAAATCCAATTTTACCATTTGTAAATTTTCTCAGCTAAAAGTTTACCAATGGTTTAATTAAAGTATTTGAGCTGCTGCTCCTTAACACAACACTCTTAAATTGGCACCTTTTTAAAGGTTAATAAAAATGAATATCCCATTTTTTCATAATACTGAATTTATGAAAGTTTTTAAAAAGTTTTTTTTGGTTCTTTTAAAATTATTAATATTCTTTCTAGTTATTGACTAAGGAAATAAACAATTCCTGCACAAAGAAAACCAATGTTCAACTGGATTAAATTTTGTTGCTTCATGTTTATTTATTAATTTTTTTTCAAGAAGTTATTAAGGAGGCCGCTTTCTCAGTAATAATTTTTTTTAAACTGAGAGTTAAAATCCTTGAAACGAAAGTTATAATGTGACTTGCAGAGGTTTTTGTAAGGACTCTGGATGTTCAGATCTGCAGAACTATTATGTCTTGAGATGCATATAGTTCTAGGAGGCTAGGCCTTCTAGGACTCTTAGCCTCTGCGTCCGAATTAGGGTTTCCATTTGCTAAACTTTTGCGCATTTTTTTATGAACAAAACGCAAAATTTGTCTGTTGTTGCGCATCAGTTTTGCTCCAATTTTGCGCAATCATTCGCAAAAATCATTTTGCGCAAAATCGCCCTTTTCAGCTTTTTCACAACTTGAGTTTTGCGCAATTCTGCAATTTCCCTATAATCATAAAGTGTATTTCTTGAAATTGAAAGGTTTTTAGCCGGTATCTGAATTCTGGAAAAAATCTGGGTTTGGAATGTCTTGCTATTGGTCACTTTAACCCAATATATTTGACCAATGACAGTCAAGATGAGTTCCGATCTCTGGGTGCCCATTTTATTCATTAGAGCTAAGGCCCTAGGAGAGCCGCGGGGGGGGGGGGATCTGGCTTTCTAGAACGCCACTTTTCATAAATGTCGCTTACTCAGATTTCAGAATGCCTTTGCATTGCCTTTTCAGTGAATTATTGGCCTAAAAGAAGCATTTGTACTGTACATAGCTATATGGACAGGACTAGCCGGTGCAAAAAGGTTGACCCGGTCAGACTTTATGCTTCATATAGGTTGAATTTTCTAAAGGGGCAGATGCGCATGAAGAGAAGATCAAAACTGGCTCAACTTTGTGACCCCGTAGCTCCTCTAGCTTTGATTTTACTCTCAAATATGAGAAAAGAAAGGGAATTGAGTCTTTGCCAGAAAGTCTGATTTTCTGTTCCCTATCTTTGCAGCCCAATGTTGTAGACCTTAGCTAATTCAAACCATGCAAAGATATAATCTGACTGTGGAAAAGACTCAATTCCTGTAACTGGTTACATTGTAGAAATTCAAAACATTTTTGTTCAATTTTTAAAAGCTCTTAATAATAAGAGTCATGATAAAAACATTTGAAATATACTTTAGTTTATTGAAAAATAAGGTTTAGACACAGTTAATTTTTACAATATTTATAATTAACATTGAATTTTTACTTAAAAGTTATAGCTGATAATGATGATTTCAGAAATAAATCAGGATATTTGCTTTGAGAATATTTTGCTACACTCCCTACACCTTTATATTCTTATAAAAATACTGATTTTCAAGATTTAAATTAAATTCAACACAAATTTTATTTTCTTTATTTGTAATTATCTAAGGAACTGAGTTTTTGCCACAACCTGATGTCATAGAACTTTGATATTTAAAATATGAATTCTGTTAGATGAAATAGTCTAAGTTTGAAATATCAAAGATTTACATCATCTGATCGCAAAGATGTGGGGATTAGAAAATTTGCGTTTGGCCCTAAAACTCAATTCCTTTAACGAAAAATGAGCACTTAACTCTATTACAAAAAGGGAACTATACAGTTGCATACATAATCTTCAGAGCTAATCCACATCTGGCATTCTTTTACTTCCATTATGTATATCTTCAATACCTCTTTTAATCTCACATTTCTAAAGAGATGAAATTTAAATTGTCTAATTTTTTAGTTTTTTCATAGATTAAAAAATAAAATATGCAGAAGAAACATCTGTGATAAAATCTAAAAAAAAAAGCAGTGAAAAGGAATGGATTCCTTACAACAAACTCAAATTTTCAAATAAAAAATAGGAGTTGGAGGCAAGAACTCAATTCCTTTGTTTAAAACCTGCTTTTGATAAGAAAAATTTTTTACTTGCTGGTTTAAAGTTTTTTTACTTGTGGATGTAAGGTTTTTTTTAACTGGTGGATTCTCATTTGAACTACTGCCGTTTGAACCATGGTACGTTTAAACTATTGTTCGTTTGAACTATTGTTCATTTGAACTACTGACATGACGTCATATCCTGTAGTTTAAATCAACGCATTTCTTGCTCATTTGAACTATTTTCCTACCCCAATTCAGTTTTAATTTTTTTTTTATAATTCCCATAAAGTTATTTCATGACAATTAATTAGATAACCGCATTACACAGACATGTTTCAAATAAACATAAAAATAGTTTAAATTAACAAAAGAAATAGTTCAGATGAACATAAAATAGTTCAAATGAACATAAAAATAGTTCAAATGAAAAAAAAATAGTTCAAATGAACATAAAAATAGTTCAAATAAACATGAAAATAGTTCAAATGAAATAGTTCAAATGAAAAAAAATAGTTCAAATGAACATAAAAATAGTTCAAATGAAATAGTTTAAATGAAAAAAAATGAAATGAACTAAAATATAGTTTTAAATGAAAAAAAGTAGTTCATATGAAATAGTTCAAATGAAAAAAATTGAAATAAATTAAAATATAGTTTTAAATGAAAAAAATAGTTCAAATGAAAAATAAATAAACAAAAATTTCAAATAAAATTGATAAAAAACATATAAATAGTTCAAATCAAATGTGATTTACTCCAACTCCCGACGTGATTTTACACGGCCCCTTTATCTGTCACCTCCCACGGGCCCGCGGGCCCCCGAGGCCCCCTCCCCTAATCACTTTGGCTGACCCACAGCACAATCCACTTATACGTGTCCATTTGCAACCTGTGGAAATAGTGTTATGTGATATTTGTGTCCGATGTTACAGTTTCAGTGACCAATACAAGATAAAAGATTTTAGCAAGGGGGGCAAGATTTCTGGCCCCCACCAGAGGCGCAACTAGGACTTTTGCTAGGGGGGGGCAATATATTATTTTGTTAGGGTGTGGGGGGGGTTTCCCCCCTTTTTCGAAAATTTTTCAAAAACAAAAGTGCTTTTTTAAGGGTTTGAAGTCGAAAAAAGGAAATTTTAAGTTGTTGCATGCAGCTTTGGCTGTGTTCAATTCAAATCGATTTTTTGTTCTTGTGTTTTTACAAAATTTTTACTTCCAACAGCTGTAAAATGAATTATATGAGTCAATTCATTGAATATGTGTGCGAATCGCAAAAGATTATTTTTTAAGTACCTGGTTTAATTACAGATTAAATTGCAAGAAATAATCATAGTTTCTGGAAAAAAACAAACATAAAAATACATAGGTAAATAATTAATTCAATCATCTACATTGAAAAAGGACAGATAATGTTACCTTTTCTCTTGAAGTTATTGAATTAATGATTGATCTAACCAACATTCATAATCTAAATTCATTTTAGATTTTACAGAACTTCTGTCAAAGAAGATAAATCTTGTTAGTTATCAAATATGATAATCAGTTAGTAATTTTGTACATGATCACTTTTTTAATAATTTTCAATTAAATTAGTATTTATTTAGGGTTAGGTTAGGCTAAGACACTTTCTGGGCCGAGTGCTGCGGCTAGGGCCCGAGCTCTGCGGACACATTGTCAATTATATCATGTCCTACATATAAGATTATATATTTAGGGTTAGGTTAGGTTAAGACACTTTCTGGGCCAAGTGCTGCAGCTAGGAAAGGGCTATGGGGCAGAGCGCTGCGGCTAGGACAGGCTAGGGGGCCGAGCGCCTCGGCTAGCTAGGATAGGCTAGGGCCAGGGGGCTGGGCGCTCGGCCACATGGTCAGTTATATCCTTTTCTTACATTTAAGATCCATGTACATTAAATTGATAGGAGAGGGGGCGGGGGAGTCCAAAAATCGTTCTCTAGGAAATTCCCAAATTTTATATTAACAGGAAATTTATACAAACCTTTGTTATTGTCAACTCTTACGTTTTAAACGTAGTTTTTTTGTCCATTTGAACTATTTTTATGTCTATTTGAACTTTTTTCTGGTCAATTTGAACTATTTTTGTGTTCATTTGAACTTTTTTTGTGTTCATTTGAACCATTTTTTTGTCACATTTTAACAAATTTTTTGTCCATTTAAACTATTTTGATGTCCATTTGAACTATTTTTTATCCATTTGAACTATTTTTATTGTCCATTTAAAATATTTTTTGTGTATTTGAACTATTTTTTGTTCATTTCAACTAATTTTTTTTTCATTTGAAATATTTCTTTGTCCATTTAAACTATTTTTGTGTCCATTTGAACTATTTTTTTTGTTCATTTTACTATTTTTATGTCCATTTGAACTATTTTTTTTCATTTGAACTATTTTTATGTCCATTTGAACTATTTTTTTTGTTCATTTAAACTATTTTTGTGTTCATTTGAACTATATTTTTGTTCATTTGAACTATTTGTATGTCAATTTGGAACTATTTTTATGTCCATTTTAACTTTTTTTGTCATTTTCATTTGAAATATTTTTTTCTCATTTGAGCTATTTTTTTTTCATTTGAACTATTTCATTTGAACTATTTTTAAGTTCATTTGAACTATTTTTTGTTCATTTAAACTATTTTTGTGTTCATTTAAACTATTCTTTTGTTCATTTGAACTATTTTGTTGTTCTTTTGAACTGTTTTTATGTCCATTTGAACTATTTTAATGTTCATTTGAACTATTTTTTTGTTTATTTCATTTAAAATATTAATAGTTCAAATGAAAATAGTTCAAATGAAATAAAAAATAGTTCAAATGAGCAATATATTTACTCGTTTGAACTATTGTTCATTTCAACTACTCACGTGGTACCACGATGCAGTAGTTGAAATGAACAAAAGTTCAAATGAACAATAGTTCAAACGGGAGTAGTTCAAATGAGATAGCATCTTTTAACTTGCTGGTGTAAAGTTTTTTTTACTTGTGGATGTAAGTTTTTTTTTAACTTGCTGGTGTGAGGTTTTTTTACTTGTGAATGTAAAGTTTTTTTTTAACTTTCTGGTGTAAAGTTTTTTTTACTTGTGGATGTTTGTTTTTGGGGCAAATCATAAAAAAACTTATTTTATCTTTTTAACTTTTTATTTCATTCATTCATATTTTATTTCATGATTTATTACAAATAAGCAATCACAATTTACTATGCTGTTTGGACCCGCTTATTCAGAATTGGTTGTTTTGAGTTGTTTGCCTTAAGTTAGTTAACGATACTGAATAAAATTGGTTACACAAATCGAGTTATGTTTTTGCATAGGTAATGAGTTGATTGGAAGGAAGGAGATTATCAGGTGATCTGTGGAAGGGTGAGACCAGAGGGATTAATGCAAAGATAAATTAAAATAAGGTTGGTGGATGCTCAAACACAAATAAGCTAATAAAGTTTCAGTTTTTTATGTTTTTTTTATATAAAAATTATTCACACGATCGATATGCAACTAGGTTTTTCGCATTTTAACCTCTCATAATTCTCAAGATAAATATTGATTACTCTTTGTTTAAATATCATCTTACTTTTGTAACAGAGCTGCAGAAGAACTCAAGAAGTGCAGATATGAGAGCCAGAAGTCCCCCAACACCAAGAAACATAAATATTCCTAAAAATGTGGTAAATATTCTCCAGAATACCCCCCCCCCTCCACCTTAGACTTCTAACGAGCTTTTTTCAAATTACAAGTTTACAAGTAATCAAAAAGAAACTGCTAATTGACAGGTTTTCTTTGTTACCATGTTTATATGTTGTTAGAAGAGGGGAGGAAGGCCAGCCACAATAATTTCTCGTCCGAGCCACATTCTCCTCATTTTCTCGTCCGAGCCACCTCGAAATCCTCGTCCTTTGCTTATTATGTGTTTTTAAGTTTTTAATTCTTGAAGATAAAGCCACGTTAGGGCATAAAATATGCATAGAATAAAATATTGGAATGATTACATCATTTTGAAATCTTCAAAACCGTGAGAATGATATCAAACTTTATTTAGGTGAAACTTAAATCTCTTCTGCCTCCCTAATGGCCACCTTCGTGATAAAAATGAATAGCAAAATATTTGGCATACCTCAGCCTATAATTTTCGAACGACCCAAAAAATCTATGGTTTTCGCTTTAATTAATATAAAAGATTTAAGTTCTATAAACTTTGAATTATTTGCGGCATTCTATACCTAGATTATCTGAAAATACACGTAAAAAAAAGGTGAATATTTTTCAGGACATTGCACTCACAAACTTTAATTCTAATGAAAGTATTTTTTCGTTTTACAAAAATTTAATATTTTGTTTATGCTCTAACGTGACCCGATTAAAAAAAATCATCTTGGAGAATTTAACACTTTAAAAAGATAATATTTGAAGAACGAGGATCTTGAGGTGGCTCGGACGAGAAAATGAGGAGGTTGTGGCTCGGACTAGAAATTGTTATCGCTGGCCTTACTCCCCTCGTTAGAAGCCTTGGTAGAAATAACAAATTGTGATAGTAAGTCTTCTTCATTGTATTGATATATACAAGGACTACATGTATAACAGCCAAAAAACCCTTTCAAAGCATGAACAAATCATATTCTAAATTACAATGAAATCAGCATGCATGTATATCTGAATCTCCCAGAGGAAGGGCGTCAGCAGAGCTTTCTGAGCCTGTTGAGAGAAAGGGCGTTATGTGCGTTGTACGAGTTGTACTTGTATAGTAGTCTAGATATTAAGATCACTTCTCTCCACAACTGAGTGAGAGGAAAGCGTGACTAATTCCTGACAAGATATATGAGTAAAGATAAAAAGATGAACACAGAAACGCAAAAAATCAGGGATTAATTACATGCTGATACCGGTTAAAAGGGGAACAGAGGTTCATAAATCAAATATCATATACTGATTTTTAACCCCCTCACAATGGAAACTGGATTACTCATGGCAGACCTCTGACAATGTTAGGCGAAAGACACACTCCCCGTGTTTTAAAGGGAGTGACAAGAAATGTAAGGTGGTGGAACTGAGTATGCAATGTTGTGGAAAACTTCGGATTAATTTAATACATATAAAACTTTTTAAAGATCTGAAAATCCTGAGTTAGAGCGCAAATTCGACGTTCAAAACTCCTACTTTGGGGGTGGATACGTTTCCAGAGTTAGTTTCTTTTTAATTATTAAATAACGACGACGAAAAATAAAGTAAAAATTATTCAGTAATCTAATTATATTCGTTTGAAACACATTTCTCAAAAGAAATTTGTCAATAAATCAATGCTAGAATCAATTATTTCGTTTTCATCAATTTATTGAATTTCTTATTTACTGTGAATTTATTTGCAGATTTCTTCAAATTCTTCAAATGTCGTCTTTTCAATAATATTCTAGAAAATCGGCAGAAAATCTTTGTGAATAATGAGAAACCAGAGTAATGAGAAAATAGAAACTATAATTGAACAAGATTACTTATTTTCAATGATAAGATTAATTTTTATTTTCTCAACCTGTTTCTAAACAACTAATCAGTTTACTGCAGAATTTTTGTTACATTTTATGTCGTCGTTATTTAATAATTTAAAAAAAACTAATTCTGAAAACGTATTCATCCCCAAAGTAGGAGTTTTGAACGTCGAATTTGCGCTCAAACTTAGGATTTACAGATCTTTAAAAAGTTTTATATGACTCAAATGAATCCGAAAAAAGTTTTCCACAACACTGCATACTCAGTTCAACTGCCTTACAATGCCGGTCACTCCCTTTATAGCGATGGGACAGCATGCTTAGGTGGTTAATCTTTTTTAAAAAAAATCTGTCCATGTGGGAATACATGTTAACAGTGAAGACTATAGTATATCTCATACCAGTTACCCTGACACCCTCATCCTCATCCTCCTACCTCCTTAGAAAACTCCAAATTCAACCTGTCCTAGGCAGTTGTCTGTTTTTACGATCTAGTTTATTACGAACTAGTTTGTCAAGAGTCTAAACATAGATCTGAACTGAAGAAGAAACCCAGCAATTCTTTGAGTTGCGATCAAAAAAGCTTTTTTCCAAAATTGCTTGAAGGCAGGCGCGTACGAGGGCATTTGTCTAGGGGGGGGGCACAATTTGCGCGCGTAAGCGTGCAAAAAAAATTTTTTGGTCCCCCCCCTTAAAAACCCCTTTTTTGAAAAAATATTAATACCTTTTTTAAAAATGTTCTGGTAAACAAATTGATTATATACACACTTTTTAAGTGTTAATAAATCATTTATGTAATATTCTTAAGTGGACTTATCAGAACTCCTTTTTAATATATATTGCCTAGCCTGAGGAAGGGTTAAATGCAAGCAGATGTAATATTAAAAGACCCCCTCCTATGGGTGCCCCCCGTCAGCCTCTTAGGGGGGGCGGGGGGGCGCGGCCCCCCCCCTCGTACGCGCCTGCTTGAAGGGACAGTTAACAAAAGAAGAAAAGGTAAATAAGATTTAAAATTCAGTGATGGTGATGGACCAAACCTCTATAGAGTAGATATTTCCACATTCATTGAAAATATATTTTGGTCTTGGCTGACCCTCGTCAGTTATAACGATATAAAAACATTCAAAATCGGTAAAAAAATATAAAAGGAATTTTTGTTAAAAATCACAAGAAAATAAAAAATAAAAAATAAAAATTTGGGCTGCACAAATGTACATAAGGGAAACGAACTCAGATTATGAGATGGAAAAAAGATAATTTGAAGACAAAAAGAAATAATAAAATATATGTATGATCTGTACCTAAAATTTTTTAAATTCATAATAATTATTAAATTTAGAATAAAAAATAATAAATATGTAAAAAAAAGTACAATGAAATAAAGATATTAAAAGAATTCACCGATGAATGAGCTTTCTGTAAATTCATACCTTGTATTCTATCCAAACTTAAAGGCTGGTTTTTTAGAGCAGCTTGCTTTGCCTCCTAAATTAAATATTACATTATGAAAACCTAAACTTCTTTTTATTTTAGATTAGATGAAAAGTGAACCTGGGCTGGGATTTAAAACTAATAAATCCTCCAAATCTTATCTTACACCGTACATGTCAATTTTAGTGGTTACGCGTCCGAGTCACTGCAGTTCATTTCATGTACCGGGCCGAATCTCAACTAGTCAGAGAAAGCTGTACAGTTCAAGAACGACTATATGCGACAAAACGGGAATAAGCCAAATGATTGATCCAAATAGGATTGTGATCACGTTAATATAAAAAAATCATATCAAGGAATATGTATGTAATGTATATAATAAGAAAGCCAGAAAACTAAGAAATAGAAAGACGACATTAAAGCAACCCTTCTGCGTATTCAATATTTTTACGGTGGTGTATTTTTTGACCAACACATATCCGCCATACTCCATTTCTGACCTACGCCAAATCCGCTATACTACACATCCGACCTTAGCACGTGGTATTACAACTGCTATATAGACTTGTGGCCGCAGCGCTCGGCCCCCTAGTCTGTCCTAGCCGCAGCGCTCGGCCCAGAAATTGTCTTAACCTCACCTAACCCTCAAATAATACTAAAATAAACAGCTCATGGCGTAGGTCCGATATAGCAATAGGTCGGAAAGTTAGTATAGGTCAGAAGTTCAGTAGGGGGGATGTTGCGTATAGACGATGTAGCATTACCATTTTTACAGAGCTAATAGTTTATTAGTAACTTATTAAATCAGATATAAAAAAGGGGTTTGTTTAAACTTGCTGTGACTCATGATTATTGAACTGGAGTCTTAAAGTCGTCTTCATATTCCAGAGTTTCATAGTTCTCAATAAAGCATGGAAACTGTTTCATTTTATACTAGCTTGGTAACCCAGCGATGTGCAGGTGAGTCATAGTTAGTCCCACCGATTACCCATTCCATGTCGTAAATTACGATTTTAGCTATTTTTCCACATTCTCAATTTAGAATCTAAAAATCAAACCAGTACCGTGGCTCTCCCGAGTTTCCCAATAAAAATTTGAGGCAAATCAGTCCAGGGTTTCCTGAGTTTTTATCGGACAAACTTACAGATAGACAGACAAACAGAGATTACAACTTTCTATACATATATAGATTTAAAGTCTTGAAATATATTTGTGTGCCCATAATTATAGGAGAAAAAGTTCTAACAAAGACCTGAGCCTCAGGAAATTGAGATAGCAAAGTATATATAGATATATATAAATATAAATATATTTGTTAGCTATAATAACCTGACCTGACAATGTTGAGGCTTCCACCACTTGTCCCTAATTTTTTTTAACTCTTGGTTTTCCTACAACAGTTAGATATTGAAGAGAGTGACTGTTTAAAGGGACTGTAAGCATAATTTCAATTTCAAGTGATACAAAAATGGCAATTTTACTAAAGTATCCTTGAAACCTTAATCTGATAAAATATGTCAAAGAAAAGGGTTTAACTGACTTGAAAAGTGTTCAATTCTAATAATTTCTCCAGTCTTTCTTAAAAGCAAAAAAGTCGCTTTTGCAGAGAAATCAAAATAAACAGATTTCAGAAACGAAAATAAAGGAGTTCTAAATTCAAATTCATTTTTGATCAGATAAAAGTTTAAAAGGTTCTGTTGTAAATCGAACATTGCCATCTTTGCATAGAGGGTCACTAGAAATTACACTAACACTTCCTTTAAATAAAATTATGAAGCGATCTATATTTATAATTTTATATTTTGAAATCCATCTAAAGGGTGTCCCAATAAACATGGGAATTCAGTGACGAATTCGATATCGTCTTTTTAAATCATTCTTTGATTTCGTATCGTGATACCTACTGACAAAGCTGAAAGAGTTTTGTCTGCTATATTCACATTTTGTTTGTTTATGTTTTGACTGCATACGGTTGTACTTAGTAAAACAAGAAAATTGCAGTATACAAACAGAGTAAACTTGTCTGTCTTCACTGTTCATCTTGCAGAGACATTATAGGCACATATTTACAGTCTTTTACCCTTTTTATAAAATAAACTCTAGCAGACATAACAATATTATGGCTTTTGAAATTAGGTATTACAATGCTAATTCATAACAAAGACGATATCCAATTCGTCACTGAATTCCCATGTTTTTTGGGACACCCTGTATAAAATCTATGTTGAGAAGTTTAGTATTCTTTACGAGAAATTTAAACTTCCCAAAACTGGGATTTTTGATCCATCCTACACATTCTGTATTTGTTTTGCCAACATTTTCAGTCAGTGAAATGGATTGAAATAACGTTAACATATCATCTTTATCATCCCTTCGCACCTTCAGTACATTATTTAATAGATATTATTTTTGTAACCTTACAAGGTTTCTAGAATTGTTGCTTGCCAGATTTTTTCCACATTTCTAATCATGGCCAAAAATATCACTGTAGGTGTGGGAGGAGTAAAAAATCAGAAAAGTGATCCGGAGACTGGACTGTGCCTCAACTATTCTCTACTCAGAAACCAGAGGCCGAATTTAAATAATTTCTGCCGCGGCTTAAATTTCAGCCGTCGTCGTTTCCACTTAAAATTGTATTAAATTTTTCAATATTTAAGCCGGCGCTCAATTGAAACCGGTTTTTGGCAGATTTAAGACGCGACCCAAAGTCATTAAATTCGGACACAGAACCTTTTGTGCTGAGATTTTCTGTATCAAACACTCATCTCAATAAACCATATCTTTAACTTAACATAATTCCTCTTTAAAATCCTGGGATTACAATTCCCTGCGTTCTTGGAGAGATTAAGAATTAATCCTTTAATTTAAGAGTGCCCATATTGGATATCGAGATCAAGTGTTTTAATTGTATAAAGACAAAAGTTCTGATTTCTGTTCACTTTAATTATATGAGAATGATGAAGAAAAATACTTACAAGAAGTTCTTCGGTTTAAAGAAGTTAATAACGAAATACTAATGTTTTTATTGCTTTTTATGTTAGTTTCAAGTTAGACTAAACTAAGGTTATACAGAAAAGGAAATGAGTCTTTGCCACAAACATGAATTTTCTAATCACTCATTGTCATAGACCTATAGATATTTCAAACTTTGCATTCATGTACACCATAAGATTGCAAAGATATAGTGATACAAAAATTGAGTTTGTGCCAAGGTTTAAATTAGCTACAATTTACAAAATAAAAATCTTTGTCGACAAATTTCCGAAAAAATGGATAAAAAGACGACATTGCTTCCACTGTTTTATATGGTTATAATTGTATAAAAAACTGATTCTCAAATGTGTTCAAAAGATCATTTTATTAATTTTCTTCCTAGAATAGCTGAATTCAATTTCCACTTGTGGGTGAAATCTAAAACAAAAATCAATGTTTACAAAAATCTTTTTTTCTTTTGTTTTAATTTGTATACCCTTTATGTTTATTTTTCCTACAACTAACTGGTAAATTGAACAAAAAATGAAAGTCTTCAGAGGAATGACAATACTTAGAGATGGGCATTATTTTTGACAACAAACAAAATTTTCATTAACGATAGCGTCCTTTAAAAAAACGAATGATGTGTAAATGATCTGGTTTATTCAGAGAAATGTAAAAAACGATAGTTTTTTATCAGGAACAATATTACTCTTGATTTTAGAGGGAACCAGGGGTTTGATCATGGGATGGCAATCCCCATAATCCTATGATGAGATCATCGACGTAATCCCTCGGCTGATGTAGCAGCTAGATAGGGATCTCCAGAGAGTGTATCTAGGACCCTCTCAACATTGTGTAGGACAGCAGCTCGAAACCTATGTTCTGTCTGATAATTAGATCTCGGAGCAGCTGGACTCTGTGGCAGAGTCTAGACTAGGTTGATCCTCTCTACCTGAGCAGATTTGCACTGTTTCAACTCTCAGGAGAGGAGGGGCCCAAGGATCATAATCTGGATTTTCGGAATCCTCTGTATCTGTGCTGAGGCCGACGGTCTCCAGGGTTACATCAGAGTTCTCTGGAGTCCAGGTTTGGAATCAAGGACTCAAATACCTCGTCTTCAGGGAAGAGTTGATGATGCTCTCCTCTCTCCAGATGTCCACCAGGAGGACCCACAGGCATACAAGGATCAAGGTGATGCAGCATGTTCCTGGAAGAAGGAGGGGGAGAGGAGGCAGGTGAAATGCTCGGGAGTAGGAGGGATGAGGAGGGAAGAGTATCTGGTTATAGATTGGAGAGAAGGCATCAGTGCTAGGGTTCATCAGGACTGGTGCAGTGAATGCTACAAGAGACTCTATTAAGGTGTGATCCTCTTGATGATCTCTGTAGTACTGGCGTTGATGCGCTGTCTGGGTTTGTGCGGCAGCTTGGTCTCTGATAGCATTATGTATCTAGGGGGTGGAGCGTCTCAAATTTAAACATGTAAAAAGGGACTGTTCCCTTTTTCCATTAGTATATAATTTTTTTAACTTTAAAAATTTATTTTGATTAAATTTTACAATATTTTTAAATTTCAATATGATATCAGATGGAAACATTTTGATACTTCTATATTTCTTGTTTTTCATTCTTTCTTCTTGAACGTCCATTCCTTGTCCATCCTTCAATCATACTTTGGCTAATTTTGAAAATGAAAATAAATGAATTTTTTGGATGTTTTCTGCAGCTAGCCAAATTGCAGAGGCAGAACTATTTTTTGAAGCCCTGTATCTATATTCTATATTCTAAGATTGGCCAGGTTACTCTCTCCCTTGTTTGTTTTTAAATTTTGCTTCAGTGATGTTACTGTGACAGCTCCTGCATTCCTAGCTAAAACACACTTTCAATAAAATTTTCTTGATGGGGGGAGAGGGATGAGGGGGGCGTTTTACACATTTTTTCCAGTTTTTTATCTCGAGTAGGACCTAGGGGGGGGGGGGATGTGACGTCTACCATCCTGTGTATTTGTCTTTATACCCTATAGGTGAAAAAAATGTGAAGCTCAAATCCCCTTCTAATTTTTCCTGTTCAAAGTTTTCTTCTTCTTTCTTGTTTATCTTGCTTTGAGCACTCATCTCTACTGTCAAGAGATTTCCCTTCCACTTTTTTCTGTTCAAATTATTTTTTCTTCTTGCTTCTTGTTTCTTGTTTTTACACTTTAAGGCCTTTCCAAATAGTTCTTTTAACATTGAGTTGTAGAGCAGGTAGGAGAGAGAGGAGGAGGTTTGTAGGAAGAAGGGTATAGGGGATTTCTCCCTGTGTTCCTTCATTTTATACTTTTTCCAAGTTAGGGGAATTTAGGAATTTACTCATAACTGCACTCTTTATGCAAAATGGGGAGTTGTTATCCCTGAAAAGCTCTCTTCAGAGGAATCTTCCATGGCAGTCCAGTCCTCACATCTGGTTGAGTAAAAAACCGGTATCATTGTGAATAGCTTGTATTCCCACGAGGGCTTGAACTCCTCTTTCAGTGCACCAAGCTGAAGATGAAGTTTAGTTTTAATCTATGTACAATTCTTGCTTCCCCTGTAGGATACAAGATGCATAACTAAACTCAGCGCTTCTCCAGCGACTCCAGCTATAATTCTGGGACTACACAGTAGGTCCATTCTGCTTGAGAGAAAGCAGGCAACTGCCATTAGTATATATATATACACAAAAAATCTTGTTTATCTTATCTCAGAATACTTCATTCCACAATGATGAACGAACGAAATAAAAAGTGAATATGCACATCTCTAGCAATACCTGGTCTGAACACCAACCCATAGTTGATAGTATTGAAGATTCCTCCAATCTGTTCCAAGTTGCAATCGTCTTGAAGTTCATACTCTATTGTTGGATTTTCAGCAATTAAGATGAATCCGCCTTTTCTAACTTTCTCAAATCCTGCCGTGTTCGTGGTAATTCTGTTATTTCTATCATTATCAAAGTTTTTACTTTTTAAACTGATCAAAATTGTTCAGAATGGTTTGATTTTATAATCTATATATCTTTCCATGATGAACGTCATGAATCATAGTCCATAGATAGAAATGGGCACATTCGATTTTTTCATTTGTTTGTTTATCATTTGTGAATGACCCATTTTGTTAGTTTTTTCCAATTGTTTAAAAATTATCAGTTTAGTTTGTTTTTGAAATTATCGTTCATTTCCCATCTATTTCGTTTGTTTTCTCACCGATCGTTTAGTAAAGTCTTCAGTTCAGTAAAATCGTTCATTAAGTGAAATTGTTTGTTTAATAAAATCGGTTATTCAGTAAAAAAACTATATTTTATTTTCAAAAATTTGTTCGAAAAAATCGTTGGTTCAGAAAAAAACTATCACTTACAAAATGGCTATTCCAAAAAAATTTGTTTTCCCAAATCTTTTGAAAATTTTTGTAAAAAACAGCCGTTTTCTCAAGTTCGTTCGAGTAATTTTGAATTGTCCGTGTCTATCTTATTAAATGCAGTTTTAAAAACGATAATTTGTCATTTCTCTGATTAATCCGTAATGTTCATCAATCATTCGTTTTTTCTGAACAACACCCTTTTTTACAAAAAATTTCGTTCGTTCTCAAAAATATTGTTCGTTTAAAAAAACGATGCCCATTTCTACTTATAGACCTTTGATATTCCAGACTATAAATTTTGATACATGAAAGAATAGGGATTCGAGAATAAAAGTTTAAGGCATGTGTGTGTGTACTGTTCATTATCTATTTGGATATAAAGACTAAGATTGGACCCTTTGTTATGGCAACTCACAAGGTTCATGGGAAAATGTTGAATCTTACGATTTATTAAAATCTCAAAATTTTAACAGAAAAAATCCGAAAATGTTTTGTTCATTCTTTGCAGGAAGCGTCCAAAAAGCCAATTAGGGTATATCATTTAGATAAAACTTGTTTCCTTGTCTTCAATTGATTGTATGCTTGTCTTTGCAGAGGGTCCCTTGAAACCTAGAATATTGGGATAATAATAGACCATCAATTTGCGTCATACAGGGTGTACCAATTCGTCACTCAATTCCCATGAATTTTTGGGACACCCTGTAGATAAAGATAGATTGTGCATAAGACGACATTTTTCATCTTGAAACATATAAATGTACAGAGATGTTTTAAAGATATTCCTATAATAAAGATTAACTAGGTGGGTTGTGAACATGAGCTGTTCTTATGTCATTGTTCGCGGACTGTTCAATTCTTGGTGATTTTGCGTACATAAGCTATCTATGTTTATTTATTTATCTATGATTTGCATTCAATATACATTGGTGTCCCATAAAACTTGACAGTAGAAATACGAATGGAAGGTCGTCTGCAATAATTTATAATAGCTATGGTAATGTTGACAGCACAAAAAGGCAAACAACATTTTGGAAATGCGAGGACTAGGGAATGCCCATGAATGCCGCAAATTATAAATTATTTAAAAAAATCAAATACGTCCTTTATTCCTGCTGTCAAGTTTCGTGGGACACCCTGTAGAACAGTCTTGCGAATATTTCAAAAAGGGAGTGACTGCCAAGAAGTGGTAGCTGACCTGAGAGTGTAGTACAGGGTGTCCCACGAAACATTGCAGTTGGTAAATAATTTTAAATATCGTCTTCCATACCCTGTATAAGCTGTTAAAGGCTGTTTGCAGTTTATTTCTTTTAACAAATCTTTTGCTCACATATTTTTTGCTTTGAAGTTAATTTTACAATAATATGACTCCTATATAATATTTATTATTGTCTTTCCTATCAAACAACTTAACAAACTATGGAAGAAGACATTCTAAACTATTTACCAACTGTCATGTTTCGTGGGACATCCTGTATATCATACAATACAATATGATTTATTTGATCAGAAATCTGAGTATGAGGCTATGAGCACAACGAACGCAAATGATCTATAGAACGTATTTTTAATGCATAAAATTCAAAGTTTAAATAAAACAGCATCAGGAAAAATTTCTTACCCTTAAAAAAGTTTCCACCATCCCATTTTCTACACAATCCCATTCAACTGCTTTTTGGTTTATCAAATCTTGAAGTGATCCTTAATAAAACAAAATTTATTTTCAAGGATTGCCAAAAAAAAAATTTAATCTTTACGAATTTTGCTTTGCTAATTAGTAAAAAAGTAGTAATCTCACTTTGTCCGTCTTTCTCAGTTAATCAAATTATTCTTTACAGGAATTGATTGAGGCATCCTTCCGCATAATGGGGGGATGGATAACATAACTCCTAATCCCCTTCACCAATTCGACTTAAATTTTGATTGGGGAACTTGGTAGAACCTCGGGAATGTTCTTAGTTTTGGTTTCTGTAGTTTTAATCTAATATTTTTGTCTAATATTTAACTTATAAAGTTGTCTTGTTACAGTTTTTCATTGGAAATGCTTATACCGAAAAAAAGAAGAAAAGTGAGAAAGTTAAAACGAGTTATAATTAATTGTTCGGATTGGGATCGAAAGTCACAGCTGGGATAAGGAGTAAAAGATATGAAAAGGTTTAAAATAATTTTTAAAATACTCTATCTAACTATAACCGAATATCGTGCGACTTTCTTCCGCCACGCGGGAAACAGGAATTTTCACTTTTTAAAACAAACTGATCGTTAACGACATAGAAAAATCGATCGTTTTCAAAAGAATCAGTTTTTTAATTAAAAAACGAAGCGGTAGTTTTTTTTATTCGTTGTTATGTTAACAAAGATAGGTTGTTTTTGGTTTTAGACGATCTTTAACAATCGTACGTACGTACGCAGCAACTTAAAAAAAATCAAATCAAATGTTTTTAGGGTAACATTTACGATAACAATATGTTCGTTTTGTTCTTCAACAGATCTAAATGAACAGTTCGTCAGTTTTAACCCGTCGTTTTTTCGTCTAAACCCGAAGAATTGTTAGTCTTGAAAAATCAAAAAAGAAACGAAAAACGAGCATTTAGTTTGTTTTCTAAAACAGTTAACATCCATTCTCATGGTTTATGTTTCAAATTGAATGTTTTGACACAAAAAGAAAAATAATCAAGCACAAATTGACACGGGCAACGCCTGGGTATTTCTGCTAATGTCAATTAAAGTATATATAATAAGTATATATATAACAGACCTATTGGAGTGTCAAGTCTCTCTACAGTTTGAAAAGCCGCCAAGTTTGCAGTGTAGGAGTTGACAATAATCAGTATAAAGCCCCACCAACAGGCAACAAGTATTCGGCTTGAAAATGACCTAGACACAAGGAAACTGATTTCTCAACCAAAACTTATGTAATTGTTAAAAAATCCAAATTTTAAATATTAAAGAACTTGCAAAGAAATGGGCTTAGATAATTATATACTTCGGTGTGTAATCGAGTTTTTTTTATAAAATGGGGTTACTCATTTAACCCCGGAATCAAGGTTTATAATAAAGGTTTATGCTCAGGTCAGGTTAGGTCAGGTTAGGTCAGGTTACCGTGGTATAACTTCAGACCCTTGTCCTACCAGAGCAGCCAATGAAAACCAGAAGGAGTTCAAAAATGTCAGTTTTGTTTCATTCTTGAAAATAATGAAAATTATATATATTATTCTTTCCTTGTTTTCTAATAAATATATTACCTCGGGATACAATTGCTCTGATGGAGAGAGTCTAAAAAATATAAAAAAGCAAATTATTTTTTAAAGCAAAAAAATCAGTTTTTGAATACCTTGCAATGATGTAGAGTAGAATAGAGACAGCTAGATAAGATATTCCAACACTCAACCAAACACCAGGACTCACAGGGTTCAGGAAGTAAAATCCATTCTCCTAAATATGAACTGCATCAAGGAGGTACATTTTCTGTGCTTCTGTAAGTGTATTGCTAGCAGCAAACCTCTTCAGTAGAAATGTTGAAAGATATTGATATACAGAGGGGTAAACATACTATATGAATAACATGAGCTGAGGGAAAACTTGGAGGCGCAAATGCGAAATGAGAAAGTTGGAGGTGTTAAAGAAGGAACTATCTACACGACACAGGGTTCAGGAGGTAAAATCCGTTCTCCTGAAGTTTTTTTAATTTCATTTTTTATGTTACAGAATTGACATTATGATAAACTATAGCTAAAGTAAAATTTCGATTTTTTGAAACAAAAACATTTAAATTTCGATTTTTGAAGAACAAACAAATTTTTTTTAGCCTGTTTTAACCCCGAGGTATACATAATCAAAGAGCTTTATTATATAGATGACATTCGAAGTTCAAAATTTGTTGATTTTTATTAGTATTATGATCTACTAGCTGAAAGAATTGAAAAAAAGGTTAAAAAATAAATTTCCAACTTTTTTGGCCTAAGACACCCTCGGCTACCCATGGTGTGTCCACAAAATACATCAGCCCATTCGGTCCAGCCGTTTGGCCGGCTACAGGGAACATATATATGAATGTCTTGTTTTATTATATAGATAGAGAATAAGATTTGAAAGATGTAAAAATGGATATAAAGTGATATATTTGTAGAATATTGTAAAATATTTTATCTCTCAAAAACTTGATTTCTTAATGCAAATTAACTTTTTGAAATAACATTTCTGCCATCCAATCTTTAAAAGTCTAAAATCTTTAAACAAAACAAAACAGAATTTGATCTTAAAAGTATTTAAGTAAGAATTTATGTTCAGAAAACTTGCTACATGTTCATTCACAAGGATCTTGACTCTTGAGTTATATTCTTCCTTCGTTCCTTTTAAAATCCTCCCATTCAAAAAGCTTTTGTTCTTCGAAACACTGTCCATGAGTTATATTGTTTTTTTTTTAACGTTTAGGTTGAAAACAACTATAATTATCCATTAACAATTCTTTTTTATCAAGTTGGTTGTTGAAGTCGATAATAAATGAAGGCTTTGCGTTCCTTTGTGAAAAATTTCAAGATGTGTTTTGAACACATTTGGAAAAAATATAATATAAATATTGTTAGCTCGAAAAAACGCTTTTTGTTCGTTCGTAAATGTTTTCGAACGATGTAGTCTGAACCATTTAATTATGTTTAATATGATACAGTGAATCCCATTACCAGAAATATGAATACATAGCAAGAGTTTTTAATAATGTCGTATTCTCAACATATTTAAGATCAAATGCCGCGAAAAACGAGTTTAATATATCAATTGCTGTCCTTCATATTTCAGGGCTATTAATTTACCTTGAATTAAAAATAAAAAGCAGTTTCTAAAGAATTATCAAAAAACTTATGATATTTGAATATATGTCATAAATCGTACTCAACCCTTTGAAGTTTATAACACCTCAGCAGCTTTCTTTTTGTGCAGACCAAGGATAAAAGCATTATAGCTGGCATAAATTTTGAATTAATTTCAAGACGACATTTCGTGCGCTCTTGCTGTGTATTCATATATGTGAGATTAGCTGTATGATAATATATTCATACATTTTACCTTTAACTTCTCAGCTTTTCTTCCCAGCAATGTATGCCCAACAGACATGAAAGGCACTGAAAAATCCACCCCCTGATTTGATCTCTTAGCTGAGATTGAAAAATCTGCTAGGATCAAATCTGCCGAACCATTCAGGATTAAATCTATAAATATTAAAAATTATTTGATTGCTATTATTTATATTTAAAATATTTATATTTGACATGTGTGTATCTTGGGGTTTGTTTGTATTCAGTAAATGCCCAAACGACTGAAAAGGGCCAGTCTATTTTTAATGCTTCAGCCCGACATGAAAACAGACAAATCCATGCGCAACAATTAATTTGCTTACTGGTCTATTTGCTACATCAACACAAAGTTTTTTTTTCCAAAATCTCTTTTTAAGAAGCGTCTAAACATGGACAAGCAAAAAGTACAAAATTCCAAAATAAATAAAAGTTTTTGATTTATTTATTTATTTATTTTTTTAAATAATTTGTGTTAGATTTTTAGTGTGTTTCGAAAAATGAATTAATTCATTTTATGAAGATTTTATAAAATTTATTTTGATGTGTGGAATCTGTACCTATTGCTGAATTGTAGTTAGGCCACATCTCCATGTTAAATTTTAAAGTATTGTTTGTAGCTTCCACCAGAGCGTTTGCAAAATCAAGGTTGAATCCCTCATATCTGTAATAAGTTATTTTTTTCAGTCATACATTTGTTTGGAAGTATAATATTGTTTTAAAGCCTTTTCTTATTTGCCCGGTTTCCGGTTTCCTGAAGTAGTTTTACAAACAAGAATATTTAAATTTTTTGTAAAGAAAAAAGTTTTTAAATAAACCCCTAAATAGAATTGAATTGGGTTTTAAGGTGACCCATCAAGAAAACCTTCAGTAGAGATACAAATGATTTTTGAAAAACTTCAATACAACAGTCGTAGTTAATATTTTTGACGTTTTATTAACAATAATTATAAAATTAAAGTTAAAGTTTCTTTGTTTGGCTTCTTACCGATCAACTCCCTGTAAAGATTCAGAGCCTTTTTTCTCGATGATAAATGGAGTGCTCTTAAGTAAATAAAAATTATTTAATTGAGTTGAAAATTTCATAACTTAACAAAAAATAGTTTTACAGCAAAAATCAAACGAAATATATGCCGCGAATTCGAATTTTCTATTTTATGTCTCTTCACACCCTCATGGTATAAGATCCATTGCCATTCCAATTTAGAATGTCTGAATTTATGGCAAATGCGCATTAGTTTGTTTGGAAAATGCGCCCAAAGAGAAAACAACAAGAATACCGAATACCAAGTGGGGGGCCGGGGGGGATAGAATAGAGGGCCTAAACTATCTTACAATATTTTGCAATATTGCAGCAGAAGAGAAAAATTGATTAAATCACATTTTTGTGTAAAAAAAATGGTAAATCTGTATAACCGATTGTGTTAAATTGAAAAAGTGAGACACTTGTAAACCCAAATAAAATAAAGAATTAAATTATTACAAAAACGCACTGAAAACCTTTTTACTGTACTGCTTCTCACAAATAATTTAGATTTTGTAAACGACAAAATATTAAAAAAAACGAAATTTTTCGTAATTAAACTAATTGGATGTTCAGAGAAATTAGAAAATATCGTTTCTAAACAACAAAAAAATGAACGTTTTAAAAACATTAATGGTCGTTTGCATTTTATAGATCGTTCTTACTAAACAAATGCATTTTGTTAATGAACTTTTTAGTTAAAGTGACGTTTTTTTAATGAACGAACGATTTTTTTGAACGAATTATTGAAAATAACGATCGTTATTTTTTGCTAAGCCAACAAATTTTTGAACGAAATTTGAAAAAAGAACATTTTTTATTGAACGAGCTATTTTTTTAACAAAAGTTTTTAATCAACGAACAATATCATTAGTATTACTAATATTACTAATTTTCAATATGTTAACATTTCAATAAAACATTTACTTTAATTTGGCGTGTTTAACTTATCATTTACAAGATTACATTTAAATAAATATTATCAATTATTATGATATTTCAAAAAGTGTTACTCACCATCATGGTAATCACTTTAATGGTTTCTATTCCCATGTTTAATGTATTTTACTCTATGCTGGTTTAATGCCAACTAACCAGGATATTTAATAATGAATAAGAGTTTGAAAAATTAATTACGAGGAAACACCTTAGTTAAATTTGTTAAAAATTATTTTTAGACTAACACCGACTACTCATAAGCTCTACTTCACACAGATTCTGCCTGCTTATAAAAAGTCTCATCGATTTTTAAGACAGGGTCGACTTTGACGTGTCACAATGCCTTAGGCTTCGATTTTACCGCTCTAACTAACGTATGCTTTTCTGTTTCTCTTTACATGTACATTTCAGCACTATAAAGCACTTGTTGTTAGCTTTGGGTTTAAAGAAGTAATTGGCAAAATTATCATAGATTTTAGCTTGAGAGCTTTAAATCACAGTGACCTGGACAGGATAGCAGTTCTATAGTGTCCTGTCTATAGTGTCCCATGCTACAGTTCCATGACAGGTTCCATCTAACAGCCACTTGTTGTCTATAATACCCATTCAGGGGTTAAGTTTTACGTCTTTCTTGCTTCACATACGGTTTTATCTTCCATATGAATACGATTAAGATTTAAAGGGTACCGTTGTGAATCAGACATAAGGCTCTGAAGAGTCACTTGAAATTACGTGTACAGTCCCTTTAACGATGTTTCTAGGCACCGAACCATCGACACTTTCGGGAGTAATTACCATCGCGTTATACCTAATAAAGTTAATGCAAATAGACTCATATCCGTCGGTTGAATCTATATATAAATTTGGCTTGTCTGTCTGTCTGTTTGTTTGTTTGTTTGTATCCAATAAACGTCAAAGTGGCTAAACCGATCGGGCCCAAATTTTTTGTGGGACCTCACGAAGCCCTAGGGAAGGTTTATGAATGATCAAAATTTCAAATATTTGTCTCCATCAAAATTTGATCTTCATTAAATTTTTGAACATTTTGAAAATCCACTAAATTTTTTGTGAAAATCCGCGAATTATTTTTATTTTGTTTTACGATGTACACAAAGAGAACATGTTCACATTTAATTTAGAAGATGGGCGCGAAGCGCCCTCTAAGGCTAGTTTCTTATACATAGATTTACAATTACTTTATATAAACTTTTCACGTCTTATATAATTGAGAACCGGTTTAAATTGTATTCTTTTTACAATTAAATTTTTTTTAAACCTATGTTTCGTCATTAGTTGAATTTTCTTTTTTTCGTTGGGTTTTCAATTATTCTCCAAACTCTATTGACTGTTGGGTGGGACCTTTGTAAAATCTGTTTGTATAAAATATATTTTATTTTTAATTAACGAAAATCAATAGTTAACGAAACACCTTAACATTTGTAATTATAAAGAATTACGTGTATTATATATTGGAATCTATAGAAAATATTCAAAGCTATGAACATTTTATAAAAAATAAAATATTAAGATTTTTGATATGCAATAATTCTGTTAAGGAACTAATATTTAAAATTCATAGTTTTAAATATTAAAATAAAGTTGAAAAGATATAAGAATTAGAAAATTAGAGTTTGACTAGTTTTTATATGAAAAATTCTGTTACGGAACTGAACATTCAAAATTCATAGTTTTAAATATTGATATAAGGTTGCACAGATATAAGAACTCGAAAATTAGAGTTTGATTTATTTTTGAAATGCAATAATTCTGTTAATGAACTGAATATTTAAAATTCATAGTTTTAAATTTTAAAAGTCTTTAAAGATAAAGGAATTAGAAAATTAAAGTTTTACTTTTTTTATTGCCTAAATTTTCATCCAGTAACATTTTCTGTCTTTATTAAAAAAACCGCCGGTTTTTCTACTTTAAACCTTCTAATTAAGTAACAATGAGGAGAAAGATATCGTCGTCTTTTCTACTTTAAACCTTCTAATTAAGTAACAATGAAGAGAAAGATATCGTCGGTTTTTCTACTTTAAACCTTCTAATTAAGTAACAATAATGAGAAAGATATCGTCGTCTTTTTTTGCTTTAAACTTTCTAATTAAGTAACAATGAGGAGAAAGATATCGTCGTCTTTTCTACTTTAAGCCTTCTAATTAAGTAACAATAAGGAGAAAGATATCGTCGGTTTTTCTACTTCAAACCTTCAAATTAAGTAACAATGATGAGAAAGATATCGTCGGTTTTTCTACTTTAAACCTTCTAATTAAGTAACAATGATGAGAAAGATATCGTCGGTTTTTCTACTTTAAACCTTCTAATTAAGTAACAATGATAAGAAAGATATCGTCGGTTTTTCTACTTTAAACCTTCTTTTTAAGTAGCAATGATGAGAAAGATATCGTCGGTTTTTCTACTTTAAACCTCCTAATTAAGTAACAATGATGAGAAAGATATCGTCGGTTTTTTTACTTTAAACCTTCTAATTAAGTAACAATAAAGAGAAAGATCTCGTCGGTTTTTCTACCTTAAACCTTCTAATTAAGTAACAATGAGGAGAAAGATATCGTCGTCTTTTTTACTTTAAACCTTCTAATTAAGTAACAATGAAGAGAAAGATATCGTCGTCTTTTCTACTTTAAACCTTCTAATTAAGTAACAATGATGAGAAAGATATCGTCGGTTTTTCTGCTTTAACAAATGTTTAATTCTGGCAACAATTGATTTACTTGTTTCTGGAGCAAATATCCATGCATTTATAAAGAAACCACAATTAAATTATGATCAATTTTAGAAAGACAAATAAGGATATCTCCCAACAATGGTTACAAGAGTAAAATTTTTTACAAATGAAGGGTAACTTGAAAGTCACTTGAAGGCGTTTTTCAAGGTATAATTTGTCTCATTGACGTTGTATAAATCGTGTTTGTTCACAAGTCATTAAATCATTTTAAAAAGCATGATTAAGACTTGACGAATTTGAATTATTGTTTTACAAGTTTACAACCCTGGCATAATTAGTCAAGAAAACACTGCTCTAGAGATAACAAGTTAAATCATTTCAAACCAATAAAAAAACATGAATACATGTTTAAGTTGCAGGAAAATGAAAACAAAGAAAATGTATACTTTCGTAATTTTCTTCTTTAGATTTCTCGGACTTCAAGCAAGGTTAATTTTCCTAAATTTCATACAAAGATGACAATCAATAATAAATCAGGGACTTTCATAAGGAGCCATATTGGGTGTACAAATTCAAATATCTAATAATACAATTTTGAAAATGTCCTTTAGAGGAATAATACTATTTTTAAACAAATTTTCAAGGACTCAATTATATTTATAAAGAGAAAATTCTGTCAATTCCTTGCTGTAAAAATAAACTATCTATTTTAGAGCGAAACTATAAATTATGAAATTATTAAATTTACAAGAGAGAAAAAGTTCTTTAAACCCGAAAATTGAAGAAAGGGGGGGCTCTACTTTTCATACAGGTCGGATAAATTTTCACATCTTACTCCAAAACCCTGGGAGCAACTTCAATATCCTAGGAGCACTCCAAAACCATGGGAGCAGCCACCCATCCCTCTCCTGTAGCTTAATTAATAAAATAATATTAACCATTTCTGATATTCTTGAAACAGCGACCCGGCGTTTGACTGTTCTCCACCCTACCATATGAATAAAATATATTTTTTTGCAAAATTTGTTCACAACTATGAAGTTAAAAAAGTGAAGAATAAAACTTCTTTACTTTTTTAATGTCAGCCAGTTGAAAGTTCTTTAGAAAAAACCACAGGGGGGGGGGCTGGAAACCCTCCCCCCCCATGAAAGAATTAAGGAATAGTATTTAAAGGATTTTTTTGCAATTTTTGTAATGCATAGGGTAGAATGCAGGGCGGTAAAAAAGGCCGGCCGGTAAAAACAAATTTAACCCTATTCCTGGGGGGGGGGGGGGGGGTAAATCATTTGCTTACAACTATCATATTTTATCATTTTTTTGCACAAACATTTTTACTGCATGTATCATTTGTCACAATTGGACATCAAACATGAAATTTAGAGGGAGGGTGGTGGGGGTCAAATTGACCCCGCCCCCCAGCGTATCCTGGTTTTCAAGTACCCTATAAAGCCTGGGGGGGGGGCGCCAATACCTATTCTCTAAGGCTTAGAAAAAAGCCTTAGAGAATAAGTATAGGGTTGACGTGCATGTTCATAGACCAATTTTTCAAGGCCAGCTCATTAGACCGATAACTTTAATAGTTTGGGTGTTTTGAAGGGTTGAAAAAAAGGCCTAAAAAAGGGTCAAACAAGTGAAAAAAAATATTTTAGTTTTGTTTTAAACAAATATCAAAGTGTGACACATGTTTCTACATGCATTTTTCAAGGGCTTTTTAAAAATATAGTTTTAAGATCTGTAGCTTTAGTCACAAAAAAGTTATGGGCTATTTTAGATTTTTTTTTCAGAGAACAGACTTTTTTTCCCGCCCTGTAGGCTGTACCCTACCCATGAATAAAAAAAAATAAAAAAATGTTAGAAAAAAAATCCTTTAAATTACTATTCATTAAAAGTCAAAAAATGTCACGGGGATAGTGTCAAAAATGAGAGTGCTAGGACAAAAAAAACTACAGGGGGTGCGCCAAACGCCACCCCCCCTTCCCCAGCTTGTTTAGGGGTAAGAGATCCTCTAAACTTTTGTTATTTAAGCTACAGATCTTAATACCGGTATGTAATACCTCTGCACGTGCACTATAGGGAAGTTGCTGTGATTCTCGGAGGAGTGAATAATAAAGGAGCTCATCTTGAGATACCTGAAATATATTCACCATGGCCTTCAGGTAAACTTTTTTAATGTTATTTTTACTGTGAGATCCACAACACTGTGAAATTAATGTCGTCTTTGTCCTTCTCAAAAAGTTTTGAAATCATTGAATATCTCCTTTTACAAAATATAGTGTTTTAAATATTAGAACCTTCACAAGTTCACAATATTTGTTGCATGACCCGACAGAAAATATACTTTTGAAGAAAAAAGTAATTTTGGGATTCCCCAAATTCCCCAGGCATGTGGGAAATTTCCCAGATTCCCCGGCATTTGGAATTCCCGAAATTTCCCAAATTCCTTTAGGAATTTTAGGGTGGTATATTATAAGATTTTGGAAATTTCTCAAATTGCTGAATATTTGGGGAATTCCCCTAATAGCTAGGCATTTGAGAAATTTTCTGTATTTAAAAAATAAACAAAAAAAAAATGAAAATTTCCCAGATTCCCAGGTCTTTCGGGAGTTTTCCAGATTCCATTGTATTTGGGAAATTTCCCAGATTCTCAGGTATTTGGGAATTCCTCAGATTCCCAGGCATATGGGAAATTTTTAAGATTCCCAGGTATTTGGGGAATTTCCGAAATTTCCCAAGTTCCTTTTGGAATTTGAGGGTGGTATGTTTTTATGTTTTTGAAAATTTCTCATAAGACTGGATATTTGGGGAATTTCTCAAACCTCTTGGAATTTAGGAAATTTCCCAAATAACCAGGGATTTGAGACACTTACTATAATTACAAGAACTTTTAAATACAAGAATGCACAATTTATATGTTGAAGGATTCAATGATTCCGTGATAACAGAAATGATAAATATGTTATGTAATGAGTAATGATCAATGTTGTCAATTTGTGCATAATTTTGCATATTTTTCTCTTTTCTTTTGGAAACCTGTATTTTTATTTAAACAAATTTAAACTACACCATTTATATATGTCTTTATATCTTTGTGTGTGAATAAATCTTTATAATAAAAAACACCATCAATTGGAAATTTTCCAAATTTGAGGGTAGTATATTTTTAAGATTTTGGAACTTTCTTATAAGACTGGATATTTGGGGAATTCCCCAGACCTCTGGGAATTTTGGAAATTTCCCAAATAACTAGGCACTTGAGGTATTATTTGGGGAATTCACTAGATTCCCAGGTATTTGGGGATTCCCCTGATTTCTGAAAGAATCGGGGGTTTTATCTTTTAATTATAAGAAATTTCTCAAATACCTTGCTATTAGAGAAATTTTCCAAATACTCAGAGAATTTCACAAGATTCCCAGGTATTTGGGAAATTCCTCTAATTCCCAGGTGTTTCGGAAATTTCCAATTTTGACCATTTTTTAATTGCTGTCTTTTTAATCCATCTTTGTAACCCTGTGTATAGCAAATGTAATGATAACATAGGAAATTGAATTAAACTCAAACAAGTATTTTTATGTTGACAAGAAGTTGTCTTTTAGATTCCTGTGTAACTGATATTTTACTTCCTCGACACCCTAGCATGGAGTAGGATAATAAGAAATATATTTTCAAACCTTTTAGGATATGAACAATCCTTAAAAGACATACAAAACCTTAGAAAATTTTTTTTGTCAGTAATGATTGTAATTGTAATGATTCAATACAATTCTTGGTTAATAAAATATAAAAACAAGAAAGTACAGATTTTAATATCAATAAACAAACAAAAGGATATCTCTCCGATATCTTTAAATAAATTACTAACCCCCCCCCCCCTCCATGTTGTATCGTCACAATTCTAAGAATACAGTATTGAAGTAAATATATAAGATTAGGATCAAGTATATATTATCTAGCCAATCTTTACTAAGATGTCTACAAAAAAAAATATGGTATTATCCTTTCTAAAATTAGATATGCTGCAGCAGTATACCTTGAGAATGGTAAGCTAAAAAAAATCTTATTTAATTTTATTTTTTTCAAATATATTTTTTTAGATTTACAAAATAATGTTTTGTTAATATAGCTGAGATGTTGATTCTGTGTGCCACTTCGAAAAGGAACTGCTATTCACTCACCAAAGGCGAAGTACAATGGAATTTGCATTCAGGATTCCCGGACGATTCAAAATATGGAAATTTATTCTCTTGGACAGCACCGGGGTGTGTGAATAATCAAATGTTATTTTTTGAACAGATTAGATTTAATTTTTTTATCTAAGAATTGGAATATTTTTGGACATTAGTAACTTGTGTTCAAGAATAATTTTCTGATCCTTATATCTTTACAATCTAATGATGTAAGCTTTAATATTCTAAACATTAACTGTTTAATCTAGCTGAATTCAAAGCTTAAGATATAAAAACGTCAGGTTGCAATAATATAGGGATTATAAGATTGTAGCATTTTTTAGTGTGAATCCAAAAAAATCCACTTTGCATTATATTTTCTCGGGTATTTTAAGCATGATTTTTTTTAAAATACAAGAAAATATGTTTCATTAGTCCATGCACATTTTTAAAATTGTCACATTTTAATGTTTTTATTGTAGGGACCTGAAGCTATGGTTTCTGGGTAATATCCCCAGGATTCAGAGAGAATTTTTTGTTTATCAACAGTACTGGGACAGAACTAATACAACATTGTAAGAACTGTAAACTTTTTTTAAAGCAGATTCATAACCATCTAAACATTCTCCTTTTTTAGAGAAACCTTAATTGAAAAAAAAACACTCTGAAAAAAGAAATCATGAATTTATCATTCATTCCAGTACTTTTGAGATTATGGATGTGCCAGTCTATAAATAAAGGATTTTTCATTATTTTTTGATGTTATCATACCTTTCCCTTTCTCTGTTATTTATGTTGTAACTTGAAAAAATATATTTATGAAGAGACTACAGAATGCAATTCCAAATGACCCTCCTTGCAAAGATGGCATTTCCTAATTCTCAACGATACCCTTGAAACCTTTATCTGATCAAAAGAGTGGATGATATTGTTGTTTTTCTAGGTTAAAAATTGTTCAATTAGCAAAGTTGTCTCCATTGTTCCTCTAATATTAATTCCAACAACAAATCATCTTTATACAGTGTAGAGAAACCACAAACAATAAAAAAAAATATTTCATTCATTTCTTATCAGACAATGCTTTTAACATTACCTTTGTTAATCGGACTTTGCCAAAGTAAAAGAATGCATAAAGGCAACAGTACAATACATTACAGTACAGTACAGTACAGTACAGTACAGTACAGTACAGTACAGGCTACATTTTTTATTCTTAAATATTTTGTTGTTATCTAACATTTATTACTTAATTTCATTCCTGCCCTTTTTTGTTATTTCTGCCTTATTTTGAAAGATATTTTAACTGGATTTTGTTGTTTAGTGATGATGCAGCAGAATATTGTTCAGTAAAGCTTAATTTGGGCGGCAGGTAGTTTTTTTTCTCGAGAAATAGATTTGTAATTTCAGTCATAGAAGTCAATAGAGATGGACATCGTCTTTCTAAACGAACGGAATTTTTCTTGAACATTTGTTTTGTTCCGAAAAATTAACGAACAATGAACGAAAAAACTGGACCAGTCAGAGAAATAAAAATCTGTGGTTTTTTCTTTTAAAGGAAACAATCTAAAACTGTTAATGATAGTTCGCATTTTTTATCAATCAGTCAGTTACCAAACGATTATTAAATCGAATGTTTTTCTTAAAAATTAAAAAGAAAACCACGGGCAACGCCGGGCACTAGTAATAAATAAATAATAAGTTACCTTTTTATCCATTCTTAGATAAATAAATAATCAATAATAATTGACTATTTAGTGACCAAATTGTGAGCATGGGTGGATTAATTGGGTAAGAAGTTTGACTTTTTTATACCAATCTATAATTTCTCCAAATCATGCAGTCCCATCAGATATAAATGTTAAAGTCATAAATCTAAAACTGAATCGACCAAACTTTTGTGACGAAATTCGTAGATTTTCTTTAAAACTCGATAAAGGAATTAAGACTTTGCCACAATCTTTGTTTGTATAATTATTTATTTTTTCATGTCGTACATTGGATATTTCAAACTAGGAATTATGTTGAACAAATAATCTAAGTTTAAAATATCAAAGTTTTAGACCACAGACAGCTCGAGTTTGAAGCAAATTCTCAATGTCTTTGCATGTAAAATGTATTGAGCTTTGTATGCTTTATGACCAAATTATGGATTTAATGTTATCTCATCTTTCTTTAAAAGCAAAGGAGTCCCGCGTCAAAAAAACATAAATGATTAAAACTGATATCATGTAAGTTATTGTGTACAAACTACTTTCTATATTTATAATTTTTAGACCCAACTTGATAAGATTCAAATTTTTATGATTTTTATAATTTGTTATTTACAAAATATTATTTCTAATAATTCCTGGAAAAACAGCTCGGCTATAGTTAATATCTTCAAATCATATTTTTTGCAAAAAATCAAATTTGTGTCATGTTTTAGGTGGTCTAACAACTATTATACAAAAACAAGATTCTATTGTAAAGATCAAAATGATTTTACTTGTCCAGGTGAGAAACAAATTAAAAAAAAGGTTTTTTAAAATAAAGGGACCCAATTCTGAATCAACAAGTTACTTGTAAGACTATTTTCTTTATAAAAACATCAAACACATATCACCTTTCTTAAACCTAAGCAGGGTGAACAGATTGGTCGAAAAAACGCACAGTGTAAAAAAATAACAACACAGAATAGCCCATAATTAACCTTCTTGTTATTTTAGCTACAGACTTTAAACCTACATTTTTAAATGTCCAATTGAAATATAGAAGTTAAAATATGCATATTATTAGTTGTTAAACACGTCCCCAGCTGATTTAGCGCCCAGCCTCTAGGTTAAAGTGTTAAATGTCGTCTTCATATTTCACAATTTAGGCGGTAATGGTTTGGAGTATAGTTGGAAAGAACCAGATATTGAACTAGGAAAGGTAGATGGAACTTCATGTACGAGTTTTACTCATAATACTCATGGAACCAGTATACTTCTTACAGGTAGGAATATGTGGTTCTTGTACTAGTTTACTCATGATACTCATGGAACCAGTATACGTTACAGGAAGTAATATGTGGTTCTTGTACTAGTTGATTCATGATACTCATGGAGCCAGTATATGTTACAAGGTTCTTGTACACGTTATGATGTTCTTGTTTAAGATATTCAAATGCCAAAAAATTATATGATTTAAGTACTATCTAGGCATAGATCAATTCAGTTGCCTTAAATCGTGAGTAAAACTGACCTTTCATATATAGTTAAAATAAATGCCCTTCAGTGCTCATTTGAACTATAAGGAGGACTTTCTGAGTAATAAAAATAAATATAATCTCTTAATTTGTTATAGGTCGGTCTCCTGCTCAAACTGATAATATTGTTAAGGTGTTCTATGTAGAAGAGTGTTTTAAAGGTAATTTGTATTAATAATAAATCAGTTTATTCTTTATATAAATAGTAACCTCTAGGTCCGATTAAAACTCATGAAACCCTGGACACCTTTGTCTCAGATTCTAATGAGATAATTCTTGACTTCTTTTAAAATTCTGAGTTGAGTAAGTTGACTTTTACAGGGAAAACTTCAGGCAAACATCCCGTGGTTCTGTAGAGTTTCCCAATATAAATTTGAGGCAAAACGGTCGGTTCCAGAGTTATGATAAGACATACAAGAAGACAGACAAACAGAGATTAATCTATTATGATCAGTATTTATATGTGAGCTATATGCTAGCCTAACGGCTGGACCAACTTGACTGAAATGAAACCCATGGTTAGGTAATGTAAGTAGCTGTGTATGGTTTAGTGTGGCTGATTTCGAATATAGTCTGAACAGGGCTGTCATGACGACAGTGGACGATTTTCCATTCATCTTCGGTCCTGAGGTAATGTATATTGTGGAACATGTTGATGTAAACTATAAAGTTGGAAGATGACTTTTGAGCAATCTTTTATTTTTTTATGTATAAAGGAAATAGTTTTACCAGAATTAGCTTGAAAATCATGGTTTATTAATAGAAATTGGTCTATCTACATTTTATAATTGTTGATATTTGAGTTTGACTATTCCATAGTTTTATGCGCGCTTTAATTAATCTCCTTTTTTGATTTTTATTCTAGTTTTCTACTGGAGTTCGATTATTTAATTGGCAATATGGAAACAGCTGGACAGAATACCCGCCCATGAAAATTGCAAGGGAAATACAAGTGCATTCAACATTTTTACATTTCTAACCCTGAAAAAATATTTTTTTTTGCTTTAAAAAATGCAAATATCTTGAAATGAGATTTGGGAACTTTTGAAACCTGTTTGATATGATTAGAATTGATGCAGACTTTTTACGCACAGTTTTGGATTCCTGCAACTAGAAACTTGCTTTTTTGGTGCCAACTCCTTTAGCAGATGATTTAAAGACTTTTTTAGTACAAAATATCTACATCGATCTTTTAATTGGTTTATTTCATAGATGTTTGGTCGGCATTAAACCCTCATCCTTTATGGGTAACATGGATGGTTCAAAAAGAAATTTTAATCATTGTTTCGAGATTTGAGCCAACGTGCAATTTGAACCGTTGAATTGGCGGTTCAACGACACGATTCAAATATCTTAAATTCGGCCTCAGGATTTGTTGAAGCTCTATATAGATGTAAACTTAAAACCAGTATAAAAAGATGAAAATTATCAATTTTCAGTTCTGGTCTAATTTTTACGGAAAAATTGTTTTTCAATGGTTCTTAAGGTTTCAGCTGAACAGCATATATTTAATACTTTAGAATGTACTAAGAAGAAAGGAACTAGAGAATTTAAATAACTTTTCCCTAAAAATTAGACCAGAAATAAAAATTGCGAATTTGCTTATTACAATTTTGCGAATTTTCTGTGATTCTGTGATTCAATCTTTTTAAACTTTTAGATTTCGATAGAAATAATTTATATACACACTTTTGCTTTTCTGAACTTTTGATTTTGAGAGAAAAAAGTTTTTTTGGGCCATTGGAGTACCAAAAAAATATTAAAATATATTTTAAAAACATAAAAAAACACTTTACAGGAGAGTTGCACAAAAAAGGTACAATTTTGCACTAGGGGCCGCAAATCACACTTTTTTGACTCACCCTGTTCTTTAACTATTGTAACATTGTAAGCATATCAAAGGTCATCGACATCCCGTTACAAGAATACAGGTGTCAGAAACTGAGAGTTTAAAGCGAGTATCGTGTTCGTTAGGTTTTTACTTTATCTTGAATTCTATGTCAAATGCACATTTTTAAAGAGGTAAACACACAGTAGTTCCTGTTCCAATATCTTTCTTTACAAATTGTCAAGGTAAAAATTAGATATTTAAAAAAACAGTTTTGGAAAAATATTTTATTCAATTTTGATGGAATTTATCACATCTAATATTTCCCGTTGTAGGGTAATAAAGTGAAATTAATAAAATTAACGTTTTCACCCTGCTATTCAAATTTCAAATTTCATACCTAATTTGTCTCATTGTTGGGTGATAATGTTACTTAATCACCCTACAACAGGGTGATTAAGTAACTTTATAGACCTGCTATTCAATAATTTGAGTAAAAATGAATAAAAATATGTATGTTATTGAAATGGGTATCATGCGTGCGAAAAAGTTTTTGCTCTTCGGGGTGAAATTACTTTCATTTTGATCTTAAACAAACTAGAAAAAATAAAAATCCCGTCAAAAACTTTTTCCCACTTAATAATACCCATTACAATGACATAAATAGATGTAAAAATTGTATTGTGTTTATTATCATCGTTTTGTCTGAAAACTTGTGAACTTTAATCTATAAAATAAAAAAAGACATTCGTATATATGTTCCCTATAGCCGGTCAAACGGCTGAACCGAATGGGCTGAATTTTTTTTAGAGTAACAAAGGCTAAAAAATTCTAAAATTTTGTTTTCTTCAAAATTTCTTTTTAAATTATATTTTTTTTAATTTTATGGGCAACGCCATGCAATTCCGCTAATGATAAACATATATCTATCTAAATATATGTCAAATCCAAAAAATATTGAATAAAACTTCAAGAATGAAATTAAATGCTATTTTTTTATTTTCTTTAGAATTCCTAAATAATTCTTGCCTATACATTATTTTAAGAGCTTTCAACCAATTCAACAACAACACCAATAGAACGGACAACAACCGTAGAAGATATAACAACAACAACAATAACAACTACAACAACAACAGCAACAACAGCCACAACAACAGCAGCCACAACAACAGTAGTCACAACAATAACAGCCACAACAACAGCAGACACATCCACAGCAGCAACAACAACAGCAGCCACAACAACAGCAGCCACAACAACAGCAGCCACAACAACAGCAGCCACAACAACAGTAGCCACAACAACAGCAGCCACAACAACAGCAGTCACAACAACAGCAGCCACAGTAGTCACAACAACAACAACAACAACAACAACAACAAACTCAACTTCAACAACAACTGCAGAAGATATACAACCTGGTAATTGACTTTTGCTAAATTAATCAAAATTAAGGAGGAAACCTGTCATATATACTTTGCTGTTCTGTCTGTTTGTTTGTTCATTTGTATTCAATTAAGCGTCAAAACGACTAAACCAATATGGCCTAAATTTTGTGCGGGAGTTCACACGTCCCAGGAAGGTTTATAGATAATCAAAATTTTGAAAATTTGCCTCCAGCAATATTCGATTTTGATTAAATTTTGAAAATCTATGATTTTTTTTTAATATGCAAACGTTTTTTTATTTTTTTTTAACAATGTAAACAAAATGCAAATGTTAACAATTGAAATAAGCACACTATAAGCCTAGTATTGTTATATTCCAAATATCGAAAATTCCTCATAATAAATACCCTTTAACCTAAATTATAGTTTTAAGAAGTTCCTCTTGAGTAAATGCAAGACTGGGATTTATTTGGTTTAAGTATCAGATTGATACTGGTTTTGTTAAGGGATATGCACTGGTACAGATAAAAGAGGGATAGCTTGGACAGCAGAATATAATAAAAATGCTTACATGGCTTGTTCCGAAGGTAACCAGAGGAAAATTTTGTAAAGATTTTAATATAAAATCATTTTTGGAGTTTCTAAAGTGTATAAGGAATAATTTGCCAATTAAAAGTCAAATTCTACTGTTTTTTAACAAATCTTTTTACTTTTAATTGAATTTCAAAATGTATTTATCATAATTTTTAGTTCTTTTCTTTTCTCGGTATTATAAGGTTGAGATATAACTATGTTTTGTCTTAGATGATTTTGAGTCTGGAACAGCATATTGGTTTTGTAACGGATCCACTGGAGAATTCCAGACTGAACAACCTGATCGATCATCTTGTTCTAGTCCCTGGATAGATGATATACAGGACCAGGTACTGTTCTAGTCCCTGGATAGATGATATACAGGACCAGGTACTGTTCTAGTCCCTGGATAGAGGATATACAGGACCAGGTACTGTTCTAGTCCCTGGATAGATGATATACAGGACCAGGTACTGTTCTAGTCCCTGGATAGATGATATACAGGACCAGGTACTGTTCTAGTCCCTGGATAGATGATGTACAGGAACAGGTACTGTTCTAGTCCCTGGATAGATGATATACAGGACCAGGTACTGTTCTAGTCCCTGGATAGATGATATACAGGACCAGGTACTGTTCTAGTCCCTGGATAGATGATATACAGGACCAGGTACTGTTCTAGTCCCTGGATAAATGATATTAAGGACCAAGTACTGGTATAAATGTTCACATATGACTGCACAGCACTAAGTCAAACTTTTGGATAAATTTGGTTTAATTAAAATCTTTTTTAATTTTCTATTGAAGTTTCTTTTAAATAGTTTTATGTTTAATCTAGGTTAAAACAAAGTTCAGAAAGTTTTGTATTTTATATTGAAAAAACCGGATATTAAACAAATAAATCCAATTATTATTTAGCTAGATGGTGGATCTGAGACTGCTGTAAACATTTCTGAGGAATTCGATGAAAATAAAATTAACAGAAAAGATGTTGCTGCATCATTTAGTAATTTTTGTTTGAATGTAATAATGTAATTGGGTTTTTAATTTTTCCTATTTTACTTGGACTTTTCCCCCTTGGAAGAAAATTTTATTGCTCAATTTTCATTTGTAAATAAAGAAAATAATGGAAAAAATCTATGATGGAGAAGCATTAGGAGGCGACCTTATTTTTCTGACTGAAATATGTGAGTATTGCTCTGATTGGGGTATTTATTTTCCTGACTGAAATATGTGAGTATTTTTCTGATTGGGATATATATTTTCTTGACTGGAATATGTGAGTATTATTCTGGTTGGGATATATATTTTCCTGAACGGAATATGTGAGTATTATTCTGGTTGGGATATATATTTTCCTGAATGGAATATGTGAGTATTATTTTGATTGGGGTATATATTTTCTTGACTGGAATATGTGAGTATTATTCTGATTGGGGTATATATTTTCTTGACTGAAATATGTGAGAATTGTTCTGGTTGGGATATATATATTCCTGAATGGAATATGTGAGTATTTTTAATATGTTTAGTATCTGAGCTGATAATCAGGCATGGAAATGAAACAAAGTTGGGTGATAAAGAAGATAATTTCTTAGAAAACCTTCTGAACATTAGCAATGTGCTCATGATGGATTCTCTCCCATGGAAGGAGATTTCAAATGATTCTGTCAGATACCAGGCATCATCAAATATAGGTAATAAATAAAATAAAATAAGTTTGATTGAAATATATTTGAATATGATTTCATTAATTTATATTTCTTTAAAAAATGTCTTTTAAAAAATCTTTTTACAACAAGTATTTTCAAATAATTTTTGTATGTAATGTAGGGATAAATATCATAATTCTTAATATTTTGTTTTAAGTTAGTTTTGAAAGTTTATAGAAATTAATGAATAAAATTAAATAAAAATTACCTGTCTAGCGACCATTAATGGATAAAGTTTTCTTTGTATGATGCCTTTATATTCTGCCAGATTGAAAAATGTTGCATAATCTAAAGTACACACTTTTAAAGAATAAGATCTGAAGCCACACACATTTGTCCAATGGTACAAAGATTTACTGGTTTATTATAAAAAATGATAGATTGACTTGAATCTGGATTTATGGGCAATTTGCATGCACCTAAACACTGAAAAACATAAGTGTTTAAACTAATAATTGAAAGGCTGTCTAGTGCTTGCTAACTCAGCCATATCTATAAGCTAAGACCGGTTAATTTGTAATAAATTGTTTTTTTTCTAGTTTTGGCAGTACAATCTGGAGGATATCAATTTTTGGATACATTATCAGCTAATGAATGCCAGATTTTCTCACAAGGAAATTAATGAATTTTTTTATTCATTCTTCAAGCATTGCAGAGAAATCCAAAAAAAAAATAACCAGTTGGTCAACAAAACTGAAGTAAATATCAATACAAATGTTTAGACTGATTTAAAAATATTTTTTTTTTTAATTCATAAATATATAGAGTATCATGAGTTGGAGAAGATTAAACTTATGCTAAATACAACTAAACATGTCAACGATTGCTACAGGAAAATAATTGACATAACACTTTTTTACATCAAATTTTTAAGAACAGAAAATGTGTAGAAAGAAACCAAACAAAAAGTTATATCAAATTTGATGCACAGAATGCCGAACTCTACAATATGTCTGCCATCAGCTGTTTCAGCTGAATTAACAGCTGACTGCTACCATGTGGTGTCAGTAAATTACCTGGACATTCAGAATAATGAGACTGCCATGTTTCCTGAACAAATTGGACATGAGTCTACAAACCACCTCTTTAATAATATTATTGGACTAACTATAAATAATGATACAGAAAAAATAGTGATAAATCAGACCCAAGGTACATTTTTCTTTTTTACACAGTCAAAATATATATTTTTAAGATTTTGCTTTTCAATTTTATTTTTGTTTAAAATTCAAAATTCATATTGAAATATTTCAAATTCTTTACATTTTTAAATATCAAATACATTAACATTTTGTAAATTGCATTTTTTATATTTTATTATTTTATTGTATTAAGGAAATGAACCGGTGCAAATATTCTTCTATAATATTGATGAAAAGGTATAGAATAAAGTCAGAAATAAGAAGAAAGTCCAATTTAATTGTCATTATAATTTTTAAAACTTATTTCCTTTACTGCAGGCAGGACAAGATGCTGTTTGTGGCTTCTGGGATTTTGATTCAAAGAACTGGTCTCAACATGGTGGGAATTTAAAACAAAAACTATTTTAGATTATTTTAAAATAATTTAACTTTTTAAGTGAATGTTAAAGTAGCTTCAACAATTTTTACATCTTAAGAGTTAAATTTTTGTCTAAGCAATATTTTTCCATTAGATATTTTTCATTACAGTTTTTTGCTACTTGGGGAATCATTTTATGAAACTATTATTTATTTTATGATTCTTCCTCACTTCATCATGAATTTCATAATGAACATGCTATAAAGAAATCATAGTGCTACAATGTTAAATTAGCTGTACAATATGGCAATTAAGTTGAAATCAACTTTATTTTTTGACTTCTACTTTGTTTCAATAAGACAAGTACATAAAATTACCTAAAACACTATAAATTTGACATGACGTGCTATAAAGTTTTTGGATTTAAATTTTCTCTATATCTCGAAGGTTCTTACCTTTTTAGATTATATTTTGTCCCTTGCTAAAGCTCTTGATAAAATTAAATCTGAAAAGGCTTGAGAACATTTCTGTCCAAAACCTTTATAACACTGCGAACCAAAATAACAGTTTTATAAATAGTTTTTAAAGAATTATATGACAACATGACAAAAACATTGATAAAATAGGACTGTTTACTTTTTACATCCCCAGCCCAGGCAATCACAGCCATTGGAATAATTTTTAATTTGATAATAATAAATAATAATAGGATGCTCTCTGAATTTGAAACTATCCAAAAGTGGTGTTATTGTTTGTGATTGCTATCATCTCACTCACTTTGGAATTTTCATGGATTATTCAGGTGACCATGTACATTTGATCCTAGTTTTTATTTCATCTTTTCAAACACAAATTTTAAGCATTTGAATTTTTTAAAAAGTTTAGATTTAGCTAAATCAGTTTTTTGTGTCAAACGTCAAGAAATTTTGTTAACCCTAAACGAGGGTTAGCTATTTCTCATTTATAATTTTGCTAATTCAGGAAAAGGGCGAGTAAGTCATTATGATTTTACAACTGCATCCCAGGTAGAGATGGAGATGTTTCCGTTTTTAATTAGTTCGTTTATCGTTACTAAAGGACCCATTTCGTCCGGTTTTTTTATAAATAAAAATAAAATAAATAAAAAAAATTGATTTTGTTCAATCTTATATCATTAATTTTTCATCTATTCTGTTCGTTTTCTTACTGAATGAATGTTCAGTAAAATCGTTCATTCAGTAAAATCGCTCGTTCAATAAAATTATTTGTTTAGTAAAAAACTTTCGTTTTTTAAAAAGTTTGATCCAAAAAACCGTTTGTTTAGTAAAAACCGATCGTTTTTCAAAATCTTTAAAAACTTGCTTGTTTAGTAAAAAACTTTCGTTTTTTAAAAAGTTTGATCAAAAAAATCTTTTGCGTAGTAAAAAAACAATCGTCTTTTTCTAAATCTTTTGGAAAATTCGTTCGTATTGTTTTTGCAAGTTTTTTAAACGATTTTAAATCATTATTGTTTTTCGTTTGTTTATAAAAAAAACAATAATTTTTTCATCCTTCGTTTTTTTCTGGAACAGTCCATTTTGTCTATTCGTTCCGTTTTGTTGGTTAGTTTTGGTTCTGGTTCTAATGGATGTTTGTGTTCCCAGGTTGGATTATCTGTGTCTATTATTAGTATTGTTCTCACAGAGATTCTTCTTCTGCTTGTCAAGTAAGGTTATTTTTTCTCGCAAAAAAGGTTCAATTTTACCTGGGGGAAGGTGGAATCAGTTACTTTCAGAACCTGAGATACCCCCCCCCCTCCTCCAACACTTGCTTTGAAGTTAATGATAAAATTTGTTTTAGTAAGACTGCGAAATGGACAGATAAACGATTTGCTGAATTTCAAAGAAATGTTTGGCTTCTGCTCGGTAAAAAAAAAAATCTTTTTTTAGCTTACATAATTTTAAATTTTTTTTAAAAGGTCAATTTTCCTTTCTTGTGCTGGTGCCCATGGCCTCTGTTGTGTCCAACACTGTTTGTGAATCCTTTGGGGCACTTACTTTACTCTTTTGGTCACTTTTCTTCACTTGGTCAGGTAGATAACATTGGGAAAGAAATTAAGTCTTTGCCTCTCAAATTCCTATATCTTTGCAACTCAATGTCATAAACCTGAGTTATTTCAAATTATTCCGAACTCAAATCCCCCAAAAACTGGTTTTAATTGAACGCCGGCTTAAATCTTAAAACATTGAATACAATTTTAAGTGAACCAATCATATTTAAGCCGCGGCTCAAATTCTTTAAATTCGGGCTCTGAGGGATCAGATGATCTAAGTGTGAACAGTTGAAGTTGCAAACGTAGGGAAGTAAAATTTGACTTAGTGGCGGAGACAATTCCTTGAAAATTAATCAACATATCTGTAAAAATAAATGTCAAGTTAGAATATAGTTTTCTTAAAATTTAACAAATTTAGATATTTTTAATGAAATATTTGTATGTTAATATAATTAACCAAAAAGACTGAAGAGTGTGGACGTTAATTAATTTGAAGTAGTGTAATATTTAAAGTACGAATTTATTAGGATTCAAGAGTGCACCCTAGACCTTTGAACCGAACAGACGTATGAGCCAAGCTCTGTTTGTTCAACCAAAGGCTAGGGGACGGGCACTTCATGGACAGCTCTCAGAAGGCTTACATCATGTGGACTTACATGATTACATCTTACATGATCATATCTTCAGGAGTACAATAAACCATTGATGAGAAAGATATCTCAGGTTACAACAGATCAGAGGAATAAACCATTGATGAGATAGATATCTAAGGTTTACAATAGAATCAGAGATATATGGTTCCACCTCAACACAGCTAGTTCAACTATGTACACACTCTAATATTCCTGGTGTTTCTATGGTTAAAAACACTGGAGACTCAGAGGATCACTGGAGCTGTAGAACAGACAAGAGAATCAGAGAGATGTGGTTCCACCTCAACACAGCTAGTTCAACTACCTACACACTCTAATATCCCAGGTGTTTCTATTGTTAGAAACACTGGAGACTCCGAGGATTGCTGGAACTATAGAATGGATAATAGAATCAGAGTAATGTAGTTCCACCTCTATACAGCTGGTTCAACTCCCTACACCCTCTAATATTCCAGGTGTTTCTATGGTTAGAAACACTGGGGACTCAGAAGATAATACAGGCCAATGAATCCAGGTGAAAGGAGATCATGAGGGCCTATCAATTAGATATCAATTAGATGGGAGATCAACCGAGATGCAGAGCATCCTACAGATAAAGGAGATATTGCGGATATTGAGGATACTGCAGATATTGTGGACACTGCAGATATGGAGGATACTGCAGATACTGGGGAAGTTGCAGATACTGTGGAGACTAGAGATCCAGAGCAGATTGATAAAGAGCTAGGATGGATCACAAAGATCACAAGCTATATGAACCACAGGAGAACTGCAAGTATGAAATCATAGATCTACAGCAGATTGACAGAGAACTAGGATGATCATAAATTACCAGCTATAAGTATCACAGGAGAAGATCATAGGTCTGTAGCAGATTGATAGATAGCTAGGATTGATCAGGAGATCACCAGTTACATTATCTATAGAAGGATTAGCTGAGACCACATCTAGCCCAGCAGGGAACAGAGGCTCACATGAACTACTGTGGGACTCTTCCTATATAGGAGTTAGTGGAGACTTCAAATCAAATCAAATCAAATCAAATCATTTATTAGGCCACAAGTTAACAATATTCATATTAATAAAAATGACTATACAATTACATATATATATATTTTGTGGCCGGGGAGCTACAAGATAGCTCAGGCTGTTTTCACACGAGCTCCCCTGGTTCAGAAAAATAATGATTAGATTCAAACATTTTGCAATGTGCCTTTATGGAGCACAAAAATGGCGAAGAGTAGCGGCGGTGGCGGTTGGAGAACAGGAGGCGGAAACATGGCGTCAATCTTTACAGTCACAAATAAAAAAAGTTTTAGGCTCAATAATGTAGAAGATTGTTCTTGGTCAAGAAATATTATTACTACATGTTATTCTAATCAAGATCAAGAATAAGCTGAATATTTCTTCAGACAAGGATACATATATATGATATTCATTATATGTATCAAGTATTAAAAAATATGAACAGATCATATTGAAGACCATGGAAACCCCAATTTAATCTAGGAAACTAGAGTTGAACAGGTATAGCAAAATAGCCGATTGCATTCAAAGTTCGATAATCTATCCAGAAAATGTTGCTTAAGTTTATATTTAAATTCATTTTTGCTAGCAATACAAGACAAATCTGGGTCAAGTTCATTCCAACAGGAAGTGAAAGAATACAAGGGAAATCTATTTATAAATAAATTTTTACATCTAGGAACAAAAAATTGATCTCGATTTCTTAAGGGGTATTGGTGCATCTCAATATCTGAATTCCTGGGGAACACTGGATCCATATAGAAAGAAGGAAGGGCGTAACTAAAAGCTATGGAATGCATGAACGAAAGTTTTTGATGAAGAATAAGGTCCGTGAAGGGGAGTATCTTTAATTCATAATATAGAGGTTCAGAATGAGCATTATATCTAGCTTTAGCAATTGTTCTAATACATTTTCTTGCTGTACTGCTGAGAGACTCTTCCTATATAAGAGTTAGTGGAGACTTGCTTTACCGCTGAGAGACTCTTCCTACATAAGAGCTAGTGGAGACTTGCTTTACCGCTGAGGTACTCTTCCTATATAGGAGTTAGTGGAGACTTGATTTACCGCTGAGGGACTCTTCCTGTTTAAGAGCTAGTGGAGACTTGCTTTACCGCTGAGGGACTCTACAGATATATGGAATATGGTTTAATATAAATAGATATTAACAGATATATTTGTACCAATAAAATGAAGATTGATAAACCCACTTATTCAAGATCTTGAGAGATAGATATTATACACAAGATGAGAGGTTTGGGTAAATTATGAATTGGTACTGGGAATGAAAGTGAAGTCTTGTATTAACCCTCAAGATGAGGGACAAGGATTGATCTTGATTTCCCTAGGATTTATGTCTGGGATTGTAACGATATCAAAGGATTAAATGTTACAGTAGCTCTCTATCATGTATCATGCCTGATTCACAACGGTACCCTTAAAAACTTTTTCTTTTCAAGTATGAATGAGACAGCCATACTTTTCTTTGAAAAAAAGGAAAAATTTTCAATTGTGATTTCTGTATAAAATAACGGATTTCTACATCAGAAACAATAGAGAAAAATTTTTTCAAACTCATTATTGATCAGATAAAAGTTTAAAGGGTAACGCTGTAAATCTGATATACGTACCTCTCTCTAAATCTGATATACCTCTCTCTAAATCACTATGACAATACGTAAAATCATTTTTTTAAATTCAGGATTAGAGGGATTCATTTTATACCGCCAAATATCATTTCCGTTTGAAACCAAGCACATTAACAAAATTATCCTATGCATGAGGTAAATTTTAAGAAATAATAATTTACAAATCATAATCATAAACAATTAAGTGCATTGTGTAGAATTGATTCTGTAAAATACGTGGATATAGACAGACATTGCATAGATGGACTTTTATCTTAACAAAATCATTTTATAGACGTTCCATAGATTTGACATTTTATAGATAAAGACATTTTATAAATAAAGACAAAAAATATGTTTCTTATCGCGTAAAAATTACAGTATCTAATATGTTAAAGATAAATAATTTTGAAAAGGGAAATCATTTACCTATCTATAAAAGTTTTTTTTGAAAAGCCTTATGTAAAGGTCCTGTTCATGAAATGTACTATTCTATGAAATGTACTAGGTGTAAGAAATTCCATGTCTATGAAATATCCTTATATGAAATATCCTTATATGAAATATCCTTATATGAAATATCCTTATATGAAATATCCTTATATGAAATATCCTTACATGAAATATCCTTATATGAAATATCCTTATATGAAATATCCTTATATGAAATGTCCCAACACAATTTTGTCATTGGAGTTTTCGGTGTAATTTGTTTTTCTTTATGCGTATAATTTCTTTTTATGAAGTCCTCATAAATATCATTTCGCAGAAATATCGTTTACTATAAGGAAAATAATTTCATGTCTAAAGTTCTTCTTTTCTTATCTTAACATCTAATGTCTAGGCTGAATATGCATATTTTATATTCAAAAAAAAAATTAAGTATGCAAGATTAAATAGTCAAGATTTAAAATACAAAGGTTTACAGTTATAACCTTTAAAAATACAAGAATTAGAAAATAAGAAATTAAAAACAATTGAATTCATTTGATTTTAACTTATTAAGCTATGCTGTTCCTTTGGCATTAAGTTCTGTTCTGTTTATGATTTCAAATTTTACAGGTGTAGATTACTATTACTATTATTATTATTATTATTATTATTATTATTATTATTATTATTATTATTATTAAGTATCAAACTCTTTGCTGAAAAAAAATCAAAATTTTTTTTATGATAGAAAGTAAAATGTTCATAAGACAGGAAGCGGAAGAGGATGAGGAAATTGGACACCATGAGGTATAAAGATAAATGAGATTGTTCACGTAATTTCGTCCAATTCACAAAATTGTATTTTTCAATTACCTGTGTCTAATAATAAAGAACGACAGAGATATCCTTATTTTTCTAGTTGAATATTTCAAGTGAACGGTGCGTCTTTTAAACCTCTATCTAATTAAGATGATATTCTTATTTTTCTATCTAAGTACTAGTATTGAGTGCCTTCGAGAACATTGTTTTATCATTCGTTCACCGTGTTGTAGATTCTACATCTTTTATTTCTTTAAACCTCTCAAAGCACTCTATCTCACGTAAACCAACCTAGTTTAGTGACTCCTATTTTCAATTTTTTTCATATTTTGATCTCTTATACAAAATCCGTCAAAAGTAAGCTTTTCTATTTAAATATTAAAATACTAGCCTTAGAGAGCGCTTCGCGCCCATCTTCTAAATTAATTGTGAACATGTTCTCTTTGTGTAGATCGTAAAACAAAACAAAAATAATTCGCGGATTTTCACAAAAAATTTCGTGGATTTTCAAAATTTTCAAAAATTTAATGAAGATCAAATTGTGATGGAGATAAATATTTGAAATTTTGATCATTCATAAACCTTCCCTAGGGTCCCTAGATGTCCCACAAAAAATGTGGGCCCGATCGGTTCTGCCGTTTTGACGTTTATTGGATACAAACAGACAAACAAACAAACAAACAAACAGACAGACAAGCCAAATTTATATATAGATATGTTCCAACAAAAAGTTAAAACTCACTTTTAATCTGTACTTCTTGTTCAAAATGATCGAGTATACAGGGTGTCCCAATAAACATGGGAATTAAATGCTTCTATATCGTCTTTGTTCCATTCCGGATTATTTCATAAACATAATTTTGTATTATAACGATTAAAACATTTAACATTGAAAACTACTAGTCTCAGGATTTCCTAAAAGTAGTTTACTTTTTTTTACCTTCAAAACTGAGATATTAGAATATTTGTCAGATTCATGGTTATTGAAAATCAACAAATACTGTTTAAATGTTTAGTTTAAAGATACAAAGAAGGTAGATCAGACCACATTTTAAAAAAGCTCATTAGATTGCCATTCAATCTCTTTTTGATGCACTTTATGATAGTTATCAACTGTCGGATATCAAAGACGATATTTAATACTTCTCTCAATTCCCATATTTCATGGGAAACCCTGTATACCTAGGGTGAGGTGACCGGTGTGTGCTGGTTGAACTCCGACTACATCTGGATCTTCATCTCCTTGATCTCCCTGATACTCATCTTCAATCTTTTTGTTATCATGAAGGCGGTGGCGGTAGCCTATCAATCTGCTATCTTTAGGTAAACCCAGAAATTCGGAAACATCGAAAGAATTTACAAAATGTCGTCTTGACAATTTTGAAATGGGATTTACCTCTGAGAATCAAATAAAACCTAAATCTCAGTATTTGTAATAAAAAAGAAATAGGTAAATGTTACGGGAACAGTTTTAAAGTAATATTATAAAAAACATCTATTTAAAATGAAAAAATTATTAAATTCAAATAATAATTGGAGCAAACCTGAGTTTCTCAGGTTCCTCTCTTGGATATGTTCGTTTTGTGATTTGTTTCGTATTTATAGAATATGATCTGTTTAATACTACAAATCTTATGCAAAATCTTAAATATATACGTTTTGGTATAATTTTGACACAGCTTTATATCAATTTCTCGAGACAGGAACATCCGATAGAATTTTTAATTGTTTAATTTTAAAATTGTCTCTCAACTGTCAGGTTTTTATGAAAAAAAATTATAATTAAATATATGATTTAAAGGAAACAGTCAAAGGAAATGTCTCTTCTCTCCTCAATGAGAAATATTCTCATCCTCTGTATTATCCTGTGTTCTGGCTTTCTTGTAGGACTCATCCCATACTCAGAGGTATAGTACACGGTACACAGTATCATCATGTGTACCGGCTTTCTTGTAGGACTCATCCCATACTCAGGGGTTTAGTACAAAGTACACAGTACCCTCCTGTGTACCGGCTTTCTTATAGGACTCATCCCATACTCAGAGGTATAGTACACAGTACACAGTACCATCCAAATGTACTGGCTTTCTTATATAACTCACCCCATACTCAGAGATATAGTACACAGTACACAGTACCATCCATGTGTACTGGCTTTCTTGTAGAGCTCATCCCATACTCAGAGGTATAGTACACAGTACACAGTACCATCCAAATGTACTGGCTTTCTTATAGAACTCATCCCATACTCAAAGGTATAGTACACAGTACACAGTACCATCCATGTGTACTGGCTTTCATATAGAGCTCATTCCATACTCAGAGGTATAGTACACAATACACAATACCATCCTGTGTTCTGGCTTTCTTGTAGGACTCATCATTACACAGTACAAACTGGGTATCATCAATAGTTCATTACTATTTGTATGATTAAAATTAAATAAAAAAACTAATTGAAAACATTTTTTTTTGTTTTAGCCTCAACAATGGGTGTTCCTTCTACTCAATTCCTTCAGTGGATTCTATATTTTTCTCTACACATGCTTTCTCTGTAGAAGGTTATTTATTTAATTCACTTTTTAATTATATACTAGACCCAACCATGGATAAATAATTATCTATTGGCCCAATCTATATGGTAGGCCCAACCATAGATAAATAGTTATCTATTGGCTCAATCTATACGAAGGCCCAACCATGGATAAATAATTATCTATTGGCCCAATCATATGCTAGGCCCAATCATGGATAAATAATTATCTATTGGCCCAATCATATGCTAGCCCAACCAAAGATAAATAATTATCTATTGGCCCAATCTATACGAAGGCCCAACCATGGATAAATAATTATCTATTGGCCCAATCATATGCTAGCCCAACCATGGATAAATAACTATCTATTGGCCCACTCATATGCTAGCCCAACCATGGATAAATAATTATCTATTGGCGCAATCATATGCTAGGCCCAACCATGGATAAATAATTATCTATTGGCCCAATCTGTGCTAGCCCAACCATGGATAAATAATTATCTATTGGCCCAATCATATGCTAGCCCCACCATGGATAAATAATAATTATCTATTGGCCCAATCATATGCTAGCCCAACCATGGATAAATAATTATCTATTGGCCCAATCATATGCTAGCCCCACCATGGATAAATAATAATTATCTATTGGCCCAATCATATGCTAGCCCAACCATGGATAAATAATAATTATCTATTGGCCCAATCATATGCTAGCCCAACCATGGATAAATAATAATTATCTATTGGCCAATCATATGCTAGCCCAACCATGGATAAAAAACATATATTGGCCCAACTCCAAGTTTTCTTTTACCCTAAAATCTTTATAAAACATATTCTTTACGTTTTTTAAAAACTTTTGATAAAACCTCCAACATTTTAAAACAGTATTCTGCTAAAGTTTTTTTTTTAAACTTTGCAATATTTTAGTATTATCTAGTACCCAATCCAAATTTTCTTTCTTTAGGAAAATGCAAGAAATGCTGAGAAAAAATAGATTATATGGATATTCTAAAAGCTTAAATTCAGCGATGAGCATGAATACCACTGTGCACAGGAAAGGGAAGGACTCCTGAAATAGTAATGATACCGTTGTGTAGAGAAAATGACCAAATTAAGTATTTTTAATCAAATAAACAAATATAATATTTATAATATTTATTTTCTTTCTTAATAATTTCTTCTTCATCTATTTTATCATGTAATATAGTTTATTTTCCCTTCGGTAAATACTTTTGTTCAGTATGAAATATACATTCCTTTATAAAAAGCTGGTTTTTTGGTATGCAACAATTTTCATTTAATCCCGCCGAGATATTTTCATTAAAAGATACTTTGAAAATCTACAAAGGCAAAAAAAAATCCGCAAAATCCGCAAGCCCTTGGGTTTATCATTAAATCCCCTCGTTAAAAAGGAATGTCATTTACTCTCAGACAAATTAGAATCAATGGAAATTTAAACCCCCGAGGGATTCAATGATAAACCCGAGGGCGTAAATGATACATTGTACACTGTACAATTCAGCCTCTCCAACCTAGAATAGACTTTATACACGTACTGCGACCAATTTCTCTCCCACATTAGCTATACAGGATTAACCACTAAAGATGAGAATGTGAAGACGACCAAAAACTCTCTAAATCTGACGAGTTCAAAGTTAAATCAGGTGTCTCACCTTGAATACGATGACATATTTAATGATAAGGCAAGAAAGAATCAAGTTGACAGTTGCAGAGAATAATAAATAAAAGGAAACGGCATGCAGATGCTGTATAAATGGCGTTATATGTCATTTACAATCATTTTTCCTACACTTTGTCCTAGGACAAATGATTGTAGGTCAAATGACATAGAGCCAGTAAAAATTCTGTACATTCGTATTAGAAGTCTCATCCTTTGTGGGTAAAGAGCGAAGGGAAGGCACACCACACCATTTTTTCTTCCACACCACAACTGACGTTCTAATTCTTGCCATTATTTTTTCCGACCACATCTTTTTTTCGTCCGGGCGTTGCTTTCAACTGTATCTTTTTATGCCATATATAACAGTTTTAGGGAACGTCACTGTCGTCATGATATTCAATATGGGTTTATTTTGTTATAAATGCAGCGCAACGATTTTTAAGCCTAATTTAGCAAAAAAACGAAAAATATATGTGCTTAAATGTGCTTAACCTATTTTTCGTCCGGACCACACCTGTATTTCGTCTAGACCAAACCCTTTTCTGTTGTTTTCTTATTTCACTGTTAAACTGCAAATGTAAGGTTATATTTATATTGGGTCGGGGAGTTTTTAAAATAACATAATTTTTGTGGAGGGAACAAAGCAATTGGTTTTGATTTGCTTGAGGTATTATGAAATAAAAATGTCCATGAATCGTTTCATGCCTATTGTACATTGACATGGCTCAAATTCTAATGAAATAGTTTTAAGTACTTAAAAAAGAATTTTAACAATGCTAGACTAAGAAAAGGTGTTGAAGGACAAAATAAAGTTGAATTTTGTAGTTGGAAGAAAAAATGGTGTGGTGTGCCTTCCCTCTCTGGGTAAACCCAAGGTTATAATGCAAGGAAAGTTATTTCAGAGGTGTACGCATCTTTTGTACTGTATTGTACTGTCTCTGGGCGGTAATGTAAACACAAGACAGATGTCGAAGCCTGACATGGAATCCATCTTTCACATATAAATTCAATGAAATATTCTGGTCATAGGAAACTATTATGTGAATAAACAAAATTTAATGCTTTCAACCTCCTCGAATATTAAACGAACAAATTCCGCCCAAAGAGAACAGGTTTCAATGTGTATGCAGAGTATACGCAACTGCAATTAACATTCCTTGCATTATAACCTTGGGTAAACCTATATATCCTTATTTCATTAAAAGTACGATTTTCAAAAGTGCTCCCAGCTTGTCCTACGACTAATATTTATAAATGTATAAAAAGTAGATTGACGACTAAATGACGCAAACTATTTCAAAGATCAACGCCGACCTTTAAGTCGTTTCATCATGTTTCGTGGGCCACCCTATATATCAAATTGGGATACCTAATAAATGTTTTTATTAAAGAGTTTGTGATCCTAATATTCTTTCTTTTAAAGATAAAAAAATCATGTATTTTATTCACAAATTACACATTTTCCAATTAAATACAGTGAAACCCTTAATAAAGAATACATCGAAAGAATTCATCAAATGTCGTATTCTTCATTTTCTGATAATGGAATGTTGCAAATATTTAGTTTTTTGATTAAATGATTACATGGAACTCTTTAATACTGTTCCCGCATATTCATGGCTATTTATTTATTTTCGCAAATACTGAAATGTACGTAATATAGTATAAAACTAATTGAAAAATTGCCAAGACGACATTTGATAAATTCTTCCGATGTATTCGTTATTAAGGGTTTCACTGTAGAATAATATACAAGAGATTATAAACGTAATTTTTATCTTTATTACAAACTAGTTTTAACATCAATCTTCAAAATAAAGACAAAAACTCTTCCGTCTGTAAATTTTTTCTATAAGTTTTTTTAAAGAAAACAGTGGCCGAATTTAAAGAATTTGAGCAGCGGTTTAAATTTAAGCCGAGGCTTAAATATGGTTGCTTCCGCTTAAACTTGTATCAAATGTTTCAAGATTTAAGCCGGCTCTTAATTTAAACCGGGTTTTGGCAGATTTAAACTGCGGCTCAAATTCTTTAAATTCCATCTCAGGAGCTGCAAATTTATAAAATAAATTCATCGATATTAAGGAGAAAAGTTTAAACTTGGTCGCATTGTGAATCAATTACGGAAATAATCCCTTTACTTTCTTCAATTGTCCAAATTCACTTGTTTTCAGCCTTTACAGTTGGATGGTGATGTCTTCTTTATTCCGAGTTGTTCATGTCTCGGTAGTATTTATCCAGAATATTTCTGCAGTTCATAGAAAATCAAAATACAGTGAGAACCAGAAAACTGCAGAATAGGAAGACGACATTAAACCAATACGTTAGTATATTTAATGTTTTGACTAAGCAAATAGTTTTACTAGTAACTTATAAAAGAAATAATCAAGTGAAATGGGTCTGTTTACACTGCACAATAGCTGAGTTTCGTGGTCATTGGACTATTTAAAGTTTATTATAACTTAACTATAAAAGTCGTCTTCCTAATCACTGGAAGAACCACACATTTTGCAGAAAATATTTAAGAACAGTTTATAATATTAATGCTGCATAAAACCGAATATTAGTTTTGTAGAGAAAAAATACTTGAAAATTATCAATTTTCAGATTTTAAAAAACATGAAATCTTTGAAATGTTTGTTAAAACTAATGTTGACGTGAATTGTTGGTAATCGACCATATGAAATTTATTTAATACAGAATTTGCGCCAGCGCGAACAACATAAAAAAAGTCATTAATCAGTTTTAAAAAATCAAAAATTAGCAGCTTTAAGAATTCGAAAGGTTTACAGTTACACAGTATTAGTAAGACCAAATATTATTATTATCATCTCCGTGATAATAGCAGTAGTTTCAATAATTTATAAGTTTTTTCGAAATACAAGTTTAAAAGTAATTAATCAGAAGCTTTTTAAAATTGACAGCCAAAAATATTCATTTTTCTATAACACTTATTTTTTTCAATTTTCTATTAATTCCTGACAGAGCTAACCGAGAAAAGAAGACCTCTCTTGGAATCCCAATCTCTCAGACCTCCGATTCTTTTTGGTTGACCTCTCTCAAAACCTCCAATTCGACCTCTTTTCTTCAGTCTCATGACGTACTTGACCTCGCTCTTGGGGTAAAAAACAGTTTGCTGATGGCTGTGTGAAGACGATGAACATGTATCCTAGTTTCATGCAAACAAATATTTAACTACAACGAGGAAAATAATCAAGAACATACCAATGTCGTCTTTTTTCACTCATTCATGTCGTCTTCATTTAGAAAATCTTTTAAACAGTTGAAAATGACAACATTGGTATCCTTGGAAGATATTGTCCTCACTTTTGAATTTTAGGCAATATTTTATGGTAAAACAAACTTTTAAATTTCAACAGGTCTAGAACCTTGTTAAACATAATACATTCGACTGGTCTAGAACCTTGTTAAACATTATACATTCCACTGGTCTAGAACCTTGTTAAACATAATACATTTCTTTTTAAAGTTATACAGGGTTACCCACAAAGGATGAGACTTCAGAGACAATTGTATATATGGAATTTATTTAGTCCGTTTTCTTGCATTTAGGATTCCTTATAGGCGAAAACGGGTTTATTTTTGTGCTTAGTAATTTCGTAAACCATTAAATAACTCGTGAATGCAGAAAACAAAAATTAAGCCTCAAATCGTCTTATTTCTAGAGCTTTGGGTCGTCTTTACAGTCTCATCCTTTGTGGGTAACCCTGTAGCTTAGTGCTATATAATTTTCTAACATTCAAAGTTTTGTTTACACTTTAAGGAGGCTTCACACTAATGTTAGATGGTTTACATAATTGTATTAATTTAAGTTAAAGCTATTTTAGGTTTATCTTTAAATGTATGTATTTTTTTGCTTGTCCAAAGGGCTGAAACGATTGGGCCCAACTTTTTGTGACAATTCAAATAACCCCAAAAAAGATTTTGGCTAGCCTAAATGGAAAAATGTCACCTAAAAAAATCGACATTTATTATTTTTGAAAATCACATTTTTAAACAGAAAAATCCCCGAAAATATTTGTAATATAAAAACTAACAAGGAACCAAATATATCACTGTATTTGTATTTAAATCAAATACAGTTTGTCCCACGAAACATGTCTGTAACAATATGACTTGAAAGTCGTCTTTAATCTTGGAATTTATTTCTGACATTTAGTCGTCAATCTTCTTTAACATGTATGTTTCTTGAAACAATAACCACGAAATTCTACTAGTTCTGGCATTTCCAAAATGTGTTCTGCCTTTTTGTTTTGTCAATATTACCAGAGGGTGGAGATATTAAAATATTACCAGAGGGTGGAGATATTAAAATATTACCAGAGGGTGGAGATATTAAAACATTACCAGAGGGTGGAGATATTAAAATATTACCAGAGGGTGGAGATATTAAAACATTACCAGAGGGTGGAGATATTAAAATATTACCAGAGGGTGGAGATATTAAAATATTACCAGAGGGTGGAGATATTAAAATATTACCAGATATTTGAAAGCCCAAAAAAGGCAGACCACATTTTAGAAATGCATGGGCCATGGTTATTTTGTGATTATTATCTCTAGAATATTACTACTAAAAATTAGTTGACAAATAAATGCAGCAAATTATATTAAAAAAGCAAAGAAAGACGACGTTCAAGTCGTCTATCAACTGTCATGTTTCGTAGGACAACCTGTATTAAACTGAAAACTATCATTTCTATCCAAACTTTGTTTAGTTAAAATATTAAAAGAAGAAAGAAAACCAAATCTTTTGAAAATATTCAATTTTAAAATAACAAATTCTGATTGACAAAATATTTTGAAATTTCACATTGTCACTTTATACACAGAAAAATGCTAAAATTATGGATGATTTTGCTGAATATTTTCGTATCTTTGCTAGAATTAACGAAATCTTTGAAGATATAATTCAACTAAAATTCATGGCGACCCCATTTCTTTTTAAATGTTGTTGTTGTATTTTTAAAAATACTAAAATACAAAAATAACTAACTAAAATGTAAATACATGCTTTCCTGATTTAACAAAAATCAGCTACTTGTAGTTATGAATTTTACCGCCTTTTTTAATACAGAGGGATATTATCATACTTTTGTCCCTTGGGGTTATTAAAATACTTAACTTCCCAATTATTTTATTTGCTTAAAACCATAATGCACTTTTACATGGACTTTGATAAAGTATAATAAACGTCATGTAAAGCAATAGTAAAATATTTCACCAACATAAACGACCCTTGATTCCACCAAAAGAGAGACTTTACGTTACTGGAACGTTCCTTCGGACAATTAAGTAAAATAACGACCCGCTCTGCGAAGTTACCTTGAAAAAATAAGCGCATTTTCATCCCAAAAGACGATAACAATTGGGAAATTAAACATTTTACCACGGATTCCCTAGACCAATTTTTGATGGTTATTTGTAGGAAAAATTGGTATATTAGGAACCTTTGGTAAAGAAAATTTCTTAACTTCCCTGTAAACCAGATGTAAAATATTATTATTAACCTGCATATGATGGCGACCATTCTGCAGCAGGCTCTGAGGATTGTTAGGGTCAAGCCCCTGGAAAAATATTATATTCAAGGGACCGTGAGCGTGATTTCAGTTGATTCTCCATGAAAAGATGGCAAAGCCTGATTTTACAACAGTTACCAATAAAACCTTCATCTGGTCAAAAGTTATGCGCAAGTCACTTTTGTAGAGAAACCACTTATGAAAATAATCAGATTTCAAAATTATAAACATTGATACCTCATTCACACTTGATCTGATAACGCTTGTAAGGGTACCGTTGTGAATTGAAAATTGTCATCTTTTAGCGTGCATAGAGGGTCACTTAAAAATATTCAAGTTCAAATCGAGTTTTTTAAAACATTGGATCAAATATTTTATATCATAACCTCTAATGATACTGCAATTATGAATTCACATTCGGTGGTCCTCAAAATATTTCGAAATACAAAGACGATTTTATTTCACTTTATTTTGACGAATATTGCACCTGGACGACATATGGACCATTTTCCGCATCTTGATTTTCCTGATCCTAAAAACATTTTAATAAAATAAAAAGTGGGACCCATAAAATTGTGGAAAGAAGACTGTTAGACTCAAGTTATAATTTTAAGAACAGTGAAAGAAATGGGAAAAAAGATCCCCAAGATTAAAAATCTTTGATTTAGGCCACGTGTTTTTTTTATTTAAAGGTCTTACTTACCTAAACCCTAACTTTTTAATTTATCTAAATACGGATAAGAGGGAGAAGGGAGGGGTAGGAAGATATAAAAAAAATGATTCAAAATATTCCCACCTGAAGTATCTTTGATGCCGTATCCAAATCCATAATAATAAAAGCTGAGTTGAGTTGGATCAAAAAAAGAAGTAGGAGGTGAGTGATGCAAAATTGTTTCATTGTGTTAAACTTGAAAAATGGTTTTTGAGAAATTTGATTTCTTTTTTAATTTTTAAAGTGTTATTACTTTATTATGATGGACCAAACCTCTGTAGAGTAAAATAAGAGTTACTTGCTTAATTACGATTAATCTACATTTGTTCTACCGTCGCACACTCTACACTCTACACTCTACACTCTACACTCTACACTCTACACTCTACACTCTACACTCTACATTCTACACACTACACTCTACACTCTACACTCTACACTCTACACTCTACACTCTACACTCTACACTCTACACTCTACACTCTACACTCTACACTCTACACTCTACACTCTACACTCTACACTCTACACTCTACACTCTACACTCTACAGTCTACACTCTACACTCTACACTCTACACTCTAAACTTTACACTCTACACTTTGCACTCTACACTCTACACTCTACACTTTGCACTCTACACTCACACTCTACATTGTAAAGTCTACACTCTACACTCTACACTCTAAAAAATCTTTGCGCAATTAATTTCTCGAAAAATCAATAATAAAACTGAACCGTTTTGTTCAAAATTACGAAGCAAATGTTAGGAATGTAAAAATAGTGAGATATATCTGCGAACCCAATGTATCTGTGAATAATTTCGGATAAATGATTTGTAATTTTAAAAATGCTATTGGTAGCTACATAACTAGCTGGCTCAAAAAGGTTCAACCTTCCTATTTTTTTTGCATAATGCGCGCTGGGTTTACCACGTACTTGGTGCACTAGACGGGCTGGTACGATTAAACACTAGACAAGTCAATCCTAATACCGGTTTGGATCATGCAATGATAAAAATTACGATGAAACATAGAGCTTTAATTCTTTGTGTTTATTAACATTTCTAATTGTTGCATTCATATAACTAAATAATGGTTTTTGGCATTGAAATTATAGAGGCATCAAAATAAAAAGAGACAAGAGGCCGAATTTAAAGAATTTGAGCCGCGGCTCAAATATGGTTGGTTCACTTTAAATTGTATTCAATTTTTCAAGATTTAAGCCGGCGCTCAATTGAAACCGGGTTTGGGGGGATTTGAGACGCGGCTTAATTTCATTAAATTCGGACAAAGTGCACTTAATTTTCTCAAAATCATTAAATTTAGAATTGGAAGGCTTCATCACTTAATGACGGAAATCAAAGTGGAACCGGAGTTATTTTTTTTCAAAATTTTTCAAATAGTTTATTAAAGTATCATTCAAGGAATAATCCTGGGGCAATATAATTTTTTTCTTCAAAAATTACCAACACAGCGCAAATATTGTTCCTTTAAACTAACAAAAAAGGTTCTGAATTTTTTTTTGAGAGTTTTAATAATGGGCCAGTGCAAGCATTTAAAAAATCTTAAATTACTGAGGAATGTCGATTTTTCTATTTTTTTCGTAGCATGAAAGAAATTGGTATACTAGAGTTGCACTTAAAACTACTGAATATATATTGCCCATTTAGTTGATTTTTTTGAAAATTTTTTTGATCAATGGGGCCAAAAAAAACTAGATTTTTGGATTACTTTGGCAAATATCAACTAAAAAGTTTGGTTTTTTGCCTTTAACTTCTTCAACCAATTTTTTAATGATTTTTACATGAATAACAAATATATTTTTGCTTGCACTAGTGATTTAATTTTTACGAAAACGTAAAGCGCTGAATGAATCCGAAAGCGAGAGAATTTTTTTTTTTTTTGAATAGAAACTATGTCGCCTGCTAATAGGATATGAACAGTTTTATCAAAAAAGTGCCAAATGGTCCCACCCTTACTATTCTCAGGATGGCTAAATTCTATTGAGACCCGAAATTGAGACATGTTACTAACATACACCGGTATTTATACTCCTCCTCTCTCTCTTACTCTCTCTCTCTCTCTCTCTCTCTCTCTCTCTCTCTATCCTAGTCTCGTCCCACGCATTTTCTATATTTTACTCAAAGAACCTGTCAAATCATTCGTTGGGATGTTTAGAAAGATGAAAATTTCCCTGTATGATTACTGAAGGACTGCAGTATGGTTTTGATGAATTATATTGGCGTACAAAGCCTAGGGGTGTCAGAAATAATTTTTTTTGCATATTTTTAAAAACTTTTATAAAACTTTTAAAGTTTAATTTTTGATAAAACTTTTTGTTCTGGATGATTGCAAATATCTATCTAAAACTTTCTTAAACCGGCATATTTTTTCTATATTCATTTTGTTAAGAGTTTGAGTCAAAATAAGTATTAATAAATATTGCTTTATATCGAGTAGATATCCTTAAACATACCGATGTAAAACCTTTCAGAAAGTAGGAAAGATTCTGCAAAAAAAAAGTTTCGGAACCAAACAGAATTCTCATTTTGAACAAAAATATTTAGAACTTATATAGAAGCTTTTCTTCCAGTAAAGCCCAGTACTTTGCAGTACATTGTAGTACCCTGTAACCTGAAGCACTCTGTATACCCTGTTTCCATCACTTTCCATAAAAAGAATTGGGAATTACAAATTGGTGTTTTTGCCATTCCTCCCTCTAATGAATCATCAGCTGTTTAGTTTTAAACCATCAACGGAACCTCTTTTATACTGTTATACACAAATGAAAATAATGCAAAACTAGAGTAAAGTGCAACCCAGAAAGCTTCTATATAAGTTCTAAATATTTTTGTTCGAAATAAAAATTCTGTTTGGTTTGGCAATTTTTATCTGCAGAATCTTTCCTACTTTCTGAAAGGTTTCACATCGATATGTATAAGGATATCTACTCGATATAAAGCAATATTTATTAATACTTACTTTAACTCAAACTCAAAAAATATGCCGGTTTAAGAAAGTTTTAGATAGATATTTTTAATCATCCAGAACAAAAAGTTTTATCAAAATTAAACTTTTTTAGGTTTATTGAACGTTTTCAAAAAAAATGCAAAAAATCATTTCTGACACCCCTAGGCTTAGTACGTCAATATAATTCACCAAAACCATACTGCAGTCCTTCAATTATCATACAGGGAAATTTTCATCTTTCTAAACATCCCAACGAATGATTTGACAGGTTCTTTCATTGAAGGTGTGGATCAAAGATGAGAGAATACAAAGATCTTTTAAAAGTAAGAAAATCCGATATTTTCAACAGAGCCCAAAACTTAAGCCAGTGTATCGATATGAAAACAAGTTTTAAAACCCGGGTTTTACGAATGGGGTTAGGCAGTTTTGTGGATATCTATATTTTTATTATGAATTTTTTATTTAGTTTCTTCATATTCTCTTTAATCAAAAATCTACACAAATGTTAAGACCCCAAAAAGGAAACTCGAGAGTTTCGTTCAACGATACTCTTTTAAATTTAGTGCTCAGCAGGTTCCATTGTGTACAACTGGAGTACACGACCAATAAATAGACGTCTGTATTCAGGGATACTTAAGGATCCTTGGGATACGAAATTCAAAACAAAGTTAGAGTATTTCTTTAAAAATTGTAAAGCTTAACCCCTGAATGGGTATTATATGCAACAAGTGGCCGTTAGATGCATAGAGAATAGAATATATAGAGAGGAATTTACTAGAAAAAAGTGTAAAACGGCCATTTTGTTGTACTGTTTCCATACTGCAGGTGTACTTCACATATTTATGCTATATAACCTGTTGGGCCCTGGAATATCATTTTATAGAAAATCTAAAATTATTGTTAAAAGAAAACCAAATTATGAAATAGGCTGGTTTCATAATTGACCAATGATCATTTCACATAGACTCTATGCCTTCCACTTTACAAACGATGATTTTCCGTTATAAATATAAATCAAATGATGTTTTTATTCACCTAATTCATTATAAAGTTTATTTAACAGCTTTAAAAATATCGAAATTGAAATGAATAGTCTAGGGAACATACTGTATTAATGTACTCTACTGCATATAATTTGTGAACATTTACATGATTTGTACACTTTGAACTCCCTTTCAGGCTGAAAGGGACTGAAAAAATTCATACCGAGAGATTCTTTTAATTCCTCTCTATATATTCTATTCTCTATGGTTAGATGGCAGTCAAAAACCTTTCGTGGAAATCTAGCATGTCGTCCCGGGACAACTACAGGCCCGCTATAGTCTATACTGTGAGAGTGTATGAGCAGTTTGGTGTGAATATAAATAGAACAACTGCATAGAAACACTGCCCCCATGTCCCCACAGGCCAAAAGGGGGGTCCCTAGAATTTAAATACCTTACTTCATCCACCATAAAATTAAGCACATAGAAAGAAAAAAGGCTTAAATTTTGATAATTTTTTCAAGTACCCATGCACCCATCGCCACTCACATTCCACAACCACTCTGTAATCATTGTAATCGTTTCCTCACAACTGTTTTCAACAAAATAGTGATAATGTTTGGGCCTTTAAGATTTCTATAAATTTGATTTTAAGTTAAAGCTGAGATATCAATTTCAAATTTTTTCTTTACCGTCCAGAACCCTTCCCTGGGGTCATGAGTGATGCCACAAAAAAATTAGGCCCGCACCGTTTAGCCGTTTTGACGTTTTTTGGACACAGACAAACAGACAGACAAGCAAAGTAAATCTATATAATAAAGTATTGAGACAATTTTTGAGGGAGTATTTAACCATTTTATGGTCGGCTCAGCCGTTTTAACGGTCAGTGAAATCAAACAAACCGACAAACCTTCAGACATGCCTTAATTTTCTATAAGAGAATGTATAATGTGTAAAAATAGATATTAAATACCATTTTCTATTTTCATCAAATCTTTTTTTTTGTTCTTTTATTTCTTGGATTTAAAACTTGTCTATCTTTCCAAATCAAATTAAGAATTTTTTCAGGAACTATTTTTGTGCAAACTATGAATTGTGTATATGTACTTGCTGGTCTGATAGGGTGTTTTTATCCAATAAACGTCAAAACGGCTGATTCAATCCGACCAAAATATTTTGTGGGACGTCTCATGTTCCAAGAGAAGATTTAGGATTTTTTTTAATCGATAAATCCAC